GGTTGTTAAGGTGGAATTCAGGTCGAGACTCACCGAAAGTGACGCCATTCGTCTGCTTTTCCTTATCCTTGTCCTTATCCTTCTCGCACTTTTCGCCGCCCAACGGCTCCAGCTCGATGCCATCGGTGGTGGCCACTTTGTAATCCCTTTTCGACATATTGCCACAGCAGAAGCCACAACATAACATTCGGCCAATTTTATAGGCTTGTGGTTTAAGTGGCGCCGTCTTGGATTCTTTGCCACGTGGCACGATCTGGTCCTCTGGGTAGTACTGGGGTACGTCTGATCCTGTCTTGGGGCGGCAGGATTGGGAGGTTGGGTCCGGGACTAGGCCACTTTGCCCACTGGTCGTTCTCTAGCTAGCGATATGTTTGTCCAAAAAGTGGTCGGTACAAAAGGTTCCTTTTCGGGTGTAAACGGGTATGTAGAAGACTAGAAAGGTCGGTGAGTAGAGTTGATTGTTGTGTTTGATTTCGGTTTTCGGTCAAAAATTGGTCCAGTTCCTGGTGTTAATGTCCTTCTGCAAGGGAACATAAAAGTTTATTAATTTATTGATGATAAGTTATTGAGATCAGTTGAAAATGGAGGAATATTATTATAATCTTTCTAAAATCAAAGGCCCTTCTACTTTGTATTTAGAGTATCAACCATAAAAAGCTTGTACCCAAAGCCCTTTAATTTGCTGATTTCCATCTTTAGTTAGCTTAAAAGAAATAAATAAGTAATATAAGCTTGCAATGCACTTTATGGGAAGCTATCTATGTCAAGTCAGCTAAACAATGAGTGGGCATCTGTAGATACTTTTAAGAGCAGCCAGACAAACGTAACCATCTGTTCCAGAGAATCTTCTTGTACTTGGCTGCACAAAAATTAATAAGAAATAGGTAGAAACCTACATATATATTTGAAATGTTTGCAACATTCAGCATTCTTCGACTTATTGTTAGACTGCAACTTCCGGTGCCGGCTTGAAGGGAAAAAAACCCAGAAAGTGGGGCAGGTGGGGTAGAAGGCGGAACCTGCAACTGATGTCGCCACTTGTGGGCGGGTGTCGCTGCCAGGACATTGTTGTGCCAGTCAAACAAAACGAAACTTTAATAAAAGCCCCCCAGTCCCTACTCCCCCACTGCACTCCAGTGTCCTTTGTGGCCCAGCAAAAGGGAGTAATAAATAGAAGAAAAAGGCGAGTTGCAACAATGACAATGTCGTGGGCTAAAAAGCATTCGATAGCCTTAGGGCCACGAATGCAAATGCACATCAAATGTGAGCTGTCCCAGAGGTGGGTGCGTTCTTAGGGTGACTGGGTGAATGGTTGCCTGGTTGCCTGGCTGCCTAGTCGACAGTAATTGCAAGAGGCATCCTCATCCTCATCCACCGGCACAAAGCAGCCAAAGGAGCCGCCTGGTCAGGGACTTTCCATCGGTCTCCCAGTGCGAAAATATCGAAGAGGTGTGCCAGAGCAGTTCAATGCACGAGTACACTCAGAGAAATGGTCAACAAATCGAACAAAAATCGAACCAATATTTTACACTAACTTAAAACCATTTATCGTAGGATTAATCAAGTTTACACCAAGTAAAACAGCCAATTATGCATTTAACTTATTTATTTTAAAAAATGGCAAAGATAAAGAAAAGATTTATATTAAAAATAATTTGTTTAGCTAGCTTGCACTTTTTTATTTCTTTGATGCCTTTACAGTATATTTAAATTTTTATAACTCTATCTGATATGAGAATAAACATGTCATGAGATTAAAAGGTAACCACAATTAAAAAAGTTAGAACAGCGGTCAAGGGAAAGTAGATCCAAAAAAGCACTGAGAGAAAAGAAAAATACAAATATAACTAAAACGTATTTCGTTTTAAAATAACGTTAGTATAAGCATTGAAATTAAGATATTAACTAACACCTAAACTCAAATCAGTGTTCAGACGAAGTCCATTTCAATAAAAGAGTTTTTAATATTAATTTATAATTAACGCTGAAAATCTCCTAGTGTAGCTTTCGAATAAGAGGTCTGAGGATTAGGACCCGGCACTAGACCCAGTTAAATCGAGCGGGGAATACGCGGATGCGAATGCGGCTCTGGATCCGGAGCCCGAGTGATGGCCACTCCATTTGATGGGGCGGCACTTGAAACAAAAGTCGAGGCGGGCCCGGGCAATTGTGTTTGCTGTTGGTAAAACACACAGCGTAATAAAGAACTATAGGAAGGGCGGACTGCGACCTGGTAAATGGGAACTGGACGGGCCATAAACCTTTCAGCCATTCGAAGCACTTGCAACCATCGCTGCCCACAAACGCTTCCACCATTAGTAGATCCTCCATTCCGGGGGCTGGGCCAACTCAAAAATAAACATGGCGCAACAAAGTAAAGCACAAAGGACGAAAAACAAAGGGCAAAAAAGCCAAAATGAATATAGCAAACAAAGAAATACATATGTATGCCGGAGGAAAAAAGTAGCGATTGGCTATACCCTAAAGTATTGGATATTAATTGGTTCATACATCTTATAATAAGAGTTAAACTTAAGCCATTCTTAGTTGAACCTTAGCTATCCATTCCCGAAAGGGGGTTTATTTCATGGTTCATTAAATTTGACTCCAATCACGTGTTAATTATATTGAAAACTTGCCCCATCATTAGATAAGGGCATGACCTTTCGGTGCTTAGCATAATTAGCTAATGATATAAAATGGGTAAATTAGTATACGTAAGCTATTATTTAATTAAGTCATTAAAGCGATGAAGACTCTGTTTATTACAGCTATTAAAGGATTATTTATTAATAGACCTTAAGGAGAATGGGTGGAAAATGGCATCTTAATAATTAATGTCTTGATTAATGTCTTGATCGATAAATGGATGATGTTTAATATGCATTGATTTGTATTAAAATGTTCTTATTAAGAACATAGTTATTCAGTTCTGAAAGCAGTTTAATGATTATAAAGAATCTAGATCGTTAGGACTTTTCGATTTGTATAATTTTTTCATCTCATAAATATTTAATAAATTTTTTCCCAGTACATTTTGCATCTTAATTAACGTCAAATACCTAAAAAGTGCCAGAACACCCAAAAAATTAATGGATACACCGGAAAGGGGCAAGTTTGCTTGCTGGCCTGGCCATAAAGTGGTCGGGATTAATGGCAAAATGGCGTCAGTTTGTTTTTGTGATTTGTTTTATTTTCTGTTTTTTGGCTTGTTGCTCCCGTTGCATACAAAGCAGCCGAAAAAGGAGCGGCCAGGGATAACCTCATGGACACTTTGTGTACAATGTACATATCCTGGCCAAAAGGACACTGCAGCCAAAAATAGCCAGCCAGGTGAGTGTGAGTGTTGCGTATGCGACACGTGTGCAAATTGTGCCCCAATGTGTCGTTTGTTACGTTTTACGTTACTTCCGGTCTGTCGGACGCTGCCATATATAAATAAAAATGGCCAAGCGTATTTTTTATGGCAGCCCAGTCCCCCATATAATAAGCCCCTCTACTCATGAGCCACCCATTTACGCAGCTGCATTTGTGCAGCTTTTGTGAAAAGCTTTTAGGTGAATCTGCTGGCATTATTAATTTCGACCATATGCAAGGCAAATTGAAGGTCATTCGGGTGGGTGGACGCTGTAAGCCGCCCAGTGGGTGAAGTGGGTGGTTCGAGGTGCACATTCGATTGCTGACTGAAGCAATCAGTGCTGAATCGAGGGCCCTCTGAGTCCCATTTGAAGACCGACCAGTCCAGCCCAAGGCCATTAAGCTGGGTGGCTACTTTTGGGGGTGGCTGTACGCAGGATTTTTGCAGGTGTCACGTTTTATTTTTAGCACCAGGCTGGGGTTACATACGAACGGTCTGTGCGATCTTCCAGCTCATAAGCAGGACATAGCTTCAATATTTAATGCCCACAATCAGGCTGAATAATTGATGGACACATGTAGAGCCGCAGGGAGTAGTAGGCTGTTCATGTGTACTGTTGGTTTTTGTGTCTGGCGCACGGCAATTAACTTGTTTAAGCCGCAAGGTAAACATGACAAACACATTTGTCAGAGTCAGTCGTCACTGTCAATGCCACCGGATGGATGGATGGATGGTTTGGATTTCAGATGGAGTGAACAAATGCCTCCGAGGACTCCGAGGATGACTATACAAAGCAGCAATGCAAACAACACGAGTCAGGGAGCTGGTTTTACCTAGAGCTGATGGTTTAAGCCACGAGTATCCTTCCGTTTTTGGGCGCCAAATAGAGCAGCAATTTGGTATACTATATAATACGAGTTGGTTGCCGTTTCACTTGATTTTTCTTTCGTCACAAACACACAACGGGCGGCGGAATCGGGGTTAAACAAATTGGAAAACAAACCGAGTTCAATAACAATGGGTTTCATGCGATTGAAAATGACTTTTTGGTTTTTCTTGGTATACAGAAGAAGCGCGAATAAAATGCGTCCATCAAGCACGAAGGATAAACTCTTTCTGATTGAAAAGCAAGCGCAAGGAGGAAATTTCCATCAGATGGCGAGAGCTTTTCCCAATAGAGCTTTCCACACTCTCTATTTTCTCTCGAGAGAGAGAGCGTGGGAGATTATTATCCTGCTGTGTCAGAATTTGTGCAGTGAAATTCCAAGGAACACTGCACAAGGATAATGAAGAGAGAAAGCAACAGCGAGAGAGAGAGCGAAGGAAAGCCGGCGGAAGGAGGCAACTATTCCACCCACCCCACTTTATACCACCGCCACCCAAAACCACCCCCCGCAAATGGGAAAACTCCACAGCAGCATCCGCTCTCATCCTGTCAATATAAACAACCATTTGGGATCTGTTTCTAGCTCTGTGTGAGTGCGCTCTATATGCTAGATAAACAAAATATTAGGGGTGTATAATGAATGCTTGAGGGTTTTTTGGAAGTTGCCCGCTGTTCTACTTGGTGACAAGTCGCAAGAGTCGAGTCGAACTACGAATACTCTGGTATCTCAACTTATCGTTATTTCTTCATTAAATGTTCATCGGAATTTTGTGTATTTTACTTAAAATATTATCTTGTATTTGTTTACATTCTTCTAACCAAGAATCACAATAATTGCCTAAAAGAAATATAAAAACCTGGCATTACTAGACTTATTGCATTCATACAAAGAACATTTGATATTAAAATAATTTAAATGCAACTCTTGCACAGCAATTAGCAAATAATGAATAATACAAATTAACATAATTTCCAAACATTTTTTAGGACTTAATTTGCAGATCAATCAGTTCATTGCCCTCCATATCCTGGTTTTTGGGCGTATCCTCCGGATCCAACAGTTCGCCATCAAAACTGTAAGGGAATTTATTAAATACTTGTTAAATTTGAGGGTTTTAAATACGTACAATAACTTAATGTGGCGGGCATCACAGTTCAGCTCCTCAGCACACTTAATGTATAACATTTTGAAGGTATCTTTTTTCTTCATGGGCATCACCATGGGTTGTTTCCACTTATCAGCTTGGACTTTTACTTGAAACTTTTTGGGTTTCCTGCTCAATGCTTGTGGATTGTTGTCGTCTTTGGCAGTCGGCTTCTTATTGTTATTATTGTTAGACTTTGTTGCATGGCCGCCTATAAATTATATTTACTTAAAAGTATGAAAAAAAGTATATAGGGGGCACCTACTGAGTGTATGAAAGGATTTGAGACCAATGCTATGAGGCGTATCATCGGGTCCTATGAAATTGTAGTACATATCGACAGAAATATCATTCTCGTCTACTGCATTGCGTTCTGCCACTTCCTTGAATAAATGCTTGAACTTCTGGTGCTGTCGCAGTTTGTAAATCTGGATCTCGCCAAGCCTGCATAAGTTTATCAAGGTTACTAATTGAAGGGGAGCCTGGCTTAACACCACTTACCAAGATAGAGCTACTTCTATGGTGGGATTATCATTATCAAAGATGTTTGTCTCCTCTTCTGGAGCAGGGGCTTCACCCTCGTCCTCAGAATCCAGGTTAACCTAGGGAAATAGTTTATAATTAACTTTTCGAGGGCATCTCCTGGGCCTGAACTTACAAAGCCCTCCACTCGTGGAGCTACAGCTGATACCAGATCAATACTGTCCACCACCTTAGATCGGGCAGCCATTTCGGCCACCGCTTTTCGCCTGTTATTCTGGTTGAAGCTCTACAAAGTAAGAGAATTCTAAGTTCTTAAGATCTTCCTGAGTTTAAGCCTACTTACGGCCACAATGCTTTCCAGTGAGGAGACCACAGAAGCCGCCGCCATCTGCGTCTCCACGTTAATCGGCGTGGATGACTCTGCCTTTTTTCTACCCCGCCTTTTGGCCTTAGTCTGGGCGGGCACCGCCTTGGTGGATGCGGTTACAATGGACGCCACATCTGGAGGTGCAGGTTCTAATTTTGACAGTGAGGAGCGAGTGCGTCTAGCCACAGGAGCAGTCTGAATTTCCTTGGCATTCTTCTGCTCCATCTCCAGGATCAACTGGGAGACCGGTGACAAGGATCGTTCCGTGTTCTTATCCCCCTCATCCTTTTGCGTCTCAGCAGGCTTCAGTTTATTCTGTTTCGGTGGCGAAGGACCCTCTACACTTTTCTGCGCCTTTCCCGGGGTGATGCTGGGGGTTTTCGTTTGCCGTTCCTAGCCGGTTTCTTGGGACTGTCCTCAATAAAATCGTAGTCCACATCCTTGGAGAAAGAATCGTTGCCGGGATTGTAAGATTCCTTGGGCAAAGCTGGCAAAAATGTGAGGTATTAATAACCTGGGTTTTTCTTCCGTTTTAAGCTTACCTATTACTGGAACCCGCTTGCGAGCAGCACTAAATATATCGCATTCGTCGTCGGACATCTTGGTTACTCAAAAATACTATATGGTTTTTCTGGGTTCTAATAAATAGACGCGCCAAATCCGGATCAAACAAAACCAAAAAGACGCCAAATTCAATCATCTGGTGCAAGGACAATCGATAGGCGATAACGATTACGAACTGAAGGGTGAAGTTATCGTAAGCAAATTTGAGTTGAAAACAGTGGTAAGAAATTTAAATTTATAGCAAAAACGCAAAACTGTATTGAAAAAGTTAGATGATTTTAATATATTTATATATTTTTTAAACGGCTATAATTTTCAAATAAAGTTTATTTGTAGGCCTACTGTGCCACGTGAGCAACTCTGGACGTCAGCTGTTCGGACAGTGTTGTCAAACGCCACGCCGACAAAAGCAAATCTCATTTAGTTTCATAGCTGCTGGCAAAAGAAAAGGGCAAATAAGTTGTTATTAAAAGCCGTAATGCGAGTGAAAATAACTGAGAGCCAATAGCCTCGCGACAGGAGGCTTTTCCGCGTGCGTGTGTGCGCGTGTGCCCGTGCGTCTGGGTGCCCCTGTGTGCGTGTGTTTACCTGGGTATTCCAACCAAAAAAAAAGGGGTACAAAAACGGAAAGTAAAAAGTAAACTGGAAAAGTCGACAAAGTTTGCCTGCGTGCCATTTTTTTTATTTCGTTGCGTTTGGAAATCTAGAGACGACGCGATGGCCTCCACCAGCAATCTAGTGGATGTGGTGCGCCACTACCAGCGCAGCATTGACAAGCACGACGAGGACGAACAGCGGGTGAGCTACCCATCCTCTTCGTCCCCCGGCTTACCCTGATTCCTCCCTGCAGCCCGCCCTTTATCCAGCTTACTGTCTCCTTTTTCCTAAACTCCCTCATCTCACAGTTACACATCTATTCCTAACCCATCTTACGTATACCCAAGTACCTGCTTTGGATTTCCCCTGCTTAACAACCTTGTGAAATTTGCATTCAGACACTTATGTACCATCAAGGTCACTGTTCTCGACTTCAAATTGCTCTTCTTTTCCGCTGACCTTTCACCCTCACGTTCTTTTTGCTAAGCCATCTTAATCACCTCTTTCTCTACCTGCTCTCCCCAAAACCTACAGCTGCTGCACTGCATCACCAAGCTGTTCAACCTGCCCATCAAATTCGAGCACCTGCAGGAAACTGGAATTGGCAAGACGGTGAATGCCCTGCGCAAGTTCAACGGGGAGGTAGGGGTGGCGGCCAAGACTCTGGTGTCCAAGTGGAAGGCCATGGTGGCCGCCGAGGAGGAGCCCGCGGTAGCCGTCACTCCCGCAGTCAGCCACAACGAAGAGGATTCGGGCAAGTCCAAGTCCAGCGACGAGGATCCCGACCAGGAGAACAAGGGCAGCAACTCATCCAGCGGCGAGGATCTGCACTCCAGCACGCACAAGTCAAAGCATGCTAAGAGTTCCAAGCACGAGCGCAGCAGCAGCAGCAGAAGTCACTCCAAGAGCAAGTCAGATTCGGATAAGAAACACAAAAGCAGTCGCCACGACAAGTCCAAGGACAGGGACAAGGACAAGGATAAGGAGAGTCACAAGGAGGTCAAAGAGCACCGGGAAAAGAAGTCAAATGGCGAGCACAAGTCAAAGGATTCCAGCAAATCCAGCAGCAGTCACAAGAGCAGCAAATCTGAGGGCCACAAGAGCGAGCACAGCAAAAGCAAGCACGAAAAGGTACTTTTGCTCTAGATCAAATAAGATACGATTCTAAACGATACTTTTCAGGACAAGTCTTCGCACAGCGAGTCGAAGCCAGCCAAAGACAAGTCAAGCAAACACAAGTCATCTTCCTCCAAATCATCCAAGCGCTCCCACAGTCCCCAACGAACCGAGGAGGATGCCCAAAAGGCCAAGATACCAAAAATTAAATCAAAATCCGAAGAAAACTCCGCCGACGGTTTCGACTCCAGCATGGGCGCCAACTTTGACGATGTTCTCGGCCTACTCAACATGCCCATGAGCAGCAAGAAGAGCAGCGGCGGCAGCAAGAGCAAGTTCCCCTCTAAGCCGGCAACAGCCCCATCCTCGGCAGCTTTATCGAACCCCACGGCATCCACCGGATCATCTAGGGAGGCCTTCTCCACCAGCAGTCGACCGACCACCACCAAAGTAATTAGTATAAACTACTCTTAAAGTTTCTGGGTAACATATGTATGATAACCCTTTAGAAACCCGAGCTGCTGGCATCCACAGCCAAGCTAGAGCCCTTGGACCCAAACATTGCTCTGGAACTGCCCACCATTTCCAACAACTACAAGCCCTTGCCGTTAAATCAGACAGTGATGGATGTGGTCTTTAACCAGGGTGGCTCACAGAAAGCCCAAGCATCACGTTACTTTAATGAGTCGGAAGCCCTAGCCCAGGGCATCTCCTCCAAAACTATGCGGTGGGTTAAGATCTTGTTTAATTCTATAAGAAATCTGTAACGTTATTTGTTTTAAATAGCACGAAGATCTATTCAGGTGTGAGAACTGGTCAAATCCTGCAGGTCCCCTCGCTCTTCGACCTGTGCACGCGTGTGCTCCAAAAGAACATCGATGGTAAGGGCAGACTACCTTATACTAACAGAATAACAATAAAATGGTCAAAAGTTAATGTTAAATACTACATCTACTAAATAACAATCTTAATCGCTTCTTCCAGCTCTGGAGTACACAGGTGGCGTGCCTTTGAGGTCCTACGACCTGTCCTCGAACGCGCTACTCCCCAGCAGCTTCTAAACTTCGAGGAGTACAATCCTTATTTGATGGACGACAGCGATGTCCTGTGGCAGCTGCATGTCCAGCGTCACTGTCGCAGTCAGCGACGCGAGGAGATGGAAACGTGGCGCGAGATGTTCCTGGTAGGGATCACAGTGTCCCTCAGATAATGCCCCATCTAAGCCCACACACCATTTTCCTTCCAGCGTTGCCAAGAAGAGAAGGATCGCAAACTCAGCATCTTGGCCGAGAGCATCAAGGCATCGCAGAAGATCAGCGAGGCACCCGTGCGCAAGACTCAACTGGCCTTTGTGGACTCGATGGTGAAGCCGCCGCGCAGTGTGCAGCGCAAGCAAGAGCAATATGGCACCAAGGGCAAGCTCATTGCCACTCCGGCCGCCCGGGTGGCCGCCTTGTCTAGCGTGACTCCGAATGCCGCCAAGGTGGGCGACGCCCGGCTGCGTGTGCTGGCCGCCACCCGCGACACGGCCCAAGTGGGTGAGTTTGAGCGATGAGAGTGGAGCTGTAACAGAAGAATTTTGGTAACCCAAATGTCAAAGAAGAAGAATTAACCATCGAAAATAACACCCTTTCACCAGTTCACCGATTATGTCATTTAAACATTTCATTTCATTGATTATGAGAATAAATTAATCCACATAAAATGGGGATTATATACTAATCCATTTAATGTAGTTCCTAACCGTGGTGTCAAATGAATTATAGATTGATTTTCACCTACTTATTATTTATCTGTCCAACAGGTGCTGGTCCAGGGCGATCGAAGAAGGCACCATTGATGGCCAAGACCTTGCAATTCATGCGCGGACGTCACAAACGATAGATGCGTTTACTCGTTGTAGTTACAATCCTATACTCAATTTGTTCAGCGACAACTTAAGCAGCAGCAGAAGCAGCAACCTCGAACTATAAGGCGTTCACAGTAGGATTACCTGCAAACTTTCGGTTCTAAAAAACGAGACACTGTGATACTTAACCTTTTGTTGCCCAGTGCGCCGCGAATTCGACTGCTGCTGCTGTCTACATGCGTACCACATGCATGCTATTTATTATTTATTCATGTTCTGCCCCCACATTCATTATACTGTACTAGTAACTAAGTGTAAGCCAACCGGATAACGATTGAAAGTCGAATAAGCTAAAGTTTTTGTTGCATCCGCTGGGTCGCCAACAAGCTCAGACAAATGAGTTATAAAATTTGATTATTTTCAAGTTAATAATTCATCGTTTCATTTAGTGCATGTAACTTAAGGTCAGAAAACTGCTGATCGCTCCAACTTAAACTAAGTTCAATGTTCTTTGTCCCAGAGGGCTGTGCGAATGTCCAAAATCATAGAGGTTCCAAGCAAATCAATTGTATATAAATGTATGTTACACGAAAACTTAAACCCAATCCTATATCGAAATACCTAACAATTGGAGTACAGTAAAATGTCTTTAAATGCATCGCTAGTTATTTCTAATCATACAATTATATACTTAGTTGAATTAAGTTATGAAAAATTTCGGGTAAAATGTTCTTATTTTATTAAGAAAAAAAAATTACTTTAACTGCACCGTCATTCGTTACTATCCTAGTTTATTAGTAAAAACAATTATTGAAATGCGATTATTCTGAATTCTAATACTCGTCTTATTTTTAATATTTACACAATTTATAACCTTTATAAAATAAGTCATTAAATCTACGTCATATCCGCATTTTCAAAAGCTTATTTTGCTGTGACCAGTAAGCGATGCAGGTAAAGGCATTACACTGTAATCAAAATCGTTTTATTCCACTAGTAAGCTAACGGAAACAAAACCACGAAGCTATCAAAGATCACTCTTGTTTGAAGACATCACGGATTGTTAGAGAGAGATAATTATATATAGAAAATGGTAAAGACGGGCAAACGAGTTGTTTCACACGGTAGTAACAGTAATATTATACAGACTTATTACAAATAAATTATTTTCAAACATAAACCATCAGAAAGTGAAAATTCATTCGGTCTGCAGTATCATCCGTCTCATTCAGGTGCCGATGCAGTGAAGCGTCTTGCTGCGCCCGTAGAAAACATCGACCAAACGCTGGCAGGAACTATTGAGAGTTAGCACACGATTCGTTGTAGCTGAGGAAGAGCTTCCAGCACTGCTGTTGTCGCTATGGAAAAGCCAAAATTATCAATTACAAAACGATGCTTTGTTTTAATTCCACAAATAACTTACCCCATGGGCGATAGTTTCTTGATATCCCACAATCGCAGGGTGCCATCGGTGCAGGCTGTGGCCAGATGCCGGTCATGCGTGCTCCAGGACAGAGAACTTATGCTCGCCGAGTGATCCTTGAGCTCAGCCAGCTGGGCTCCGGCGGCCAGGTCGAAGATCCGCACCTTGGTCTCCTCTCCGGCGGCGGCCAACATCTTTCCATCCGGACTGAATGCCAGCTGGGTCACCGCCTGTCGGCAGTCCGCAAAGACTCGCATCAGTTTCCCGCTGGTGGCGCACCACAGGCGCACTGAGTGATCTGCCGAGCCGGTGGCTATATAATTGCCATTGGGGTGGAAGGCAACGCACTGTGGAAGGAACATTTTAAAATAAATAATTGCACCTTCAACGTTATTAATAGTTCCGCAATTTCTACTTCAGTTGACCCACCTCAACGTCCTGCGTATGTCCGGCATAAATGATAAGCGCATGTTCCTTCTCCAGCGACCAGAGGCGTGCACTTAGGTCCTTGGAGCCCGTGACTACGTATTGCCCCACTGGACTCTCGTCCAAGCACCAGATCGGGTAGTTGTGACTTCTGTAAATGGCGGCGCAGTGCAGGTTGTGCGCTCGCCAGCACCGCATGGTGGCGTCCTTGGACACACTGTACATTAGTGGGTAGTGGGCGGAGAAGCGCACGTCGGTGACACCTCGCGTGTGACCTCGCAGCTGCAATCCGCCGTATTCGTTGCTAAAAAAGAAAACATTATTTAAAAAGAGTTTTAATTAGCTTGCTTTAAGCTTACTATGAGTTGTCAGCATATTTGCAATGTCGCGCCCTGCTGCGTTCCCTTCGCTCCTCTTCAGAGCACTTGACATCCTCGTCACTGCCTTCCTCCTCGTCCGATTCCATCTCCTCCTCCTGATTCACGCAGTTGTTCAGCTCCCAGGGGCATTTCGATTGCGGATAGCGTCTATAGAAGCTTCTGCCGCGGCAGCTGTTTTGGTTAAGCTGCCATAGTTGCACGGCAGAATTGTCGAAACCGGCTAACAGGTGGCACTCACTGGGATCTAGATGGGCGGAAGTGAGACCACGGGAACGTTCGCTGATCCTAAGAAATCGGGGCAGCTCCACCTGGGTCTTGAGTATCTGTTCAGTGGCTGATTTGAGGTTGTCTAAGCAGGCGTCTATATTAAGTTGTGATTTGCTAGGCTCCGCAGATTCATCCGCATCGATCTCCTGCTTGATGTCTGTTTCTAGCTTAATGTTTGGCTCCTCGGCGGGTCGTTTTCGGTTGGTCTTCTCAGTCAAAGATTTTCCTGGCTTGATGTCTCCACGGGTATTAAGGGATGCTGTTGGTTTGGACACCACTTCATCATCCGCTTCCTCACCTTCCAAATCATCCGTCAAGCCAAGCAGGTGATCCTCACTGAAGGCGCGCTGTTCGTTTTCCACGATGTGAACATGCACCCAGGTGTAAAGCAGGTTCATGATCAAAACATGTCCCCTCCGCTGGAGATAGCCGCATATCCGCTCAACCACTTGGGCTGTGGTATGCAGTTCGTACTTGGAGGAGCGAAAGTGAGCCACTGTTTCATCCAACTCGGCTGCCTCCAGCCGTGTATAGCCACTTAGGGTTTGCACCAGGCGCATGAAGTAGTCCAGTTCAGTGTCCCCAGTGTCTTGGGCTTCCCGAGCGAAGCGTATGTTGAAGGTGGACTCATTGGCCGTGGTGGAGCAGCCGTTAATCTTGGTGGGCGGTGGTGCATCGTACATGTCCACGGGGGCCACCAGGTGGGCATACTTCCGTAGCAACTCCACAGCTCCCCGAGGTTCGCGGGCCTTGAGCAGATCCAGATAGAAGTGGCACAACATGGGCCCGTAGAAGCGCTTCATTTCCAGGCGCAGCGGCTCCGCCTGGGCCTCCACAAATGTCGAGAAGCGTCCAAACTGCTGATCCACCGTGTGCTGGTTGTTGGTGATCACCTGGACATTCGAGTAGGTGAAGCTATTTCCACCATGCAAATCCGTGTCCAACATTTTGTTTACAGCGAACTGCTGTTTATTTTGCAACAGCAGGAAGTCCGAGCGGCGAAATCTCTCGTTGCTCTGGGGGATTGAAATGGATTTAAATAATATTTCACTCTGAGAAGAAGGATATCTGGGGATCCTTTACTTACCACGTAGTTTTTCTGCTTTAGCAGAAGGCCGACGGCGCAGCGTAGCAAATCGTTTTTCGAGGACGACTTTTTATTGCCCGCCGACGATTTGTTGTTGTTGTTGCTAGTGCTGTTACTGTAGACGGGCGACGCAACGTGGGCGTGGCTGCTGGCGCTGGGCAAGCTCATGGTTGCGTGTTATCCTCGCCAAATCCGTCTCCGAATCCTGATCCCGTCCTGCAGCAGTCTGATCAACTATTCCGTCCGGCTCTAAGAAAAATACATTTCATACCATTTTTGTTTTTTCGAACATACCAAAAATATACCAAACACTCACGCTAAAAATATCGAATTTAGCATGGATTTTATCGATATTTTTCGTGCGAGACAGCTGTTCCGTTGCCATTTGTTGTCCTCAGTGCTGGCAGCAAGTCCACTTTTGGCTTGAAAAGAGCTAAAACCATTTATTGTTGCCATAAGTTAACATCTAATTAAAATTATAATACTTTGGCTTGAATTGTGTGAAAAGGCAAAACAAACAACTCAAACCCAAGTCTCGTAGAAAAATTCTGAGGCAAAGAAGGAAACAATTCAGCCAATCCAGATGCTAGTTCCATACAAAATAAAATTTTTTTGGGGTGACCACAGAATTCTTCGATGGTTTTTGGCGGGTAATTTGAAAACCAAAGAAAAAACCCAATTTTATGTTTTTTAGAGTCTGTAGAACTTTTCTTAAAGCCTACTAATAGGTTCGTTTTAAATTGGCTTCCCAATTTTTTGCTTATGTGACACCGATATTCAAATGTTGGTTGGAATTTAGTTAGGAAAGTTCGCGTTACTCGGCCGGAAAATATAAATAAAACAAGTTTTGGTTAGTTACGACCACCACTTTATTTTCTTTTTGTGTTTTTGTAAGTTTAGTTCATTTTCATTAAATTTGCTCAAATCATGTTTGATTAAATTACAAGTGCTTAAACCTAAAAGTATGTATGTACGTATGTATGGACTAAAATAGTTAACAAAGTTTGGCAATTAGTTACAGTTAGTCAAAACGAGTTAAAAAACCATTGCGCATGTACAACCAAAACAACAACAGGAAATTGAATAAGTTATTTATAATTATTCTTCATTTTTGTTATCTGTATTTATTTTTCGTCATTTTCCGACCCAGTTTAGGCCAGTTACGATTAGTAGAAATGCAACAATGTGTAAAGCGGCTTAAAAATAACCGCCACAACCAATAGAATATCACACCAAAAATGGCAGAGTACAACAGATCCAACAGAGATTGTAATCAGTGAGTGTGGAGTGTGTAGAGTGTCTATGAGGAAAATCGTGTTATAAGGGACGCGGACCTAACTAGCTTGGTAGGATGCGCAAGGACATGCTTCGGGGTCTAGACCCCCGAAAACCGTCCCGCCGTGAGGTTCGTGCCTGTACAGTGTGCTCTCGCGGGTGTCCGGGGCGTGGGCTTTGGGTACAACATTCATAAAGTTTATCTACCTCGTCGCTACCTAAGTTGTCGTTGTCGTTTTGCTAGCTAACAAAAGTAACTGTGTATATATATGTATAAAATTACCAACAAATTCATAAATTATTGTTGTAATACGTTTAGAAAATAGTGTCCATATATCATCATGCTGTCTTCACACTTAACCTAATGCGTTTTGAAGAATTGACTACTATTAAATGGCAAATGTGTGCCATAGTTTCTCTTTCCACTTTTTTTGGTTTTTGTTTTTAGAGTTTACTTGTAATTACATACACTTCACATACACATGCAATACACAATAATCATTTTAATTGTAATTACGTTAAATGTAACTGGTAACATCATGCTAAATACAGTATTTCTCCATTATAGACAGTTTTCCCTTCTCAGTATGCTAAAGTCCCTAAGAACCATTACTCCCTTTGTCGTCTTTCATTACAATTATCAGAGATTTGACTTTTAGCAAATATGTAATTTTTAAAAAATTATTTGGAGGGAATATTCATGATTTTTTTTTTTAATATCCTTTACGTTGATCATTTCTTATCAAAGTGTGTGATGTTCAGAAAATATTTCGCTTATCCATTGCATCGTTTGTGAGATTGTAAGTCTGGTAAAAACAATGAATGATGTTTTAACGAAGGAGACGTGTCTGTTTTCGTTGAAAGAAATGCATTATATGTGACGTTATTATTAAATATTATTAGGTACCAAAAAGTGTAAAGCAAGGTCGAAGTGATTCTGCGTTAAATAAAAGCATGTAAAATTCTTTAAATCTATTTTTGATCATCAGTTTACAACCATGAAAACATTTAAGTTTACATTTACTCTTATTATGTACATATATAGATGTACCATAAAATATTCGTTCATATCAGAATATTAATATTAGCACTGTATAAATACATTTATATTTTTTCCATGCTGTATTCGTGTGTAGGTGTCTGCGAGTTAAATTGTTATTACATGCTACGTACAATTTACGATCAACAAGAGGATACAGCATCTCAACTAAATGCCATAAAGTAACAGTTTGCTTCTTTATAAAAGTTTTTCTTTGCATATTACAGTTAAAACTTACATCGTAGATTTGTGTAGTTCTTTGTATATGGTACTTAATCATAGCGGATCCGAGCCGCCCGACCGCATTCCTCAGTTTTCCGGAGGTCGGACATTTCGATAATACTGAGCGGTAAAGTTTGTCTCGCAAGATTCTTGTTTGGCACAGAAGCGAAGGTTTTCGGAATACATATGTCCAGAATAATATCTCACAATTTCGTATTGTTTTTTACTCGTCAGTCTAAATACTCTGAGATTTCGCATTTAGCGCAAAGTTTCGAAAGAGGTGCCTCACAGAAGATCCTGTAAATACTACGATGACGCTTAAAATGTCCACTTACTGGCTAAACAGGAATGCAATAATGCACTGGTGTACACTGAGGTGTACGGACTATGTATACATATATATATAGATTTTTGAATGGATCTCTCAATTCGTGTTAAATAAAATTGATATGTCTAATAGCTATTATCAATCGTTTTCAATTTCAAAAGGTTTTGTATTGTATTTCGAAGTAATTCTGTTGCGTTTGCTAAATTTAATATTCGGTTTTCCCTCATTCGGTATGACATTTATGGTAGTATGTGTATCTGTACGATTTACAAAATATTGCAAACAGATGCTGAGAAGAAGTAAACCACTCATGCAACTATATAGTTTCTTTTGGAATTGGAATGCAAATTGTATATACTGATGATTCGAGTGAATTCGACGTTTGAGCTAGAATTAGTTTGGCTTTTGAGGAAGCTGGGGCCGCGTGGGCCGCCATCTATGTACAGGTTATTCTAAAATACGTATTTGTATTGCATAAATACAGTTTATCTTTACATTCGCTTAATGAACAATCACAACGCAGAGTTTTCGAATAAAGTGAGTGAGGAGGAACCGCTGACGCAGGGTTCTCCCAGATGATTTCGGAAATTATCGCATGGTAACGTATAGGGAAGTAGTACTCAATGTCACAGATTGTCCTTTACTATTTTTGTCACTCGTTTATCTAGGAAAATAAAAACTCAAGAATGCCGTATGGAAAATGAAACAGTTGAAATCATTTAATTGGTAAACGATAAACATTTTGGCACAGTAAATAAAACTTAAAATAAAATATAAATAAATTAGGCGATAAAATAACTACTGCATTTGACTAGACATTCGAGCAGAAGCCTAAAATTACATTTATCCGTTTTTTGTCTTTAGGAAACTTTTTTGAAAAGCAACAAAGTGCACACACATGTCAACTTAAACTAGCGTTACCCTAGATTTGAACACTTACTTAAGGATAAACACTCATTTGTGGATACTTTATTTAATAATACTTAAGACTTATATACGCTTGAAGGCATTTGAGCATAGAACAGAATCGAACAGTACAGTTGGACGAAATCAGGCGGAAACGGAAATGGAAACGGAAGACTTGTAGAGAAAATGCACACAACAAAGGATGGCCATTACAGATGGGAAGATGATAGGTGTTCGGTTTTGTATTTGTACGCGAGAAAGTCTTTAAACGGCTCTGAAGGCCCACAACAAACAGTTATCGAAGGTGCTTTATGGTGGGCTGCTGTAGCTGTATTTGCTTTTAATGTATATCTGCTTACGCTTATTGTATATAACACCGAAAATATGCAAGAATTATGTTGTCCGTCAACTAAATCTATGACTATTTTATGATTACTAATGCTATTGCGAACCCAAGTCCGGGGAAATGGAACAGCAGATTGTTAGAAGTTTTCTATGTCGGGGTGATTTGTATATCTCTCTCTCTTCTTAACTTGTTTTTTATTTACAGCACCTGATTCGTAGTGTTCTGTGTTGTACGATGAGAAAAGGTCACATGCACACAGCTGGCGAGTACAACCATAAGAATCGCTAATAGTTCCCATCTTCCAAATTTCTGTCCGGATCTGCGGGGGAGGGTGGCGAGTGGAAAGGGGCTGAAGGTATTAGACTAAACGTGAGTATTTAATTTGGTTTCGGTTTTGCTTTTAGCCCTGCATGTATTGGTTTACATTAAACTAGATTAAGTTAAGCCATTGTCAATAACATACCACCCGGCATTGGCCTCAAAAACGTTGAATCAATTCATCAATTTGTTGTAGTACATTAGCTCACTGTCCAAATGGAAAACGTGTGATTCTTGTTGTTGTTCAAATTTCTGGCAGATTTACTGTTGTACCATTTAATTTAATATATGCTTGTATATAATTACTATATATATCCTAGGCCTATATAAAACTGCACTGAGAGTGTGTGTGTGTTTCTTGGGGTTCAAAGTTCGGAGCTTGAACCCTCGTTGTCTGTGTTTCTTGTTTTTTTTGTTTTCTTGGGAGGGTGGGGGTCGGTCAGGGGCAAGGGATTCTAGAATTATAAATAGATTAATGTCTTTTATGCGTTTTGGAGAAATTTGAAAGATATCCTTCCTTATCGGCTACTTTGCTACACTCATATTTACAGTGTCTTACAACCTACAACTTTGCGTTAAAAGTAAAGTTAAAACTTTTCTCAACTTCCATTTACATTGGTGTGCATTGAATTTTGTTCACGTTTAGCTAAAATCGTTTTTGATCTCACTCAATATCACTTGATTTCACTAGATTTTCTCTTGGGCTTTCGGTTTCTGAGCCATAGTTCAATAGTTTAGGTTTGTAGGTAGGTAAGTACAATCTAAGTAAAACTTCAACTACTCGGAGTTGCTGACTTGCGTCGTTAGAACTAGAACAACAATCATATATCGCATACATCGTACACCTAGGCATGTAATTATATATCAAGTATATATATATGTATATATAGAGATTCTCTTACGCCCTAGACATTTATCGCCCTAGTAAAGTATCAGTGTAGTGTGTTGCAACTATGTACGAGTATTTGAGTAGAAAAACTTGTAGTTAACAGTAATTATGCACTAGTATTTATCATAGATCGGGATTTCGCCTTAGCTTTAGCCATAGTTGTAGTATAGTTTTAGAGTACATCTACAGTCGAGTCGAGCAGAATAAACGCCTACTATAAAAAACGGTAGGTATACATTTACATATTCGAATTTCATATTACTTTAACATAAATATTGCACTTGCCTACAATAGTCAATAACAATTCAATTTGAACTTTTTACCAATCTTTGGCTAGACTTACAAACTAGAGCGAGTCGCAGTGATTTCCTACTTAGGGGATAGATAGAGAAGTGATTGGTAGAGAGAAGTATAGAGATAGAGATAGACCTAGTGAAGAAATGCCTTTAACTACTACGTACACGTGACATTGATTTTTAGACTCAAATTCGTCTAAGCATAAATTCTAACAGTGGTAAACAATGCTTGCTGCTTGCTTAATGCGATTGTCAATCGATTTTTGTTTGTTTGCTATATACGCCTTATTGATTCCTTATCCACATCGATCATTCCTCTTCGATCGGTCCCTACGAAGGGGCGGTGATGGTAGATGTGGCGACGGTGGTCAATCCTGATGGTCCAGCCTGATGGTTCAGCTGGTGTTTTTGATCCGGTTCCTGAACGCGGTGCGTCTTCATGTGCGCACTGCGACTCTTCACCTTATTGAATACCCTGGCGTAAGAAAAGAACAGAAGACAGGGCACCATGAGAACACATCGATCTGGCGCTTTGATTTCGATCACTACCAACTAGAATGCAGACTAGGCGGATTAAATGGACATTTAGACAAAATGAAGCACATAGAGTACATATTGTATAGCACATGCATAGGTATAGCTGGTTAAAGAGAGTCATGCAGAGATACGAAGTAGATTTTAGCTTGGATTGCTTTTCGATTTTCTGTTCACTTCTTCTTACTTAGCCTTGTGTGGAGTTAAAATTTGCTTTTGTTGTTACAAATAACTATGGAAAATAGAAAGTTTATGTTTAGGAGTACAAAAAAAAGAACAAACAAATTAGTGATAAAATACATATATATTTTAAAGGAACGGAAGAATTGAGTTTGTGCTCTTGAATGATACAGCCGTTCTCGGGTTGTGATTCCCGTGTTATAATGGTGTTTATACTGGATTCGTGAATATCTCTAAAAGGAATATCCATTTTTTGCTTTGTTTTAGTATTTTCAGTAGATAGTCATTATATTTGTACATTTATACATTTTTATAATAGTTGTGTAGAATATATTGTTTTCTTTTTTGGGACTCAGAAACACATACAATTTTGATCACATTAGAGGCCAGCTGTTCCAATATACAAATGAGGGATTTGGATAGGTTGTTCATTTTAAATATTTACAAAAGTTATTAAATGCAGAGGCATTTGGCGCTGTGAGTAAGTTTATCGAAGACAAATTACAATAATACACGAAATGAGAGAACAGAGATCAAGTGATGGAGTGTGAGAACGGAAGAGGGATATCGAAATTAACCGAATGGTGGGAACGGAAAACGAAAGTCTCCTACTTACCGAGCATTTTGCCAGCGAGCTGTTCGTGTGGACTTGTGGAGATGATATCAGTTACGGTTACGTCTATTTGCGAGTTGTGACTCTTCGCTTTAAAATTGCAATTTCGATTTATTGATTGTATTCGTTATTTGATTTTTGGTTTGATTTGATATTGGGGTTTTCGCATCATGGAACAATACAATACAACAACAATAACAACAGTTAATATCGCTTGACGAAAACACTAACTAAATGGCATAGTAGTCGGAAACTTACATACGAAAGGAACTTAAGAATCACACACATTAAGTATGTATCTACTCGAAACTCAAATGATAGAAAAAAGTTGAAATAGGGTAGCGATAAGAAAACTCAAGATCGAACAATCGATGACAACTGAAGAGCTTTTCAAAACAATACAGGTACAGTAAACTCAAGATCTATTAACCAAGAACTCGTATACGGCATACGATACACAAGTTATTATACGGTACAGCGTGCGTTTACGATCTCAACTCAAGTCAATTTTACGGGCACTCAAATCGCTTGCGGATTTTCGAATTTCATACGATTTTCACGTGTTTTTTTTGTTTTTTATGCTTTTGATGGAAATTGCTTTGGGGGAATCTTACTTGCCGCACACCTTGCAGGGGAACTCGCCCTCCTTGGCAATTGGCAGAGTAGTGTTGCCCATGCCCGTTTCCAATTTGGGTGTGGCCGAAAGCGTAGACGATGTTGCTGTCGTTGCATTTGGATTGGTATTGCAATTGCTGCCGTTTTGACCCATGTTGCTGGCGTGTGTTGCTGCTGCTGGCGTGGCATTGCTGGTTGGGTTATTGCAATTGCTGTTGCTGCTGCTGTTGGTTAGTGTTGCGCATGCGTAGCTGCTATTGGTTGTGCTGCTGCTGCTGGTGGAATTGGCACTATTTGCCGTGGCATGTTGCATGTTGCCGCTGCTGGTGTTGCTGCTGTTGTTGGTGTTGCTGCTGGCACTGCGGCCATAAGCGTGTATGCGGACATGGCCGTGCAGCGCTGCTTTCGAACTGAAGCTCTACATTCGGCGCAGGCGGGGATTGGAAAGATTTCGGTTTGATTTTCGAGCGTTATGTACAAGAAAGAAAGTTGGGTGAGGTAAGGTTCGGAGGGTTAGCTGCATTTCGTGCTCGGGGTCCAGGGGACATGCTGCTGCTGCATTTTATAACTAAAACTTACCGCTGAGCAATCGGCGATCTCGCAGACATAGGGCTTCTCCACAGCCGGAGTAATGACAACCACGGGCTCCATCTTCAAGTGTGACACCTTGTAGTCCACGCACAGCTTCTTCCAGAAGTAGTACATTTGCACACAATCGCCGGAGGATTTTGTCTGCAGCTGCGACAAGTGAGTAACATTATTAGTATACATACTAACCGTTCAAAACCGATCTTTCGATCTTCAAAAGGTCAAAATCGAGATGAAGCTTTGAAAAACAAAATCAAACTACTTTCCTCTCTATTTCAAGATCGTTTCATCTTAAAAAACAAACTAGAGATTTCAATGACGTTTCTTTTCGAATAAGGAAGAGTCAAATTAAGATCATTTGATCTTGGCTACTTCAAAAACGATTAATTTCAAAAAAACGTTATTGAGAGCACATTTGTCTTGATTTCAAGAACGTTTCTTCTTGAATAAGTGAGAAGGGAAATTCTTAAATCCAGATCATTTAAGCTCGTCGTTTTTCGTTCACAGTTTTTCTGAATTAGAAGAACTTACCTCACTGGCAATCTTGCCAAAGTCCTTGCCATGCTTCTCCAATCCTCGCAAGAACTGCTCCAGCTCGTAGGCGGTCCACTTCATCTGGAAGGCGCCTGATTGCGTTTGGAGCAGGCTGAGCACCGCTGCTGCCGAGTTCCCCTTGGCCTTGAGCAGCGTTTGGAGCGCCACCTCCTCGGAATGACTGCCCATGGCACGGCCGATGACTTGCTGAGATCAATGTAGCGCATCAGGATCTTGTCATCCTCCTGCACCTCTGGATTCCACATCAGATCGGCACCCGGCGAGTCCCTCGATGCCTCTTCAAATGGCCGGCAGCTGGGTATTTGCGCCTGATAGGTCGAACCCAAGTTAACCTTGGACTCATCGGAGAAGTCCACCAGGCCCACCGAGTCACCGAAGTCATCATCAAGGCGTCGAACAGACCCTGACCCAGTTGCTTGCGCACATTGCTGTACAGTCCGGTGCCCTTGCGATCCGGATTCAGGATGGGAGCCGGCGTATAGTGGGTGCGGGATGGCTTACGCAGCTTGGATCGATGCGGCGACAGGGTGTGGAACTTGGAGAACTTGTGCGTCTCCTGGGGGGCATTGGAGCGCAGGCGGCGCTTCAGTATGGAATTGGTTTGGTTGGAGAGGGGCTGCAGATTGGTCACACTCGGCGGAGGGTTCTGCAGGAGACCGGACAGGGACTTGTTCGCCATGGTTGTTGTCGTATTGCCACAGGCGAACAGCAGGCCGCATCGATTTGGCCTTGATTAGCATTCATTTGGCAATCGGTGGTGAGCAGAGCAGGTTCATTGCCCCCGGCTGAGGCGTTGCCATTGGAAGAGGTGGCCCCACCATAAAGCAGTGGTTGGAGCAGGCTGTTCAGAGGCTGCATTCCCATGACCCCTGACCCCTGGCTTGTGTCCATGTACTGGGTTTGGCTGGTGACTTGAGTGAATCCATGGCCACCCACCAGGGGCAACATGAAGTCACCCTGCTGCTGACCCACCGCTGGCAGCGATTCCGTTTGATTGAGTGGTTGCTGGGGCAGCAGCAATTGCTGATGTTGCTGTTGCTGTGGTTGCTCCTGCTGCGATTGCTGTTGCTGCTGCTGATGTTGCTGTTGTTGTTGCGACTCCTGTTGCTGCTGCTCTTGCTGCTGCGGCTGCTGGTAGATGATGTTGCCCTGAAGTGCCTGCTCGAGCGGTTGCTGCAGAGCCATCTGCTGCCTTTGCTGGCCAAATTCCCTAGGTGAAGAGGAGAGCAAGGGGTCCTCCGAATTGGGCATCATCTGGGATTGCAGGCCCAAGCCGGGCAGATAATAGAGATCGATGATGTTCTCGCCCTGCTGCTCACTGCTCAACTGGAGCTGCATATTCTCATCGGGCAGGACCTCCCTTAGCACCTGCTTCACATCCTCCGCGGATCCAATACCGCTGGTGAAGAAGGACTCGGAGAGCGGAGAGGTGGCATTACGCGAGTCGTTGAGGAACTCCTGGTCCTCGTCCAGGAACGACAGGTTCGTCTCCGCAAACTCCCTCAGATCACACTCGGTGTCATCGTCCGTGCCATTCAGCAGATCCTCCACCTTGATGGAGGGATCGAAGCTACTCTCCTCCAGCACCGATTTCAGTTTGAGGATCTTCTCGTTGTCGTGCTCATTCAGCTGCTCAATGGTGGCCTCGCCCTCATCCGTCTTGAAGTAGATGTGCGAGAAGTCCGTCTTGTCCCCGAAGAAGGTGTTGCTGGCATCCACAAACTGGGCAGCTGCATCCTCGATAAAAGGCGAACTCTGGGCCATATTCTCGTGACTCGAGGGGGGTGTTGGATAGGCCAGGGGCGAGTGGAGTGGCGAGGCCAGAACACCAGTTCCATTTCCACTTCCTCGCATGCTGGCTATCGCCTGGATCTGCGAACTGTTCTGCATGATCAGCTCCTTGGAATGGAATTGCTGGAAGGTGGGCAACGGCGTGGTATTCGCACCGGAAATGGATCCGTTTCCAGATCCAGAGTTGGCTTGCCCACTTTCCGGCTCCAGTTTCACCAGCTGGGTGTGCGCACTGTCGCCGGCTTCGCTCAGCATGGCAAAGTCCTCGGAATGTTCGCTCTTGATCTCCTCGTCGTTGAGTAGCTCCATGGAGTCCACCGTCTGGAGGAGCATCTCGGTGTCCGAAACACTGTACACCTCGGCATCATCGAAGAGATCGCTGCCATCGCTGGTGTAGGTCACCGTGTAGACTCCGCCTCCTCCGCTTGTGATCACACTTCCACTGCCACTTCCACCTGCTGCTCCTCCTCCTCCACCTCCCGTGACCTCTTGATTGGGAGCAATGGTCAGCGAGAGTGGCGTTCCATCGGCGAGCGAAAGATTTCCGGAGGAGCAAGTGCCACTACTGGTTATATTGCCCTTGACCAGACTACTCAAACTGCTCAGCTTGCTCTTGGTGGACACCACCTGGACATCGGAGGGTATAATCACTGTACGATTGTTATTGGTGATGATCTGCCGGCCAACCGTCTGCACACTGCCCGTTCCACCAATGGTGGTCAACTCGGTGACGGCACCACTGCTTCCACTGGAGGTCATCATTATACCCGAACTCGTTTGGCCCTGGGATTGAGCCTTCTTCGAGGTGACCGCAATGCGAGTGCCTCTCTTGAGCAGCTCGATCAGGGTGGAATCCTTGGGATCCGTGTTAGTGGCCGTGGAAATGCCACTGATGGTGCCTCCGGCCTTCAAGGCAGTCAGAGCACTCATCGTCGTGGTGGTGGGTACATTGTTGGTGGTTATGGTGATCGTGTTGGTGCCAGTGCCCAGATTCAGGGTCTTCGCCTGCTTCTGACCCCCGCTGAAGATCTCGATGCTCTGGGGCAGGCCAATCTGCTGGATACTGAGTCCACTGCTGCTCTTGATGGTCGTGGCAGCTGGGAGAACCGCTGTGGTGGTGCCCGTACTGGTGGTCATCGTCTGGGTGTGACTGCTGGTGCTTGTCTTCGGGTTGAGGAAGCTCTCCAGGTCGCTGATTGATCGGCGCAGGGTGGTGGTAGTGCCACTGCTGTGCGGTGGCGCCGGAACCACAAAGGAGCCCTACACAGAAAAAAAAATCACGTAAGGGTCAATTTGGGATTTTCTCTCATTGAAAATTCTCTCAATTCAAAAATAGAGATGGTAGGTGCTCACACAGTTAATAAAAACCACAAGAACCTCTTAAGAAACTACGTAAAATAGACCCACCACGGTAAATACTTTAAAGATATATCGTATTGAAACTTCATGTTGATATTTTTTACCCACCTTAGTCATATCCTTCTCTTGCTGATGATCTTCTCCTCTATAAGGGCTCGTACTCCAATGCTTGCCGTCTGCAGTGGTGGACCACTGGAGTCCTTCTTCTCGCTGCGCTTGGTTTCCGGATCCTTCTTGTAGTAGCCGCCATGAAGACGCATGTGCCCATTGAGGGCGGGTATATTTTTGAACTTGCGGTGACAGAGATTGCACTCGACCGGTTTGTCGAGCTTGACGATGTTGAGCAGGTGGGGATTCATGTTGCTTACCATCTGTGGGCTCAGCTCCTCCTCCTTGACCTCCACGGGTGAGTTCGAAGAGGGAGGGGCTAGCTCAGAATTGTCCTCCACGGTGACGGTCACATTTTGGGCACTATTTAGCTGTAGAAAATGAGAGATTATATTATATGACTTTATGTGAGTTCTATATATATTTTACCCCTACCAGTTGCATGTTCCAGGTGCGCGGTCTGTTCTGCGATGGTGACGAATTGGTGTTGATCTTGTAGGAGCTTACACTGGTGGGCGAGGAGACGGTGACCTGGGCACTAGTTGCTTGTCTGCTGCATAATCTTGCTGATGAGATCCAACTGCTCGCGGGTCAGGCCCTCGCCCTCGAGATTCATGCCATCACTCAGGGTGATGGTGGGTGAGCTGGCGGCTATACAGAGCCACTCGATGGTGAGGGGCCATGGAAACTGATCCCGAAACCGATCCGGAGCCCGATCCCGTCCCCGAACCCGCTGAGGAAAGCGAAGAGCTGGCGGACGAGGCCGTGGAGGAGGCATTCGAGGAGGTCGATGTGGTGGGCGACAGCAGGGTCACGCCCGTCTTGATGGGCAGTTCATGGCCTTGATCTGCTCATCCGACAGGGCGATCCCAGTGGCCGCGTCCACCACCGAGCTGCCCGTGGAAATGTAGGTGCGAATGCAGGTGGCTCCGTCCGGGGAGCTGGCATCCCCGCTGGCCGTGGCCGGCGAGAGGCTCAGGGAGCTGGTGGCCACCCCTGCTCCACTACTGCTACTCGTACTGGCGGTGGGCGACAGTGACTGGCTGGTGGTGGGCGTGGCTGCTCCGCCGGCATGGTGGTTCTCCGAGTGGCGCCTCAGGGATCTGGCATCGCAATAGGATTTGCCGCAGCCATCCGCCTTACACTCGTAAGGCTTCTTGTTCCGATGGGTCATCATGTGTCCGTTTCTATGGGGGAGGCGGAGAAAGGTGGGTGATTCAGTGACTCAGTGGTTGGATGGCTTGGTCAAAGATCAACAGATCACTGGTTAGTGCGCCTCATTTACTTACAAGTGATCTTGCCGCTTGAATGCCTTCGAGCAGAGCGCACAGATGTATTTCCGCTCGTCGCTGTGCGTCAGTTTGTGCTTGGCCAGCGCCGAGGCATTTCCAAAGATCTTGCAACAAATCTATAAAAAGTCCGGGTGAAGAACGTAGGAGAAATGTAATTAGCACTGGCTGTCGGCTGCCCTCTAGATAGATAATTGAAAGCGCTGCGGCCGTCGCTCGCCGTTCGAACATTTTAATGAGCCACATTGCGTATACGTTATGTTGCTGCTGGTTTTCTCCCCTCTTCACCCACCCCTTTTATTCGGCCACCACACACCGCATGCTAATTACGACCAAGGAATTCCGAAACCAAAAGCTAGGCCACATTCATACCCTAAACTATCCGCAGGAACATGTGTGTATATTTTGATTGCCTGCAGCAGGAGTGAAGTTGGAATTCCCCGTTGCCACCGCTGACCAAACATTTCCTCTCGACATCCGCAGTATCGTAAAACGCGTCATAAAATGTACTTTACCGATGTAGAAAAAAACCGAAAAAAAAGGAACGAGGACTTGAAGCCCCAGCACTTTGAGCGGCTGTCAGTTTTATTGACAGACGTCGAGACGTGTTGAATGCCCCTGTTCTTCGATAACTTAGTGAGCGAGTTTTTGTGTGGAAATTTTCACACGGCTAAAAAGCAATCAAAATCAATATTTAACTTTGATACCGAGAGCTACGAAATTTTAGAATCATGAGCAAGCATGTTCTAAAATAACCCAAAGCAATGGAGTGGAGATTTCTTAAAGAAAATATTTTAATATTTAATATTTTAAAAAGGAGGTCATATATTATACAGAAATTTGATTAGAACTGGTAACTAATCAACAACATATTTTATTTTATTCGAAGTCAAAGCATAGATATAATTTGAAGATCATCAGCTTTTCCAGGTTTCACTTTCTAGTATTTTTGATTTCAATAAAATTCGTTATAAGGTCAAATCGAATTTGAATAATATTCTTCTAAAGTGGTATCAGAAAGGTTTGTGTATTACTTTAACCTTTAAATAGTAGGAACTTTTCTCAGTGCAAGTAATTCGTTTGAAGAATTGTGTAGAAACGCTCTTTACCCTGGTGGTCTTCCCAGTTCCCGAATTATCAATGCTGCGCTCAATTAGCGCCGTGTATAAACACACCAGACTAAGGCTATACTATTAGTTCCAAGTGGCAGTTGGGTGTACTTTAACAAGCAAAAGGGGCTGCAGATGTGGTGGGCAAAAGCGAAAGGCACTTTATAGAACCGTCCGCGTTTCACCTGCCACTCGAACGAGACGACCTTAATGTCTGTTTATAAATATTGCACGACTGTCTGTACGGCATGTTGGCATGATGGCTCAAAATGAGCGGCGATAAATTGGCGATTAGACCGGGGATATATAATATAGAGAGGGATATATATTAGGCTTACGCACCTGACACTGCTGCGGTCCGTGACGCGTTGGCGAGGATAATTTGGGGCGATTCTTGCGCGGCGCCTCGACGCTTATGATGTCGATACCTCCAACGCTACCGCTACCATTTGTGGATGCCCCCGATGAACCTAATCCCCCAGCGGGAACATGCTTCCGTTGCTCTTGAAGCTCAAACTATGGCCACCTCCGCTGCTGCTGTTGCTGTCGTTGCTGTTGCTGTTGCTGCCGTTGCTGCAGTTGCTGCTGCTGCTGCTGCTGCTGTTGCTGCCGACACTGATGCTGCTGCCCACCGAGGAGGCGGTACTGAAGTTCTGCTGTTGCTGCAGTTGCTATTGTTATTGTGCTGATTGAGTAAACTGGCCGCGCTGCTCGTGCTGCTGTTGCTCATAATCTGCGCCAATGTGGTGACATTGGTGACCGTGTTGCTGCAGCTGCTGCTGCGGATCAAGCAGTTCTTGATGTAGCTGGTGTTGGTCTTGTTGCTGTGCTGCTGCTGCTGCTGCTCACAATACTCGTGTTCGTCGAGGTGCTGACCGACTGGACACTGCGCCTGGTTATGGTTATCTTGTTGGGGTTCGCTAGATGATTGCTGCCCGCCGACTTGGCTGAGCTATTGCTTGAAGTTGCTGTTGTGATTGAGTTGTTGTTCTTAAGAGCTGGAAGATGAATGAGATTGGTGAGATAGGTGCCAATGGATGTTTTTAAGGGGATACCTTGCATTCTATGGGTTTCTTTAAATCATTATTTTATCCCTAGAAAACCTTGGCTACCTAGCATAGTTCAACCCACTACAGAAGTTTCCATTTTTTTTATCTGACCTACCTTACTAAGATAAGATGGTATAGAAAATCACTTAAATCTGCATCTTTTATCATTTTTTTTCTTAAGCCCGGTGCATTAAATACAACAAATGTTACTTTCTTCAGCTAATATACCTAATTATCTAATTTATCCTCGGACAAACACTAAATTATATAGTGTGTGAAAAAATTTCGGGTACTAATGTTTTGGAAAAACAATTTTAAATTATGAAGTACTGATTGACGAGTATCTTGTACTAATTCTTTTTAAAGAATAGTTCTTAAAAATGTTGCAAAATGTTTAATTCTAAACAAATTTTGTCTAAAATGTATAAAATAGCACTATAACTTTAGTGGTTTGAAACACTTTGTATAGAATTTGTCAAAAATTAACAATATTCTAAATGGCAAAAGTTATCTAGAAATTTAAGCGCAAATGACTTTTTGAACCGCCGGGTGGACATCATTGTATGCATACACGGTATAGTTTACTTACAGGCTGTCTGAATGGTGCCCAAGACATCTGCCAACATTTCCGGATCCGGATAGCCGATGTTCAGCGCATTCTCTAGCGTCGACGCTGGCGCACTTGCCGCGCCATTCGGTGACGTAGTGGATGTGGCTGCCGCTGATGCTGATGCTGATGCGGATGATGCGGATGCTGCTTTTGTGGCCGCTGCCTCCAAGGCGTTCGCATCCCGCAGTTGCAGAGTCACGGATCCTTCGGTGCCCACGGATGCGCTGCACATCAACACGCGCGGCGCGCTGCTGAGAGTCGTCAATGGCAGGTGGATGCTCTTTGGTACCTGCGGGCGGTAAGTGCGAAATGCAGAACATCAGGCATCTCAATGGCTGATGATAATTCATTGGGGGCTGTGTGTGCTTTGGGGTTCTACTATATAAGGGGGGGTTCGAGATGGAGGCACCCCAATATCGCTGCCAAAAGGCGGGACAGCCACACAGCCATGATGGCTGTCAGGCGAGATTAGTCGAGATTATTATTGATAATTCACAGCAACTGTCGCCTAATGGACGACGCCTCGCATAATTAATTGAATTTAAATGCATTTCACTTCAAGTCCGACAAGTGACTACTGTGCCACGCCCCCTGGGGGCAGTAAGTACGGAAGCACGTCGAGCATACGCCGTGTGGCCAATATGTCAGTGCACTAAAAAAAATGAGCCACAATTTGCAGTAGACACAACTGAAAATGTATTAAAAAGGACTCGGAAAATGTCTCTTGGTGGAAAATGTTATTATTTAATAATTTCTTAGATAACAATACTTTTCTGTTTATTTTTGCAAAAATAATTCAATTCTTTAAATTCCGTTTACATTTTTGTCTCAGTGTGGTCCTCGTCGCATTTGGCACTTGTAAAACAATGGTGTATTTTAGTCCGTCATTTATTTGCCTCATATACTTGGCAGCCCCTCGACATATATTAATTTAAATGCAATAAAAGTGCACTCATAAATTGGCTAAAGAGGCTGGGCGGGGAATTTTGGGTCGACGGGGGAGTCCGTTGTTAGATGGGGCAATTAATGCTTTATAAACCGCAACCGATGCCCAATTAATGTGGCCTGCAATTGCCCATAACCACAAAACAAAACGCGAATAAAAATAAATAAAACACCAGGGCATAAAATTCCAAAAGTGCCTGCGACGCTGACCGCAATTGAATAAAAACACAAAAACACAGTTCCTGTGTAGTGAATGCGAAAAAACCAAAACGAAGACACTGCATAAATTCGTTTTGGACGCATAAAATTTAACGTAAAATAAATAAACAGCAATTTTATTATTGTTTAAGTTGTGGCGAAAAAAAAACACAACTGCTAGCCAAACGAAAAAGTTCCCTCAATGAACTGAACTGGAAAAGGAGCCACAAGTGGCACGCCCCCGCATTAATGTTCTCCGAAAAACAATTTGTTTATTTAAATATGCCATGGACAGGGGGGCTATTAGAAGAAGTAAATTAGATTTATGTTTATCAGTTGTTGTGATAACCTTGTCGCTGCTTTGAAATGCTTAGATTAATGAAAAACAAGTAGATTTCTGGGAAATTCTTAAATTTCAAAATAAGTTAAAATTCCTTACAGCTGGTATATCTCCAAAATCAAAGGATCCTTAAATTATGCTCAAGCTAAATCAATGCTGGTTTCAAGTAATTATATGTTTGCTATCCTGCACAAGCAAAAGATTTATGAGCGTCGTCTGTTATAAAATCCCCATGTCTGTCAAAAACGAAAGGTGAGAGGTGTAAACGGGGGATTATGTACACCCCATTCTGCTGAACTCTTCGGATGGGTGGGCATATTTTTACGGCGTGATTCATGTGTCAATCAAATGTCAATGTCACTCCACAAAAAAGCAACCCATCCCCAAAAAAAAAGGAAAGGAAGGCAAACAAAAATGTTGAATGAACGAGATGGTCGTGTTGCAGGAAAAGTTTTGCGCTGCCAAAATCATATCTCCACTGCAGCCAGACTTGGGCCAGTTTTGATGGCCAGATTGGAAATTGGCAAGGTCTGGCTGGTTCGACCATTCTGGCGATATGTTAATGAAAATTTCAAGATGATGTCAGCGTAAAATTGAATATGCTGGCCGGCAATTTGTCATCGGGCTTTTCTCTGCTCCTCCTACTTATTAGTAAAATGAGGTGAAACACATGTTCGCCGAAGGGCTGGAAAAAGCCGCCGTCGTCATCATCAACAACAGATTCATCATCGGGTAACTCGGTCATATGGCACGCAATCTGTCCGCTTTCCTGTGTTTTTCAATTTTCAATTTTGTTTATGATTAGGCCTTCAAAGACACGGGTATCAGCTGGCGTACAACAGGCCGTATGCGTAATATCACAAGTTTAATCATTTAAAAAATGGGTTTTTAAACGCTTTATGACATAAACATTATTGTCAACGCAAGTGTGGTAATTATGGAAATTTATGGATGTCACACGCCGAGAAAAGATTTATAAATTTGAATTCTTCATTTTTATACTATTTGTAAATTTGGAAAACAATTAATCAAGCCTATATCTATCCAGAATTTATGTTGTTTATAGTTAAGATAATAATTTTGTCTATTTTGTCTTATTTTATAATATTTAATTTAAAATTCAAAATAATAAAAATGTTTTGTTTCAACTGTACTATTTTAAATTTCAAAAATAGATAAGGTGACACTGCAGTCAATTCCTTATTACAAAGTTTGCAGACTAATAATTGTTTCGATCATAAATATTCATGAAAACTGAAACCAATTTAGGAACTTTCCTAACTGTTAAAGTAGTTAGTTTTATAACTACTTACTCAATGATTCAGAAACGAAACATGTTTGGACATGTCAGTTACAAATTGCTGGGGAGTGAATATTAATATAATGGCATGTGCCATAAATAATGTATTCCGATGATTGATTGCTCTCAATTGTGGTTTTATTATTTTTTTGGGACTCATAATTGTTTTTTCTGCTGGCTTTGATTCACTTTTTTTTTAGTTTATGGTTGTCGATGTCGCGTACTTACCGTATTTATGGCAGCCATCGTCGCAATTGACGCCGTCGATGAGGTTCTTGTTGTTGTTGATGTTGTTGTTGGTGCTTGTACTGGTTGTTGTTGTTGTTGTAGTTGTGGTGGTAGTGGTGGTGGTGATGATGGGGATACAAAATCAAAAATCTGAAAAAAGTTTTGGTATGATTGAACATATTCGAATTCGTAGCTGCTTCTCTTATTTTCTTTCGTTTTTTTCGGGTGACATAAAAACGTGAAGGGGAACCAAAGAGCAAACAAATGTCAGAATTTATGCATAAAAATGTGCGCATAAAACGAAGTGAAATCAGAAAAATCAAATACATGCACATACAAAAAGGCGACACACTGGCACACACACACACACACACTCAAATCGGGGAAAATCGCATAGATGGATGTTCACGATGCAAAACACAATCAAAAGTATGAGAAAATTCGCATCGGTTGGTAAAAAACTTCTCGAGAATGAAATTGGGGAGGTGGTCGGTGGGCGAAAATGGTGGTTAGTCTTAGTTGTTGGCTGATGTGATGACCTGACTGACTGACTGATTGACTGACTGATTGACTGGACTGACTAACTGACTGCTAAACAGTCAGAAGAGATTAGCCCGTCGGCAGGATTAGCGTACAAAAAATATGGCATTGAAAATGTGTTTTAGTTGCAGATTATTTTTTGGATATTTAGCCAAGACATTAGCGGAAGATTAGTGATAGAACAAGCAACAAAATATCATAAAGATATAAACTTTTGGGTACTCTCTCCTTTTTTTAAATATGTGTTTATCTCTACATACAATAATAAAACCCATTAAATGTTTAAGTGAATGCATTGAAAAATATGTAAGCCAAACTACTCTAGTTATATGCACCTTTGTGTTTTTTGAAAAATATTTCTTAAATTAGAAGATATTGATAGATCAACCCACAAATTATCATAAAGATCATACTATTTTTAAGTAATTTCTTATTTTCAAATATTTATATGAATTTATAATGTTAGATATTTTGTCTCTACAAATAAAATACTTTGAAGTATCCGTACGAATGGATTTGAAAGTTATTAAACAAACCACACTTAATAATGTACAACTAGTGCTTTTAAAAGCTTGTTAAATTTAAAGAAAACGCTGAGGGGCTTATATATACACGAACAATTGATGTTATTTGAGTAGATTATTTTATCCCCAATTGGATTTTTCGTACTTTCATGTTGCGCAAAGTTTTATATTTCTCTATGTTGACATTTTCCTCCTAAAGAGCCTTAAGGCACAAGTGTTCATCGATACATTTTGGTCTGCTGCCTCAAGTTGCAGCATTGAAAATTTCAATTATTCTATGCACTCGCTTCATTTGCATTTCTGGCGAATTTTCCTCTATCGATGCCCGCCATCTCCCTCCATTTTCCGATTTTCACCGCTTTCGATGTCGCTGTCGTTGTCGTTGTCTTCGTGCTGTCTCATGAAATTTTATTTTGGTACACAATAGTCTTTGTCTGTCAGCGTGCATGCTTATTTTTGTTTTAGTTATTTAATTACAATTTTCTATAGTTTTATTTTTAATTTAATTCATGTTTGGCTTGCGTCCCACCCGTTTCGGCAACGCTTGGCGAAACATGCGCCACAAATGCCACAAAAAGCTGTGCAAAAAGATTGGCAAAGATGACAAATCTTTATTGGGCGTTGTACATCATTTGAATACTCTGCTTGACTGAGTTTTGTATGTAAATATATTTAAATTTATATATTTAAAATCTAATTTATTTCTTAGATAAACAAAATCTTTAATCTTTCCGATTTAATTTTAATCCTAATTTATTTGATGGCCAAGAAAAAGTGAATAGGGCAAGGTTCCAGATATTTCCAAGATGGGTGACGAACCCCCACATTCGAGGTATTAAGTAGAGCATTTTAAAAACGATTGCGAAATCAGAAAACGAAACAGAGACAGAAACAGAGAAGGAGAAAGAGACAGGACACACGAGCGTCGTCCAAAAGGCGCAGTTGGCCAAGGGAACTACATATCTGGCTATCTGAGCGGTAAGGGGCTGCAGAGTGGGGGGCGCCACACGCTCTTACACATGTTGTTGGGCATCAGACGCACATTGGCTCAGTACAGTGCGCGACATAAGGACGGACGGCCAGATTGTACTCAAAACGCAACAGGCAGGGGTATGCCAAATGCATCAGATGCCTCTTGCATCTGCATTTGGATTTGGTCTGGCTTTTGGATATTTGCAGGCAGCTCGCATTGCATTCCTAAGCAACTTCGACAGCAGCTGCACGGAGAAAAAAAACTAGGTAATCTCAGGGGGTTCATGTCCAACAGTCAAACTGTTAAAAAATGGTTTGCTATAAAATGATGGTTTACTAGGTAGTACTCTAAATATTGAATGTAAGCATTGGTCTACATTTTTATTTTTCGTTGTTAATGATATTGGGACTGCGTGATAATAATAAATATTAATAATATATTAATTATCTTAATATCCAATAAATAATGGAGCAAGGCAAATACAATTTGTTGATGTCCTTTTTTCCCACCCTCTTTATTGTTTGATGATATCATAAAATAAAAAAGGCATAAATATATCTCAGAAACTTAAAAAAACCAAAGGAAATTCCATCCCACTATCATTTTCTGGGTCGGTCTCACTCCTTTACCCTTTTAATTGAATTTGTTTTATAATTAAATCGCATTACATTACTGTATAAATATTGACAAAAATCTTTTCCCTTCGCATAACCCGTTGAAATCGATCTATTTTCTTAGTGTGCTGTAAACGTGAGGGCCAAGTCAATGTATCTGAGTATTTGTATCTCGCCAGAGCGCTTGTTGATTTTAATTAAAAATATATATGAGCGATGTGTGCACGCTGCACATTGCCACCGCACAGTGGTACTGTGGTACTGGCACAGTGGGTCGCTTTTGGCCCGCTCGCGAATCGTGCATCGTGTATGGGCCGTAAGCGTGCGGAATGTTGTCGAGCGCGACGACAATTTGTTTCGGAAAATCGTTGGCAAGGCGCCCACTAAAACACACTAATGAAGGAAGCCAAGGCGCGATACAACACCAATACCACCGGCGGCAAAGGCGATAAAAAGACCACAATAAACAGGGTACAAAAAACAATGGTGAGCCCCCATCAGCCCCCCCCCCCCACCCCAAAATTCCATGGAAATCCCTCAATAATTTTCTAATATTTTGATCGTGAAATTCCTTCCTTAATTTCGAAAAAAAAAATGATGTTTGTTTTTCGTATTCTCACACTCCGATTACCCAAAAACAAGACAGGCGCATACGCCCCCCGCTGGCCATGTCAACGGGCAGCATCATCCAAACAAGAAATTCTCATAAAAATAATATTAATAACTATGCGCAAAATTAGACGGCAAACATATAAACATATGCGTTTTCAATGTTAGACCACAGCCTAAAAATAATCGTGTGTAAAATGGTAAAGACAGATCGAAAGCGGCAGGCCTCTGCCAAGGTGAGTGCAGATTGGAGGATTGTGGAGCGTGTTGGATATTTCATATCAAAATCCAATTAAAATCATTCGCGCGCACCGAAAATAAACAGATTTGGGTGCGAGGGAGGGACTTTCACACACTTTTTTCTTATCGCACATTCGCATCATCAATATATGAGCACATATAAATATATACGTATGATCAGCGATTAAAGATGTATACTTAATATAATATTGCTGTTTGTTTGCACATCAGCTTTTGTATAAGCTTATGCCCAACAGACTGTGTGATTTGCCTCCTAATAAACAGCACCAGTGGACAATGGACTCCCCTCTTTCCATTTTACCCGAATACTTAGATTTTAGCTTTAGTGGCAATTAAACAGCTGCGCGTTGATCGCCCGCTAATTGCCACACGTGCAGGGGGTTGGGAAAATTGGGTCTGGGAAAATCGGATGCCTTGATTTACATTTCTATTTAATTATCGAACACTTTGCCTAATGAGAACGCGCCACCCATAAACATTCGCCTCCATTCCGCGTGGAGTGAGCCCTCGGCTGGCTTGTGTGTGCTGGCTTTTATTTATAATTTTTATTGCACATAATGCTTAAATGGCTTTTGAGAGTTGCATTTTCTTTTGTACTCCCCACTGAATTGGGTTAATAGTCAGTACAGAGTGTGTGTAGCGTTCCTTTATTTCCCCCTCTTTAATGACCCGGAATAAAAAGTTATAAGTTCCTTAACTTCTGAATAATTTTAAGCATATTTGGAACATGGAAAGTAATGTTTGAAAAGTGTTTATTTGGGAAATAAGTTATTTTTGTTTGTTATAATTTGCAATATTAGATCATTACAATTCATAGTACTATATTAATATTCCTTAATATTATGGACTGTTAGAATTTTAATTATACTTTTTATAATGGGCAGAAGCCCTTGAGAGCCTTCTCTTTGATTTCCTATTTTCGATCCCTAACGAATGCAAATATTTGTTGACATTACTAATATTAGAAGTCCCCAAAGACATGCACTCTGCATCCGAGTTAAAGGCATTAGAATTAATCACATTTTGATGACATATCATTCGAGGAATGTTCACGGATACTGGCGATAGTATCCGAAAGATGCACACAGACGCCGAGCGAATTTGATTTGCTATATAAATAACATAAGATGGCTGGCACAGTAAGTGAGCATTAATTTAATGCAGAAAGTCGACAGTTCTCGGGCATACAATACACTAAAATGCCTCAAAATAAAGTCAGAATCGCGAAATATTCAAATTCTTGGTGAGTGTAATCAAATTAGTCACATGGCCAGTGCCAACAATGGGAGACCAGACCCACACATAGGGGAAAACTGACTAATGCAGGCGATTAATTCGGTGGATAGGGAATCTGAAAGATGGTCATAGGGGTAGGGATGGGGTTTGGGGATCTGGCTCTGGGACGAAGCTACTTAAAGATGACAATCGCCATGATCTCGAGGGTGACTGAGAGGCAGCATAAAGTGCACAAAACGCCAGGCATAAATCACAACGCCCCTGTGGACAAGTGTGCGTGTGTTTGTGTGTGTGTCGGGCGAATAAAATATGTTAATTAAATAAAGATGCGGACACCCATTGGCATCCAAATCCACATCCACATCCATGGGAAAGTGCAGACGCAGACGCGAAAACTGTGACGCCGGCCAGCCAAGCGAAATCTTGGCCACAACATCTTGGACACGCCTATTGAGAGACGGACGGCCAAAACGGCGGCGACAATGCTGCACTTTTGGCAGAAAAAGAAAGAGCAACAGAAAACTAAAACCAAAACCAAAAGCACAACCAAAAACCCAGCCCAAGCAAACCGAAAGGCGACCAAGGAATCGCATGCATTATTCACGGCGAGAAATGTCGAAATAAAACGCCAAGTTTTGCAATACGAAGCATTACATGTGCTCATCATTAGAATATACCAAAACATAAGTGTACTAGGGGTGCACTGAGAGAAAATAGGAGTATATACTCAGGTATTTTTAGTAAATATGAAAGACTAGCCTCTAAAGGACTTATTAGAAATATCTTGAGATTTTTGAACAGAATCTTAAAAAGGTGCATATTCACTTTAATGAAATATTAGAATCATATCATTAGAATATACCAAAACATAAGTGTACTATGGGTGCAAAATTGCAATCTATACTCCAATATTTTTAATAAATATGAAAAACTTCCATGAAAAGGAATTATTAAAGTATCTAAGATTTTTTGAACAAAGATCTTTATATTTATGATTCTACTACAGGAAATATTGAATAATTTTCTTTCTAATACATGTTCAAATTTAAAAATAATATTTCTTTATTGTAAATATTTTGTTGTACTTTAAATTTTATTAGAACTTCAATTCCTGATTTCATTTAAGGACACTTTTGCAGAATATAAACAGCATAATTGAAAACCAAACGTGATAATGGAGTTTCTCAATTTTCTCCCAGTGCATCTATGCAAGTGCCTCAAAAGGCAGGAACCTACTTGTACTTTGGCATAATCATCCACGTTTCATCTATTGTTCAGCGGCTGCTGCCGGCCGTTTCACAAACTTTGTTGCTTTTGTACATGAGTTCCACTTCAAAAAACATAAAATACGCGGCAGATATATTTTTAGCAATCCGCTCGTTTGATTTACGATTTCATTAAATCAGCTAATGGACATACCTCTCGCTCCCAAAGATGTACGAGAGTCGGGTGGGAATATGAGGCGAAACCTGTGCGATCATCTCATCTCTCATCCTTAGAGGCGGAACACGCATACGCCGTGTAGGCCGTGGCTACTTCTGGTACTCTAGTGGTACTTTGGCTGCAGCATGAGTACACTATTCCTAGACACATATTTATATTGGGCGACCACCTGTCGTTGTCAGTAGCAAAAACGACACAAAAGCAGCCGCTGCCTTTGTCCCTGTCGGATTGATGTGTCTGCCATATAGTTTTTACCGCCAGACGCCATCCAATTATGCTCAAAACTATGTTGCAGTTGCAGCCTATTTGGCCCTTAAAACGTGGCAATAGCATGCTGCGAATTCGAGTGCAATTTAATCAAGCCGAAAATTCAATCAGTTAGAGCACTTACATAGATATATTGCCACAACCAAATGTTCAAGGCCTTTATAGATACCCATTCGAATTATGCATCAGATTATAATTAATGAATTTTATGGTTTCATTGAAATGTTAGGCATAAATTCAGTGTCCTGTAAATCAGATTACAGTGCGCTGGGGCATGTATTTTGCATTTAGAGAATGGCAGCCATCAACGTTTTGCATTAGAATAGGGTTGCTGTTGCCACTGCTGCCTTATTCAAATGTCTGATAAATATTCCACAAATTTCGTGTTTTATTTCCACATATATTTTACTGCCGCTGCAAACTGAAGGGATTTGTCATTCTCCGCTGGGAATTTATTCAAATTATTTTTTATGAACCTCAGCGACGACGCGGATGCTCGCCGCACACGTGCCGCAGTTGACGGAAATAAATTCCTGCCTCGGCAACCAGAAATTAATAGTTCATCAAGCAAAAGGCAAACGCTGACAGATAAATGACGCGACGACCATCAACCGTCGAGACGCCAGACGCAAAGGCGAAAGCCAAACCAATCCAAAAACAAACCGGGAAAAAAAGAAGCACAAAACACTACATATTTTCCAAAAAGGCATTGCTGCCTATAGACATTCCGCGGCCGGCTTCATTTTAGCATGTTCTTCCTAAAAATCTCAGCCAGATTCTTGGTTTGTTTGTTTGTTTGTTTGTCTCGCCGGGCGACATGAATAATTACATTTCTAACATAACTTGACTTTCACTTTATCAGCAATAGATCAACGCTGCGTCCTCCATAAGTCATATGCGGAGATCGTTGGCTTTCTTTCTTTTTTTTCGATTTCCCCTTGACGCAATGAGGAAAGTATTACCGCATACGCCATATACTAAAAAAAGTCATTCACGTAAAGGCCAAATAGAAGTGGAATAAATAAATAAGAAATTCCTATACCTATTTTACGGTGACGTCAATTGCCTATTATTTCGCTTTAGTCATAAATTTGACTGGCAGCCATTGGTCACTAAAAAGGAATCGCCGTCATTGGACTAAGACCAAATAAAAACAGGATAAATTAATCAAACTAAAAATCGGACAAAAAGACTGTAGGAATATCTGCACTTGGATATTATTATTACTGAAAATTAACAACATTAGTTTCAATATCTTGCCAAATTAAACTAGTTTTATTGTTGCAGGTAGCTTAGCTTGAAAAAAAATTGAAAAGCAGGACCTACTTTAATTTTATTTTATTGTTCTGACTATTTTCTATTGCTACTAGTCTTATTTCTTAAGCTTGAAAAAATCATTTTAATGAATATAATTGAAACAAAAGATTTTTTATACCTGAAAAGGATTAATTCCAGGCAGGGAACATTTTAAGATATTTTTTCTATTTAAAAATGAATTGACCTGTCCGCAAAACGGAAATAATGACTGCATTGGATATAATTTTTTATGATGCTGTTAAAGATAATGGATTTTTCACATTAATGGTGGAATAAATGGTTAAGGAATTAATGTGCTTCTTAGCAGCTCATAAAAGAATTTTATAATGCTTTTGTTTCCATGCTGATTTTCTATCTAGTTGATTTCAACGAACTAATTCTTGTTAGTATTTATGGCTAAGTTCTTAAAGATTTAATTAATGAAAAATAAGATTCCAGCTAATAGATAAATAAAATGAGTACTTATTATTTATTTTAAACAAAGTCTAGTTATTTACATAGACTTTCCAATTACCCAATCCCCCTCAACAATGCAGACTTTCTTCCCAACATATTCTCCAAAAACGACCTCCAACTTTTCCAACCCAATTTAAATTTGAAGCTTGTTCTAGGAATGAAACTCAATAAATGTGGGATGTTTTCGTGAAATTCTGGTGAATCGAAGCCACAGAAAAAGTACAAATTTTCCATTAGTTCGAAACACAAATTGCTTGGATGACGATGCCAACGTCATTGAACTTTGAACACAGAAAAGTGGTTGCTGTTATGGTTGTTGTTATGGTTGATGCTGCTGATGGTGTCGATGTCGATGGTGATGCTGATGTTTTTGTTATTATTATTATTATTATGTATTAGTATTGCTTTTGCTGTTGCTGTTGTTGTTGTCAGTGCAGGGTACACCGCGTTTTGCTTTGTTGGCAGCACGTTTCCGCCGCGTGAATTTGTCGCAAAACTCAGTGCCAATACCGCTTTTGTGTGGGTGTGTATCGTTGGTCGAGGGTGTGCGAGTGTTTTTGTGTCAGCACATATTTCAGATGCTTGTTAATGCCAGCCATAAATAAATTGGAACATTTATCACAGGAAGAAAAGTCATCATCACCATTACTGCTTATTACGATCATCACATAGCACAACATTGAGCGCAGTAAAGGATTCACCGGACTACTACAATACATTTTTAATCTGCTTTTAAAGGCTAACTTTGATCCCAAAATAGTAATTGGTCATCGGAAATTATAGTGTTTAAAGTCTAAAACAATTAAGACTAGCATAACTTTATATAAAAACATATTTTTTGCTTTGTTTATATCCATAAAGATTTTCCTGGAAAAGTCTGCGGCTTTTAGATAAAACCACAGATTGCTAGGCATGTTTTCTTTAAATGTTTATGATTTCTAAAAAGTAATAATAATTTTACAACATTTCATTTTTTCTTAAGTTTATCTAAACAAATCTTTCCAAATTATTATAAAAAAGTTTAGATTTTTAAAACAGAATTTAAATAATAACAATTTTCCAATATAAATATTTTACAACATATCTGTTTGTACTGTATCTACGTTTTCGTTAGTCATGGTTAGTACTGAAACGAACAAAAACACCAATCAAATAAACGAAAAAGACCAAAAGATACTTGAGCAAGGTGTAAAGAGAGATATAGAGAGTGGGGGGGGCACGAAAGAGAAGAGTTCCACTGGGGAATTGGTTTTTATTAGCTTTTCGGCTTACCGATCGATCGGGGGCTGCATTTGCGTTTTGCGCCGCGTCCGACGGTGCGTATGATGAATGTTGATTGTCGTCGTCTTCGCTCTTTCGTTGTCGGCCCCTTGGAACTGGCTCACTAATCTGCGGCTATGGCTTTTCTCTACACATACAACTGGGTGTGGGTATATGTATATGGGTATCCGTATCTGTATCTCGCCGACTGTGACATTGAATCGCTATTCCATTGTCGCTGATTGTAGTAGTCGTTTATAGGTTTCTATTTTTTTTTTTGGTTTTTTGTTTCTTTTTTCTTTTTTTTGTTTTATTTCACACGCACGGACACAAAAGGTGGGCCAGAGGCAAGAGGGCGGCCATTTCTGCGCCTCGGTTTCACATACTTTCCGTCTTTATGTACACCCGCACACAATATACAAGTCACGCCTTGTTCTGCTATTCTACCAACGATTCGTGGGTCCTTTTCAAGGTTTATAACTTTAAAAAGTCGTAGTTTACTTTAGTTTAGGGTTGATTCTTTGTAAAGAGGACGGCTTGACACGCTTTTTTCGATTACATCTAAACATCTTACTGTGGAAGCGTAAACAAAAATGGTGTTATTAAGGTTCAAAGAAGTTTTTCTCTTTTCGTTTACTCAGTATCTAATTGGCTTTATTATCGCTTTTCGGCATTTCTTGCTTGCACTCGCTCACTTCGGTTTTGGATTTATGTAATTGCTCCGCTTCATTAAACAGTTTATGAATTGTTGTGTGCTTTTCTGTTTTTTCGGTTCGCCTCCTCTTCGAGTTTCGACTTCAGTGCATTCATCGTTATTACAATATAAAACACATTTTTTTCTTGGCCAACAACTTTTTGGCCATCTGCAATAACAAGACCGAGGGAGCGAAACAGAAAATAGTAATAAAAAAAAGAAGGAAAAGGCTGAGACGCTTGCTTCGGGCTTCTCGTTTAGAACAAAGATGAAAAAAAAGCTTTTAAGAACTGTGGGCCGTTCTTGGGAAATTACTTAAGTTTTCAATGCGTTTTACTCAATTTGACTTTGGGTCGTTGCCGACTTGCCCCCCATCCAAACAGCCAAACATCCAAGCCCCCTCCTCCGCCCATGGCCGCTTGACTGTTGTCAGAATTGGCGCATTAAGCGCAAAAAGTAAAGCGAGAAACAACAACCAAAAACGGGAGAAAGGCGCGGGGAAATGGGAAAAGGCAGACGGTAAAAGTAGAAGGGAAACCCAACCGCTCAACCCAGAAGCGCCCTAAAGAGGACTGCCTGCTAACCGAGTTTTGGAGCCTTATCGCCCTGCCCGTATTGAATAATACGCTTGTGGGCAGTGGCTTTGCTGGCAGTTTTTAAAAAGGGATATCAAAGCTAAGAGTGCTTAAAAAAATTATTAATTGTCAAACAAATTCCATCAAAGGCAAAACTCTTACATTTGAAATCGTTAAAAAACCATCGCAAGCCATTAAAAGGGGTTAAAATTTTTCTCTTAAAAAACTGTAGTCTGCTTTTCAGCGCCTACTTTAAAGTGCCTCGTATTTATGAGTCTTCGTTAGTAATATTGATTATTAAAGTTAAGATGTTCTTTAAATGCTGGAAAACAATATAAGGTTTGCTAGTCTATTATAGGCAAAGTTTCTGATTAATGATTGTTTGAACTCCTATAAATATACTTTGATCCCTCATGGACTTACTGGTTAAAGTGGTTACAAATAATACCCCCTTGTTACGCCCCTGCTTGTATGTATTAGGGAAGGCGGAGCACATAAAGAGAAGTCAAAATAAATCGATAAATTCTACATAGATACACAGCATCAGCAGGATAACAGCAACAACAACAACAACAGCAACCAGAAGGCTGGGCAATAAACAGCCTACCAACAACAACAGCAGCAGCAACAAAAACAACAAAAACGGGCAAAATGTTTTTCGTTTGCCTCCTTGAATTGTCCTTTCAACGAACGCCTCCCACCACCCACCGCACACATCCACATACAGCTTCTCATTCAGAGAACCGAATGCGAATACGAATACGAATACAAATACGAATACGAATACGAATGCCGAGTCCTGTTGTTCGTGTGTATGTGTGTGGCCACGCGAGAGTGTGTGCGTTTATTCGCACGCCTGAATGTCTGCCAGTTCGCATTGGTTTGCCAGTGTATTGGTGTCCGTGTATCTGTGTCTGTTGTTCTGTACTCCACATCTCTGTTTTCACATCTCGCTTCGTTTACTTTGCGCGTAAGCAGGTACACGGATACACACACACACACACGGACACACACACACAGACACCCACAATTCGCTGGGAAAAATCAATTAAAATTTAACGCACGTTCCCAGGACATCTCCTCATAAAAATACGTCTTCCAATTCGAATGGCAATCGTGGGTGCCACCGCCTAGCAGGCAATTTAATTTGTATAATTTGAATTTTAATTAAAAACTTTTACGGGTTCAATAACTTGCAAAGTAACCAACGCAAAAAAATAAAAAAAAAAAGGAAAACAGAGTAAACAACGGCATTTCAATGGCTTAAATGAAATTCAGGCTCATTTCCATGTAACAGCTGTCTGTCAGCGGAGGAAAAGTGTTTTCCATTTCCCCAAAGCCTCTTTCCGCAGGAGGTGTTGTCTAAAATTGTTATTCACTTTGTTGCTAAATTAAGTTCAACTTTTCTGTGTATGGGCGGGTATTTTGCTTGTGACTTTTTAATTGCTTTAAATGCCAATGAAACTGAACCAGGTGGAAAAGTTTTTGGCCCCCCCTCTCCCGGCTTACGAGGACTTAAAGGATCTATTGAATAAATTTGGCAGCAGTCAGAGCAATTTCGTGGAGCATTTCCTCATTCCGGGTTTGTTTATCATAAAGATAGAGGGGGAAATAAAAGATGAATAGAAGCAGTGCATTCCCCCAAATGTAAACAGACACAAATCCTTCATATTTTTCAAGATTCACAAGCGACAGGCACTTTCAATCTGGCAATTGATGGCCTCTAATTACACACCCGATATGCAAATATATGCAAGATATATATATATATATATATACATTTCTTTGGCTGCGCTTTTCGCTTTTGGCTTTTACAGCCAAACAATGTAAATAAACAACCTGCAATTTTCATACGACTCTGGCAATATTTGAATTTTCTGTTTTACTTTAAGGCAACGGCATCTATGATTCGGGGACTGCCCCAAAAATGGCACACCTCCCGACCACCCAACCACGCCCACACATCCACGCCCATAAACACACACCCACTCGCATATGCATATGTTCGCTTGATTCGTTTTCAATCTTTGTAGGATGTTGTAAAATATTTTAACGACAGCAATTTTGGCCCGCTCGCGGATGATATTAAATTTGCCGTTGGCCATAATATAAAAATCGGAATGGCAGTCCTATTTATTTTGCCCGCTCGCATGTACATTTTATATCATATATTTTTATCCGTCGGATTTTATCGATATTTAATTTGATGCGATATTGATTAATAAATGTAAATTTCACCATATCCTTGGGAGGCAATCAATCATGCCGAGCGACCACTAAATCCGAAAACGGACTAAAACTGTACTTCATTGCAGCTCCGAAGGGTCCTGGTTGCAGCTGGCCGTTGTCATGGCAATTCCCGGGAGCCGCTCAATTTCCCTGCATTCATATCTCCCATTCTAAAATTAAACTGAGCTGTCCATCCTCCTCCTGTGCATTGTGTTTATGGAATACGGAGAGCGGGTATTACCGCATTTGGTCATGAAATCGGACTTGCAGATATATATGCAAAATGCGCATATAGGTTTCAGAGTTTTCAGGGCCACTTTCCCCTCCGCACGTTAAGCGGTTAAAGTTAAAGTGGGTTTCGAACTCTACATTTTCAAAGGATTCTGTGCTTAAACCCTACTTTTAGCTTAACTTGCGGACGGGAAAGGACTATCAAGTATTATACTTCGCTAACGTGTAAATGATCTTGTGAAACAGGCTTTAAGCAGGTATTTCTTATGTTCAGGGGTTTCACAGACATCTCTTCAGTCGAAATTCGGGGAAACTTCTATTGATGCTTACGTACATTCCCCTGAACTTCGCTCGAAAATATCCTGGGACACCCCTGATGTGAGGATTTCATATGTATATGCTGGACACTTACAATATAATATAATACTGCACTACTGAACAACATTCATTTTAATTAATTTGCCTTTATATAGTGATATATATTACGTACCATTAAATAAACTGGTTTTCTCAATAAATATTATAAATTTTGGTCACACGACTCTTGCTTAAATTTTGTAGAACTGTCAAAAATATATCAAAGATTATTAGGTTACAATACATTTTCTCAATAAATACAGAAATTTAGTTGAAATTGAATGGTCATGTGGCTATGGTATGAACTCTTTTTATTTTATATTACATTTTTGACCATATTAAAATGATTATTTTCCCAAGAATGCTAATACTGATGGATACAATTTGTATGCCCCAAGGAACTGGGCCGTGTGGGCACCCAAAAATGGCAACTAAATTGCGATGACATTCAACTTTCGATGGTTAAGTGCCGTTAAATGGGTGAAGGTCAGCGCTGCAGTGAGTGCCATTGCTACTGCTGGTTGGCCTCCGTCATCCTCATCATGGATGTTGGAGCTCAGAAGGGGGGGATAGTGGCAGGGGCAGAAGGCCATTAACAATATGCGGCGGCCTCAAAATCAGCAAATGCAGCGAAGGTGGGCAAACACACACACACACACTTCCAAACACAGGACAGATACACCAAACAGGCCAAAAGCACACATACGCCGTGTGGACCGTGTGCGGCAACCAAAACAACCCCCAACCAAACAGTGGTCATGTTTACTCAAACTCACACACAAATGCTTTCATAATTTGCCGCACACCCATACATAGATACATATACAAATACATGCATAAATCTTCAGCTGGCGCCATTTCACTCCTTTGGCAAACTATAAAAGCCAGCCAGCGTCTGCTGGCAACCTCCGCCAGTAACATCAATGTTTTGCTTGTTGTCGTTTGCTCTTCCATTCCGAGCAATCCCCAAAGACACAGGAAACCCCACGCCCCCTACCCCCCAGGCACCCCCCACGAACTGTATACACCACCCCCTGGCCACCCAGCATCCCTCCAATTACTCACACATTCAACGAGCACTCATTTAAACGAAGCACCCAACGCTTACAGCATAACGTCAAAGTTAACTCGCTGCTGGAGCGCGTGCTTTTGGGGGCGGAGTGGGTGGCACTGGGTGGTCTGTAATGCTGTAATGGGTGGAGAAAGGTGGAGGGGTGGGGTGGCGCCAGAGAGAAAGCAATCGTGCCGCACTGCTCTGGTCGTGCGTTCGTTTCAGCCGCTCGTGCGTCCCGCATCGCGCATCCTTTGCCACTCAACAACAATGCTCGCTGATGATGTACTATGGAACGCAGCCGGAGTTCCCACTGTAACTGGGAAATTCACGGGAATATATATAAACGCTACCCAGGGGAAAATAAGAGTTACCGAAATAATACTAATGGATTTCCGCGAATGGATTGCGAGTAATTGAACTACAAGCACTAATCAGGATTGGGTAAGTAATGTATTATTAAAATTGTAAAATGTTGTTTAAAACTTTCATAACTTGAACCACCATCTGCTACCCAAAAACGTCGAGTTAAGTAGAGTTCTAGTTATAAAATACATTTTATGAGCATTAACACTCTCTATTGCCAAAAAGCTACATATGTAGAACTGTATTACTCAAAATTGTTGATATTTAAGAACTTCGAGCTTAAAATGGTATGCCAGTTATACAAATATATCCTTTTGTGGAATTCCCAAAATGAATGAATGAATAGCATTATCATTCCAAATATAATTATATAATTGTAAGAAAATTAAACAATTAGAAAGAGTTAGAGTCTTAGAATCAATTCAAATATTATATAATCTTTTATTTTTTAAATATTTCGAAACGGGCACATATTAGGATAGATTAGAATAATAATAACCCAAATTTAGATCTGACTTGTAATTGGTTCTAAAATAAATACTTATAAAGGGAAGCTCTGTCACATGTATTTAAATATTTAAACATAAATAAAAACAAAAACATTTAATAAGCCAAATAAAAAATAAAAGATTTTAAACTCGAACTCAATTTTACAACCTTAAACACACACCACTGTAAACGCACCCACACTCGTGCAGACATCTCATTATTGGAACATTGTAGTGGGATTGTAAGATACGGGCTTACTCCATTTTACATTATAGTATTCCGAATGTTGTTACAGAATTGACACAGTGTGCAATCGTCCTTTGGCGCTCCCCCTCCCCCCCCCCCTCCGTTACTCCACCCCCTCGCATCCTTCGCTTCGATTCCTTTTCTCTTTGCTGCTTTCTGTTTTTCCTCATTTCATTTCGTTTTTTCTGTGTGTGTGTGCGAAATTTACGGGCGTAGGTTTGTATGTGTATGTGGGCTACTATGTTAAAAGTTTGTTTCCCCATAAAGGACGGCCACACCCCCCGCCCACCGCCCCCTCTGCGTATGTGTGTGTGTGTGTCTCTTGGCAAAGTTTTTGGCTACTTTTATTTTTCGTTGTTATTTAATTTGTGTTTGTGTTGTTGTTGTCTCGTGTTTGACTTCTGAATTTATTGTTGTTGTTGTTGTTTCTGTAGTTGTCAACGCTGCTTTGCTGCTGTTGTTGTTGTTGTTGCTGCTGTTATTATTATCATTGTACAACTTCGCTGGTTGTTCGTGTTTTTGATAACTTTCGGTTTAACTGTCAATAAAGGCAATTGAAAGTTGCCAGATTGTTGTGGGATCACAAAAAGAAAAGTGTATTTCCCCTTTAAAAGGGGTTTCCCCGTATCTTTTTGGGTTCCATCAGCTTTAAGATCGTAGTGCGTTTTTAAAGACAATTAACAGCAGCATCCTCGTGCGAAGCATTAAAAGGACACACGAAAGAACATTTGTCAAACGTGAAAGTTTTTGGCAGCCAGCTGGGCGTCCAACTTGGCCATATATAGGTGTATATATACTTATATAGAATATATCCCTGCCAACCGACATTGTATATATATATATATACATTCGCAGAGTCACATAATCCCGACGAACACAAACACACGAACGAATTTGGGGGCCCGAAACACAGTTAGCAATTTACTGTATTGTATTATGTATGAATTTTCCTGTGTGTGGCATTACATCTTCCATGTTTTTTAAAGCCCCTCTTTCCCGCTGATCCCATAAAAAAAAGAACAAAAGAGAAGCCCAAAAGTCCTTGCATTTGATACAGTTATACACACGAATGCACAACATTCTACAACTTTAGAACTTTAGATTTCTGTCAACTATTTTAAAAAAATCAATGCCATTCACTTCAGGTTTCTTGGGTTTTTTCTTGCATTTTCACTAGCACTTCTTTTGGGTTTTACTTCTTTTTTCAGAAGAACATTGCTCGAACCTTTTTGTTGTTTGAAAATTATTGAAATATCATTTATTATATGTATTCATATATACACGCGCTTATTTATTTATACTTATGTATACGCATTGAATTTTATTTGAACGTTAAAAGTTTAGTTTAGCTTTGCTCGTTGTTTTTATTTTATAATTTTCTTTTACTTTTTGCCATCTACTTTGTCTATTTTATTTTATATATTTTTTTGTGTTGTTGTAGTGTAGAAAAAATTAAAAACGCGCCGTTGGTATAAAAATGTCTTTCAGCTAATGCGATTTTAACGTTTTGCATGCGAACCAACAACTATTTTGGCCAAGTGCGCGATGCCAAAGCAGAAGCTCTCGCTCAGCATCCAAATACGATGGATGCCTATGCTTTCTCCGAGATACTCGTACTGCGAGATACTCGCACTCAGAGATTGTTGTACCTTGAGATACATCTGACGGTGGGCGGAAGCGAGATGCAGATACAATCGGATGGTTCCTGCTCATTGTTTTGATGCTGGCGCTTGCGCCATCATCTCTCCGGGAATTGCCAGATTCAATACGGCGGGATGCCACTACAGTGGCCGTTTTGGCGCGCATTTTCAAATCTGTTTTTCCGACCCATCGGTTAGGGGTAATTGGGTTGCTAAGCCGGCGTTTATTTATGGCTTCACTGGAAGCCTGAAATTCTAAATCGGGCACAGCCACAATCAGCTATCACGTGAAAAACTCGCGTGTTCGAGGAGGCAGTGGCAGGCGGATGCGGCAGGCAGACAAAACGAGCCAAGCGATCTCGAATCTCGAATCGATTGCGGGAAGCGGGAAAAGACGGGCTGGCAGGCAAACAACGCCGGCGACCGATGATAACGAGTCCGCTGAAAAACAACAGATTTCGAATAATATCTACAGTGGACACTCGCCGACTCAGAGAGCTAATGCCGAGATTCTAGAAATTTTAGGTAATTAAAAGAAAGCCCAATAAGATCTAAACTGGTCGATAATGATACAGTTTCTAAGGAATTATCAGTTTCATTTCAAAAAGTGTATGAGAAAATGGAAATATGAAATGAAATATAACCAAACGTCTTATTATAGATTTATAATTATATTTTATATAAGCTGAACAAATATCTCCTAAAAACACTTTTTATAATAAACATCAACAAAATTCTACAAAACCTACTTTTAAAAGAAATCAATCTAAAGGTAATTTATTGTGATAATTACTTTCCTATCTAAATAGAGAATTCCTTTTCCATTTTAAAACATCGGTTAATCTTAAACTCAAATGCTACATATTTGTACATTAAATTGGTCCTTCAAACATTGTGTGGAAGCTGTAAAAACACCTTTGAAACTAACCTCTCAATAACAATGAGTATTGCGCCAAGTGAACAATCCCTAATGACCCTAGCTAGTTTCCCATTTTTACCTAAGATTTCTTCAGAAGAAGGTTCTACTGTGCACCGTTCCCTGCCTTCAAAACAAAACCGGAGATCACCCAAGGCAGCGCGCCTTTTCCTTTATCAGCCGGCCGTCAGGTCGATGGCGGCATAGTGTTATGAAATCTCGGACCTGCCATCCGAGCGCTATAAATATCGCTGGTCTCGTGCTAACGGCTATCAGTGGCTGAGAAAACGTGCCGGGCAGCGTACAGCCAGCTCGGAGACTCAAAAAAACAGAAAAATGAAGCTGCAGTTCTTGGTTTTCCTCGGCCTGAGTGCCCTAGTCATTGGAGGAGGTAAGCACCCGTTGATTTTGTATAAACTTTCCAGCAAACTAAACAACCAACTGTACCCACAGAAACCTCACACGAAGAAGAAAGGCGTATGCATCCGGTATTCTCCTTGATGGGATCCGGATCGCCGTTAAATGGTCGCTCCAAGCGAGCCATGCCCCAGATCGTTTTCGATGCCCTGAGGGCGGAGGAGCGTTACGCCGATACTGGCAGGGATTGGCCTCCCAAACGCTGGACCAGCAGCTGGACAGTAAGCTGCGATTGAACACCCAGCTGGCCAGGAATGTGATGCTCTTCATTGGCGACGGAATGTCATACCCACGATCACGGCGGGTCGAGTTTACCTGGGCGGCGAGGAGAAGCAGTTCGCCTTCGAGAAGTTTCCCTATGTCGGTCTCAGCAAGACCTATTGCGCCAACATGCAGGTGGCCGACTCCGCTGCACCGCCACCGCCTATTTGGGTGGTGTCAAGGCCAACTATGGAACGATTGGAGTAAGTGCAGCGGTGCAGTTCAAGGATTGCCAGGCGCAGGCGCAAACCGCCACCATGTCTCATCCATTGCGGCCTGGGCCCAGAAACAGGGAATGGCCACGGGTTTGGTGACCACAACTTCGGTGACCCATGCCTCGCCCGCTGGAGTGTACGCTCATATGGCCAACCGGAACTGGGAGAACGACGCCGAGGTCGTTAAAGACAATGGTGACCCCGACTTTGTCCAGATGCGGCTGTCAGCTGATAAACAGCCCTGTGGGTCAAAAACTCAATGTGATAATGGGCGGTGGTCGCGAAAATTTCCTGCCCAAAAGCGCGACGGACTCAAGTGGAGCACCTGGTCGCCGGTTGGATGGACGCAATCTTATCGACGAGTGGAAAAGTCAGCACACGAATAGTGCCCATTATGTGGAGAATCGCAGGGAGCTGCTTAGCCTGTCCAATCACACTTCACGGGTGTTGGGCTTGTTCGCCCCCTACCACATGGCCTATCATCTGGATGCCAATCCCGAGGAGCAACCCAGCCTAGAGGAGATGGTTCAGGCGGCCATGGACATCCTGGAGCGCCAGAGTGCAGGACGTGGTTACTTCCTCTTCGTGGAGGGCGGACGCATCGATCATGGTCACCATGACACCCTGGCTTTGAGGGCCATCGATGAGACGGCGGAGTTCGACAAGGCGGTGAGATTTGCCAGGGACCACACGAGTACGGATGATACCCTGATTGTTGTCAGTTCGGATCACTCACATACCATGTCGCTGGCGGGATACTCCAGCAGGAAGAACGACATCTTCGGGATCAATGACGGGCAGCTGGCGGCGGATGATCTGCCATATGCCACCCTAAGCTATGCCAATGGACCAGGCTACGATAGTAACTACCTCAGGGAAGGAGGTGCTGTGAGGAGGAAGAATCTCAGGGCTATTAACATGAAGAACAAGGACTTTATGTTCCCCAGCACAGTTCCCCTGGAATCGGAGACACATGGCGGCGATGATGTGGCCGTCTTTGCCAGTGGACCTTTGCCCAGCTTTTCACTGGAGTCTACGAGCAGCACTTTATTCCCCACGCCCTCGGTTACGCCTCCTGCCTCAGTGATCGAAACATGTGCGTGGATGGGGGCATGGCCAGAAGACCACGTTGAAATCAAAGCTCAAATTGAATTTAGGAAATCTCAGGAACCACTGTATTATTCTCCATTGAGAGGAAGCCACATTTATAACATAGTTTAAGGGGGGGTTTAAAATAAAGACTTAATAAGTGGAAAGAGCTTCTTGTTTCTTATTTGGTCTGGATTCAAAACGTAAATGTGTTTAAATTCGAAACTAAAATCAATGTAAGCTTAAATATTATATGAGCTTCTTAATTTTTTAGTAAATTCTGGATTTAAGTACACCGCATAGAATAATATTTCGTTGAGCATAAATTATAATTTGTAGAATCTTTGGATAAAGAAGGACTGCATTTAATTAATTATCGATTTGATAGTTATAGGTTATAGGTTCACTTTTATATTTGATAAGCATTTGATTTTGACTGACTGAGTATCGAAAGCTGTTTCGCGCCAAACAGCGAACGGTCCCACTATTAGCTAAGCAATTGTTTTAAAGTTATCGATAGTATATCGCTGATAATTATCAGACTGGTTCTGCACCAAACTAACTTTACTTAAAATGGTTAGTGTCCTTACTTAATTTACTTTACATTAATTTATTTATTATTTTAAAAAATAACAGAAAAGATGGATGAAGAAATGCAGAGTGTTGATTACTATTAATTTGGTCAAAGCCAAACCCTAAAATGTTGTGGTCACAATCGACCTATCAATTAAAAAGTAGAGCAAATTAATGACTAGGGTTTTATTGAAATGTACAATGGGTCTGCTTGTTTGCCAAATTGATATAAATTCAATTCTTTATCCTTTAATATGTATGTTATGTATATTGGTATATCATTTTCATTTTGTGTTGTTTTTTATTTCTTCTTTTTACAAGTAATGCCCTTTGGTTGCATGTAAAATATATGGTTTTACACAAGTGGCACTTAAATTATAAGAACTTAACGTTAGATTTTCTACACAGTTTTTCTTTTTTTGCGAAAACAAAGCACAAATAGTCATACGAATTAGTTACATAGTACATTACGCATAATAACAATATTAAACATTAGGCATACACTTAGTTCACAGTAATGTGCACGATGGCTTGGACGGCGTCTTTGGTTTCCGCTCAACGGCTCGAACCGCCTCCTCGAAGACCTGTTGCAGGTTCTGCTTCTTCTTGGCCGAGCACTCGACCAAGTTGGAGGCGTGGATCTCCTTGCGCAATCGCTTGCCCTCCTGAAATATCAAACAAAAAAGTTAGAATAACAATTATTAATTACATAAAATATCAACTAACCTGTGTGGTCACGAACTTCTCCGATTGGGGATGCGTAAGTCCAGTTTTGTGCCCACCAGAACCACGGGAACATTAGCTGAGAAGTGACGGATCTCGGGCCACCACTTGCTCTTGACGTTTTCGAACGAGGTGCGGCTGCTGATCGAATAGCACAACAGGAAACAGTTTGTCTGGGGAGGAAAATAAACATGCAATCGATTAGCAACGGTTAGGTATAACATTCCTACACAGAAATGGAAGCAAATCTGGACTCTAAAGCAACCTGAGAAGAACGAAATGCATAACATACATCATTAAAACTGGTTATATCCCTAACCCGTTTCTCGTCCTCATGTTTAACTAAAAGTTTTGGTTAAAAACCTTATTTTAGTTAACCTTAAGGTCAAATATTGTATCTTAGTTTGTATAAGCCATTGAACAAAAATTAAGTTATTGGCTTAAAGGTTTTTTTGATAAGCCGCGCCTTTAGGTAGGCAATACATTTAAAGCCTAGGGAAAGTACAAAGTATCTCATACTTCTTTCGGTTTTTCACCAGCATCATACTCACATTTGGGTAGCTCAGCGGCCGCAGTCTTTCGTAGTCCTCCTGTCCGGCCGTATCCCAGAGGGTCAGATTGTAGTCCCGATCGTCTACGGCTATGTTGCAGGCGTGATTGTCGAACACTGTGGGTATGTACTCCTCGGGAAACTCGTTCTGCGTGTAGGTTATCAGCATGCAAGTTTTGCCCACCATGCCATCGCCCACGATGGTGATTTTCAGCGGGCGTGGACTCTTCGTTATGTTCGTCGTCGTCATTCCCGATTATTTCTGTGGTCTTTGTTGGGATAAAGCTGCAAAGAGTAAAAAATAGAGGCGTCACTTGGGCTGCTGGCTTGACAGTTCAGTTCAGATCCCCGATATTGAGATTGCGCCATTTGGCGGCAGATGTTGGTGCTCTGTGTTTATCTTGGCGCACCCACACTTTCATCCTGCGGCTGAGGCAACCGGAAATCTCCAGGCCCTGCCCCTAGCTAATTTGCAACATAAAGCAGAAATCGGAACATTGTATAAAGCACTCCTCTCGATCCCAGAGAATTTCCTAACTACGAAAGAACAAAGCATAAGCTAGAAATATTGCTGAGTTGGTCATACAAATGCTACTGAAATTCTTGCCTTCAAATAAAAGGAACATTTAGAAATATATAAATAATGGGTTCTGTACAGAAAAGTAAAATAAAATTGTGATCTTAATTTTGCAAAACGCATTTATAAAAGTTAATGGGCCTAGTTTATTGTACAGCCATATCACACTTGAACTTCAAATCTTTTTAATCTTATCGACAACAGCTAAAATAAAAAAGGCCACACAACCACAAAAGACCGGGGAATTCGAGCTTTTACGAGGTGCCAACTGTGAAATTCATCAAGCGCAATTGATTCTGCGAAATCTCTAATGGAAATAAATGTGCTTTTATGGCTGTCCGCGCTTATATAACAATTAAATAAAGGCCGGGCTAAAACTAATAGACTTTCACCATCTGTCCAGCCACAAAAACGGAGTAACAAAACCGCATTTGTTTCATAAATTTGTCTTTTTTAATTAAAACTGGTTTCGTCGCTTTCCAGTTGACCCAAAACATAAACTAGATTTCCCTACCCAGCCTCCAAACCAACTCCAAATCCAAAATCAAAAGCCAATGCCCCGATTTAAAAGTAAGAGATGCCGTTAGGTATGCGTATTGTGAATGGGGATTCTCGGGGTCTCCGCTTAAGCAGAAAACTCATGCGAATACCTGGAATTATTCACTGTTTGGGGTATGTCTCGCACACAAGGCGGTTGATTTAATTGCGAATCTCGGTTATGGAAGCGTTTATTAGAAGACCTAGACCACACTTATGTCGCTGACTCATCGTTTTGTAACTGCTTCGATCCTACCCACACCAAATTTCATCTTTAAGCCCAGCGAACTGCATCTCAAATTATTCAAAAGTAAGAAAAATAAAAAGGGAATATCAAAACCGGTTATTTGTGACACTTAGCGATCTTTAACCGTTCGCTGGCATTGCCTTTTTAAACTTTTGCTAACGAAACCATACCAAGTAAACTAAAATATTTCACTTATCAGATCGCAATAAATAAAGAACAGTTAAAATATAAAATTAAAAAATATATATAACTGGAGGCACATATTCCCTTTAATCTTTTTTAAAAAAGTCCCAACATCACAAAGAACTTGTATGCTTTATGAGATGGAGCATGCGTGAGTAATAATCATAAAATTCTTTATTGGCACGCGATCTACAGATGTTAAACTTTGACAGGGAGCACTTTGATGCATGGGTCAACACAATTACGTCTAATCATTGATGCGAGAGGGTCTCCACTTGGGGTTAAGTGATATATTCCTTTGTGTTTCGTTTTTTTCTGATTCTGAGGCAGAACTATATACAAATTACTACTTTAGTTGTTATACATTTGATTGATGGAAATTCAAACCAACGGGCAAGCATTTAAACTAATTATATTCCAATTTTGTTAGAATGACGTTACCAAAATTTGATTCGGATGAGTTCGTGCCTGCAAAAAGGCCACAAAAATCCGTAAATAGAAACGGGTTTTTTTTGGCCAAATTAGTAAACAAATCCAGCTGAACAATCGACCATTAGGGCCAAAATAAAGAAAAAAACACAAACTTGGCCAAGGAACAACAACGAAACTAAATAAACAGCACACTTTTGTTTCGGCCCCTTTGGACGCATTTTAAAATATTATAAACAAACAGCTTTGGGCACTGTTTTAGTGAGTACAGAAAAGTGCAAATAATTAAGTCTTGGGACTACCGAATATTTCTATTTATACAGCCAGCTGATTAAGCAATACCGAGGAAAGAAATTCGTGAATGAGTAGAAATTCCATTATGTAAACATGTGGATTAAAAAACAGGTGCGGAAACAATCGAAGCATTTCCAGGAAAGCCAAGTGAATGCCAATACCCCCCAAGTTACCCTACATGGTGCATCATAATGTATTCGGTTGTATCAGTTCTACAGCGGAAACTCTTTATCAAGGGGATAGCGCCTGAAACAGAAATTGTATCAAGCTCGGGTCGAAATTAATACACACAATAAATTATTTAAACATAATTGCTCTCTTTTTAATACACTCCCTTGAAATATTAAGTGCACATGAGCTGCAGTCCATGAACATATCATTCCGGCTCTTTGTTATCGGCTGTCGTTGTTCTTGCGGGCTTGGCCTCTTGTAAACTTTTCATATCAAGTTACGAACTCGACGTTCTCAGAAGACTTGCTACATTTCACACTCTCTCTTTCTTCGCATTCTGTACTGCACCGATGATTTCCCAAGATGAAAAGGTCTCAAGATTTTATTCGACTTAAGCGACACTTCTGCACTATAGATGGTATTCATATGCAATTCAGTTGGGTTACTTCAGTTCAACCCTCGGCTTTGTGGTTTCTTATCAACGTCTTCTTTAGTCGACGGGTGCATCATTCAATATGTTTTGTCCTCGTATATTAAATCATCCATAAATAAATAAGTTACACAAAGGCTGTTTGTCGGTTAGTCAATAAAAGGAGAACATTTTTACAAATGTTGATCATTGGTTTTTATTATGAGCTATCGCAAGAGTTCCGGGCATTGAATTTCCACATTCGGATTTATAAAAGAGGACTGTAATGACGAATAAGTAAAGACGTCAGTAGCAATTCTTTGGAAGCTTTCTTTGGGAGATAATACAATTAATCTTTTCTTACGAAAATTGGAGTTCATTTTATAATGGAGAATATATTTTTACCAGAGTAAGGTTCAAATTAGGCTGTTGCTCAAGAGCCATAAATTTAATCTTCAGAACCAAAACCAGATCGAATTGGTACTCTAAATCGTCTATATAGGTACATTTCTATAAAGAGAACTATATTCAACGTCTACACAAGTTTTATTCAGGTCTGCTTCTTGTTGCGAAAAATATACGTATTGTATATGTGAGGGTATTTTTATGGTTTCTCGCATGGGTTTTCGTATTTATTAAACTGATTAGATAAGATAGATGTCGGTGAGTGCGGTGTACATAGGGAATTGGACTTGAAAGAGCAACGGCGATAAGTGGAACCATGGCGAAAACCTATGGTTACCTGGTCAAAAAAAAAGCGAAGCGAATCCAGAATCAAATGGATCCGTAGAGATTGCAAGGGCACGAGCGGCCAATTAGTTAAATTAATTGAGGTTAATGCGGAGTATTTATTGTGCCATAGGTCGGAATGAATTGATTAGTGACAATATTGGACTGTTGGGGACGGGACTTGCGATTCACGTACTCTGTTTCCTGTGATGGCCTTTAAATGGCTGTGTAACCATATAATTGTTTGATAACTAAAAATGGTAACGGACCCATTTGGGTGGATATACCCAGTACCCAGTCGAGAATCGAATCAAGTCGACTGAGAGATCCCCAAGAGAATGGGAGAGCCCCAAAAGAGCGATATAGAGAGAGAGAGAGTTGGGATCGTAAGCTGTTTGGCATTCCAGAGCTATAGACGGATCGGTTTGGTTAGGGGAAAGGGTTGGCGGGGGCGGTGACGTGAGCCCCATACAAAGTGACTCAGGTGATAAAGGAAAGATCACGAAGTTTACTCTTCCAGCAGTCTATGCTAACAGTGTTTACGCCAAAGATAAATGTTGTTATTATAATCACTCGGGCAACCACTACCACAGAGCGCCCACACCATCACAAGGTCACTGGGTGTTAATCCCGTTCAATGGGAGATTTGGGGGTGAACTTAGTAGTGGGTATCGTATCCGTAGTAGATTTTCACAGACACGTACTTATAGATACGACGTTTTCGTAGTCGTACTTTTATTTGTATTATTCGCAATAGTCAATCGAACAACACGTCTGGCGATGACGTGCGGCCTGATCGCAAAGTGGTGGAGATTACTCGAACTAATGGCGGGCGACGAGAGTATAAAACCGGATAAACGAACAACCACAACCGATCGCGGCGAAACTCAACTGACAAGTGAGCACAGTTTCGAAACCAGCAGCGATTTCAGACTCGCAGTACAAGTATCTCACGGATACGCAAAGAGCGAACCAAGAGAGTGCGCTGGAGCAGCACTCTTAGCCATTAGCTCTCGGTCTCCAATCTGCCTTATCAGTGGGCTGCGTGTTCTTCATAAAGGGTTGCCTTTGAAGGATTGTGGGTGGAGCTCAAAGAGTATGTGAGTTGAGAGGGCAACTCTTAAAATTTTTGGGAAAACAAAAAAGAGAGCCTTTCAATCAAATGCAGACATATGTATTAAGTAAATTATAAACACGATGATATATTTCAGATATATTTTTTATTAAAGTCACGATTTAAAGAGTGAATTATTAAAGTCGAGATGGTAAAAATTAGGGAGTTTTAAAAATTTCTTCTAAAAATGTATTTCCAAATTTTGAACATTTGTATTTTGTTTCAAGTGACACACTTCACTGAGAACGTTTTTTCTGGTTGGGAATTTTATAATTAGTCATGAAAAAGCCGCAGCAACGGCAATACAATTATTATTTTTTCTTAAATTGCTCTTCCTTAATATTAAAATCCAGAACCATATAAGTCCCTCCTCAGAAATAAACAAACTGATCTACTTCGATTTATTTTAAATTAATTTTTTCCTTCACGTATTTGAAACCCACAGAATAACTTATATATAAATAAGATCTTAGTCAACTGAATTACAAAGGGTACGATTAATTCAAGCTTTAAGTACGCCTAAGTTATGTTGCGCTCATAATTTCTGAGAAATGTGACTATCTAAAAAACTACGTTACTACTGCAAGTGCGTATTCCAAATCCGCTTGCTTAATCTTGCAACTTAAATATGTGCTAGTAATTAATCAACGACATTCCGGCAGTGCGTGCCGCCAGACTCGGGCTTTATGTTTGCCCGATGTAACGGTAATTAGACCCCAAGACCGCCTTTTTGGTATAACCAAAAATGTTGCGTTCACTGCTGTAAATGAGTTCAATTAAGCGACACGTTGATGGAGCATTACGTTAATTAGAATTACATGTCACTCCCGTACAAGGAACTAAAGGTCATCGTGACAAAGGCTGCGACCTAAAAAGTCGGCCGGCCACAGCAAAGAGAAGCGCCGGAAAATTATTAATAAATATGAGTTTGGAGCAGTGCCAATTAGGGATAGCTACTTATGCCGGCACATGAGCAACATGTGTGCCCCTTGAAAAAAACAGAGGTCTGCTGGAAGAGTCTCGAAAAACGGGGATTGTTTCAAAAAATATGTGCAGGTGCGGCCCCAAGGAGCACTTAAAGAAACAATTCAATCTAGCTGGGAAAGTTGCGAGGCTATCAAGGCTGCAAGGTTAAGAGCTCCTTGCACGGCAAAGAATCAAATTCGACGAGGGAAAGGGCGATTAAGAATAGCACAAGGCGACACCAGACCAGATAATGTTGCATTTCCCGTTTCCGGTCGCGTTTTGCCTGCCAGCTGAGTTGAATGTATCTGCCTGGATCGGAAGGGGGGTGGACCGTGCTATTTCTGAACAGCACTCATATTATATCTTATCTTGCGTACGGGGTCTGCAACAGCAAATCATGAGGGTGAGAGCTGGAGTGACAAAAACAAATATTGCAAGATCCAATAACAATCCTAAATGTTGATACCAGTTCGTAATTCATTTGCTTGTTTTTAAAATAAATCTTAATTTCAGCATTAATATAGGAAGAAATTATGCTTTTCTTTTTAATGGTTCAATTTAAACATTACATAGCCAAAAACAACCAAAATACAATAAATTAATGTTTAAAAAAACATTATCATTTTCTAGCCCGCTTAAAATACAGAGGTATATTTTAAATTAACATAATTTTATTGTTTATGTACTTTGAATTAGCATCGGTTCTTGGAAACGAATCGTTTTAGTATTGTGTGGAATTCCAAATAAGGGAGTTCTTTTTAAAAATTAAATGCTCAAATGTATGGAAAGAAAGGAAAAGAAAAAAAGTACTAGGTCGATAAATATTATTTTAAAACACTTTAAAAATATCCCTTATTTACTCTTTGTTACATATTTTATAACAAATTCCTAACCGATTTGAGAAAAAAAAAAAAAAAACCTAAAAGTAAAATTTTTCCGTTGTTTTTTTAGCAGAAAAATATGCGAAGAAGATTTCAAAACATATTAAAAATTTTCGAAATATATGTTGTTTAAAATTTTCGTGTCACGACATGCATGAAAATTGTATAATCGATAACTTTGTCTTGCGATTGGCTCATCACTAACGTACTGGGTGTTCACAACATTTGAGTAAAATTTGTTTAAAACTAGAAAAAATGCCCGAAAGCGACGTGACTAAAATGAAGGTAAGTCCAGGGACCAAGAATGAGAAGAACTGCAAGTGAGAGCGTGTTTTCCAGGTGGCAGATTTGAAGCGGGAGCTCAAACTTCGTGGGCTCACTGTGAACGGCAACAAGACGGAACTGCAGGACCGCCTGCAGACAGCTCTATTGGAGGGGGACATTTCTCTGGAGGATTCGGCCATAGCAGATGCTATCGACGACGACGATGTGTCCCTCACGGACGAGGATGAGCACAAGCTGCTGGGCGACGAGAACGACGATGAGCTACTCAAGAGTCCGGTTAGCACGCCCACGACAGTGGCCATTCCGGAACTGCTGGCGGAGGATAAGACGGCAACGGATGCAGCTCCTGCTGGGCCGGCCAAGAAAATAGTGCTAAAGCGAAACAATTCCCAGCAGTCCACGGGTACGGGGGCCAGCACGGGGACAACGCCGTCCAAGGAGAACGAGGCACCCGCTACAACTGCTGGCGACTCCACCGAGGAGACTCCAACCAAGAAGCACAAGCCTATTGTGGTGGGGCCGAAAGCGGAAGGTGAGAAGCCATCCGGCGACAAGAAACTCACCCAGTTGACCGCCCAAGAGCGGTTGGAACTGCGGGCCAAGAAGTTCGGATCACACCAGTCGCATCCCCAGCTGTTTCCACCGCAGCATCCACAGTTGCCGTAGCCATCAACAAATCCTCGAGCGCCTCCATTACGGCCAACAAGGGCAACAAAGAGACGGAGGAGCAGCAAAAGGAGGCACTCAAAAGGCGCGCCGAACGTTTCGGATGCGTGGTGCCCGAAAAAGCACCTAAAGCCGCGACCGATGACCGACTGCAGAAGCGAAAGGAGCGGTTTGGAGCAGGAGCAGCAGCCTCCGAAGCCACCTCGACGGCCACAACAACGGGATCGAAGGATGCCTGGTCGGAGAAGGCGCGCGCTCGCTTGGAAAGATTTAAAATAGCACCGGCCGCAGAAGCCACCAAATAAGCCACAAAAACAAATCACTTAGGCAGGCAAATACAATTGTAAATCCTTCCCGGCGTAGGAAGTTTATGCATTCATATATATTGAACCCCAAAGCCACCAATGCTTGTAGTATTTAAGACTAAAATTTCAGTAAAAGTACATCTCAGCGTGACAGTGAACACTTTCAGGGGTTTACATATTTTTATTGGTTTTAATTCAATGACTTAAAAATATTTTGAATCGCGTCTTCAGATTTATTGGGGATTCTTCATTTTTTTTGGAACGTCACAATCATAATATTAGAATGTTTAATAATATGCGTATATATATAAAATTTTAAAAATATGTGGGTGCATTCGTTTGGGTGAGCTCTTCGTACCTTCGATTACAATAATTTCGGTATTGCGCGTGAAATAAGGAAAATCGGCTCGTTGGTCATCTGAGGATGTGTGGTCAATGCTTAAAGTTTTGATTGGGGCCAAGAACCGAGGAATTCGGAACTTAATTGCCAGCTTAAAAGTAGGTTACTTTAATGTTGCGCCCATCCAGACGGGAACCATCCATGAGCGCTGAAAAGAGGGCTCGGTTTAGTAAATTGAAGGAATCTATTTACGAATATTAATTACCTATAGCCAGCTCGGCATCGCGCTCCTTGAAGAACCGCACTACGCCCACGTCGTTGCCGCGGATCTCAGCAAACTTGACGTCTCCAATCTCACGGAACTTGTCGCGCAACGTCTGCCAGGTGCAACTCATTGGAACGTTCTTGATAATAATGGTGTCCGACTTGCGGGAAACACCGCCAGCATTTCCGGACCCAACGTTGGAGTTGCCCACGTTGCTGCCGCCACCAAAGAGGTCCAACTGGTTGCCCGAGTTGTAGTCGTTGCTGTCCCCGCCGCCTCCTCCGTTACCGCCACCGACTCCGCCGGAGCTGCTGTAGGCGTTGTAGCCAACGTTACCGGACCCGCCGCCACCGCCGCTGTAGTTGTTTCCGGAGCTGTAGTTGTTGCCACCACCACCGCCGCCGGTCCCGCTGCTGTAGTTGTTTGAAAGGCCCACGTTGCTAGGTGCCAGGTTGTCATCGTTTCCAGAGTTGCCCAAATTGAGCCCCAGGTTGTTCAGCGAAGAAGTCAGCAAGGGGTTGGTTAAATTGCCTCCCTGGTTTCCAAGGTTGCCAACCACGGCGGCCAAAAGGCTGGGATTAAGATTGTTCAAGTTTAATCCGCCGGTGCCAGCATTGTTGCCCAGGCTGGGCTTCTGCACCGGGGCCACAGGTGATGGCTGCACCGCAGCATGGTTACCGAACATTACTCCGGTCAGATTGTTGAGAAGATTGGTGGTGGCGTTGCTAACGGCGCTGCTGTTGGGCTGACTACCCACTGATCCCAACTGAGATCCTTGCTGCGGGTTGCCCAGCAACTGGCCCTGGCTCTGACCACCATTGGGCAGGTTGTGAGCCACGTCCTTCAGCGGCTCGCCGTTCGGTCCCAGACCGATGCCAACTCCACCCAAGCCCTCTGGCAGCTTTACGCCTTCATTCTTGTCCGGAATGCGGTCCAGGCGCACGGTCATGCGACGATCGAAGAGCATCTGACGATCCAGCATAGAAATGGCCTGCACAGCCTCTACGGGATGATCGTACTCGATTACAGCAAAGCCACGGCTGTTGCCCTCCTTGTCCAGCGAAAGGTCTACGCTCTGCACTTTGCCGGCCAGCTTGAAGACCTGTTGAGCTTCTTGTTGTCCACCTTGTAGTCCAGCTGCAGGTAGTTCAAGAGAAGATTAGCAGTGTATCAATACGATGGCTTAGCCACTGAAATGGTTTCGAAAGGTGACCATGCTGATTCAAACCACTGTCTTTGACAAAACCACGCGGCAAAGCTATGCTGACGATAGATGAGAATCTCAGGAGAGTCAGTCCAGCACATGTGCCCAGAAACCAAATGCAATAGCCCAAGACGACGTTGAATTTCGTTAAACCTGTAGCTGCTTCATATTTATAACCCAATTAAAAGGAGTTGTCTTCGCGGAAAATTCATATGTGAGGAGCGTGAAAAAGGCAAAACACTGCAACCAACAAACCGTCAGGGAACTTTCCAAGTCATTGCTGCTGCAGACGTACCAATTTGTGTTAAACAAGTAAATTAAAACATTTTTCAATTGACGATTTTGAATAGCCCAATTTAAAGTGGCCAGACAAGTAACTTAGAAGGGGTAAAGCAGACCCACAGTTTGAACAGCTTCGACCCATTGAAAGTATAAAGTTTTGAAAAAATGAAGAGTGTATAGCCATCTGGAAATAATTTGTGCACTTAAAATCGATTGCGTCGTCCGTGATTTTCCTAGGTCAGTGATCCACAGTTAATTAGCGACTTGCACTTCCGTCCCTTGAAATGCATACATAAAATCGAAGTAGGAAAGGAACCCAGGGAGAGGATCCGGAGGATTATTGTAACCTTAGAAACCACCAAGACAAGTAAACCAATTCCTCCCTGAAGGTGTAATCTATTTGGGTTATAAATACGAAGCAGAGACCCCGTAACAAGAACAAAACGCAGCATATTTGTAGTGTGGTCCGGTCCAGTTGAATACTATACATAGGATTATTGGAATTTTATAATACAATATACTCACATTAGCAACAAAAACCTTATTATGCAAAGGTCCACTTATGCCAAGACTCTCCAAAAACGAAGCAGAAAGCCCATACAAATTGTAATTCGACGAATTATTATAATCATTTGACATCATGTTAAAATTATTACGCCCAGATCTAGAAAAAGAGAAGCCAGAGATCCAGAGAAAAATCACAAAGAGCACAGGTAAGCTTCAGCTACGGAAGAGTGGGATGCCAAGAGCCGCAGGATCTTCAGACACGTTCAATAGTTTACCTTCTGTTAACTGACCCAATTTCGAATCATATGCAACTTCAATGCAACTTTTTACCTTAAAATACCTCTATAAATTAATACTTTGTATTCTTTTCTGGGCTATACGACTGCGACTTCTAATAGTTAGTATGTAAAATTCCGATGTATCAATTTTTAACTTAATCACAGCCATTGGTTTTTCAAACAGAATCTCAAAAAAACATAAATTGTTGACAAATTTCACGCTTATTAGTAATGACACCAAAAAATCGTCTCCAATTGCTTTGAACACCTTTCACAACCAAGTCCAAAATCCAAACAGTGCAGGGACAGTTAGCTGATAAATAATTCATCGGAGGCTTAGTTCGAAATCGCATTGTTTAAAGAATAACTCTACTAAGAGAACTTCGAAGATTGTGGTGTAATACAGATGAATTCGACTAAGTGTCACCACCGAATATCTATTTGCCTTTCCTTAGAATAGATGCAAAAATCCAATTGTTTACCACTTAATAGAAATATTCAGCATATATAGAATTTGTATACATTGCTTACTTAAATAAACGATTAGTTAGTAAATAGAAATGCGAGCAATAAAAGCTTAAAGGAACCTTAATTAAATCGGAGTGTGACAGTTATCCAACAGTTTTCAGATAAATACAAAAACGGCAACTGATAGATGCAAATATCCTAGGATCTACAACTGGTCTATATGGAATTTCCATTAAATTGAATAATAAATTTTTTAAAATCAGCTCATAAATTCGAAATCAACCACTGAAAGATTCAATATTTTGCGATCTATACTCGAAAATACCTCACACTAAATAATTCATTTCAATGCCGAAACCGCAGTCGTTGATAAATATGCAATAGAAACCACTGCCAGCTGGGAAGTTTTGAAAATTGGGTAATTTATGCGTGCTACGAACTCTGCTTTCCTGCTCCAGAACATCGAAAGAAGTACACATACAGGATATTAGCATAAAGGGGGTACTCACAGTCTGTCGTCGTCGCGGCGGGAGAAGCCGCGATCGCGGTCATCCATGTGGTCACGGCCACCGCCGCCGCCTCCTCCGTTGCCGCCATTTCCGCCTCCTCCACCGCCACCTCCACCACCACCGCCTCCGGCTCCATCACGGACGATCCGACCGTACTGATCGCGCTGCTCGCCGTGATCCTCCTTGACCACCAACTCGCGGCCATTAACCTCGTAGCGGTTCATCTTCTCCATGGCCTTCTGCACGTTCTCCGGATCCTTGAACTCCACGATGCCACAACCACGTGCCTTGCCGCTTTCATCAAAGAACAGCTGCACGTACTCAATGGAGCCGACGATGCGGCGGAACAGATCCTTCAGATCCTGCCAGCGGTAGTCGTAGGGAATGTTCGAAATGTAAACCCGGCAGTTGCGACGTTCGCGGCTCCGGTCGCGTACATTGTTGCCACCGCTGCCTCCCCCGCCGCCACCGCCTCCCTGGTTACCACCGGCGTTTCCATTGCCATCCGCGTCCGAGAAGCGGGAGCCACGTGCTCCGCGCACTCGACGATCGCGCTCCTTCTCGCGGTTCTCCACCGAGTTGCCTGCGTCCATGTTCATTGTCGTCTGCAAGGGAGCCCCAAAGCGGTTTTAGTATTTGTGATATGTGAGGTAGTACACACCCGAAGCGGCGTCAGCGAAAACAAAATGGCGACCGCGTCAATGGACCTTTCGGCCGAATGTTTTTTTCACCGTGGTAATTTACCTTTCTGCTGGCAGTTGAATTTGTAATTGAAGAGCACTCAATGCTCGCTTTTCTGTATTCTCTGCTTACGGCGAAGATAGTTATTATGCAATACAAGTTTTTTTGAGTTTACAATTTCGGAGATCAATTGAAAAACGCACAGAATTTTTTCATTTACAGACCAGTGTGACCGGACCTAAGATGAATACCATAATATACCATTTCAGTTTTAGGAAATAATATTTATATACCAACGAAATAAAAAATGAAGGGTATTCCCGAACATTTTGAATTATTTTTTAACTCTATTTGACTTTTCTTTTCTATAAAAGTTCTATTTTCAGACTTATTTTACTTATTTATATAAAGCTAGCTTAAAGTTAAAGCTATATGCTAACTAAATTTAGAGCTCTAGCAGCTAAGGCCTTCAGATATTTTCAGACTTTTTGCCATTCAGTCCTTGAAAACCACAAAGAAAAAGTCAAATACAGTATGGGTTAGTAACTTTAATTCAAACTAGGTAGTGTTTTTTTTTACTTTTTATAAGCTTTAAAATTATTTTATGCATTAACTTACAATAAATAAAAAATATATTCCCTCCATTGCTGACATGTTGTGTTGAATTTTCAACAATTCAATAGTTTTAAACTAATTTCCCGTTTGTTTTTTCTATACACAACATTTAATAAAAAGCTGTACTCTCAAAAACACCGACTACCGATATCCACCAAATTTTCAGAATCCATAATTTTTAATTATGTCAAAAAAATACTTTAATTTTTTTTATCAAAAGGACACTTTTTATGATTTTATTAATGATGTTAAAAAAATTATTTTTCAGCGAATTCAGTTATTTAAAAATATTAAAGCAATGATAATTCGATATAAATTTATTTAAAAACTCTCAAATACTTAACATGTGAGCTGCTTTTTGTGAAGCAAAGCCTGCATCGAGATGGCATCAACGACTAGCAAATGAAAAAAACATTTACACGTGAAATGCAATGAAATAAATAATAAACACCGCTCGGTGGCAGTTGTGGCACTTCCATGGCTTAGCACTCTTTGTTTAAGGGCGCGCCCTATCTGCTCACAGCTAACTGGTAGGCCACCTCAAAGGCCTGTCCCAGAGTCATAATGATTTCCTTGGCCAGCTCCTGTAAATAAGAGCTCGTTAGCAAAAAAAGGGTTTTTCTAAATACAAGTTACGAACCAAGCTATCCACCATAAATACGTGACAATAATGCAGATTCTGCTCTTTGGTTATGTAGGCAAAGTAGCGCATATCTTCCGAGTCCTGGCACACACAATTGATGTTCTCAATGTCATGGCAGCAAAATGCAGTCTAGAAAAAATATAGATTAGATATTTGCTTATAAAGCGACTGATATATCAACCTTTTTCTCATGATCTATGAACTTGACGCCGACGCAGGAGACAGCAATGTCCACATTCAGGCGCGTCGGGAGATTAGCAGCTTTCAGATACTTTGTGGAAGTGGTGCAGTTTTCGAGCAAACTGAAATCACTGACACTCGCCGCCGACTTCATGGTCTCATCGATCTTCAGTTTTAGGATGGATTTGCGTGTTGAAAGGGTGCCCTGCAACTTGCGAATTACAGTCGAGCCTAGATACTGTAATTTATAAATTAGTTTCGGCATTAAAGAATTATAAATGTACTTACAAACAGAGAATATCGAATTTCGCCATAGATCAGTGTGTATGGCGAGTGACACCAGTTGGAAGCGGAGCCCTGTTTTCTGCCCAGCAGCAATTCAACCGGATCCCGTATGTGCAAGGACTGTCGAGAATCTTCCAAGGACAGACTTGGCTGGTCTTTGATCAACTCCTCGGTTCCTGATCCACCGTAGACACTTCGGTGCCAATGTTCTCAAAAATGGTTTCGATCTCGGCCCACTCTCGAGAGGCGCTAAAGTCCTCTCCCAATGCAGAGCATCTCTGCCTGGACAGGCTACGTCGATGGTTTTGGGCATGTGCCGACCTCACCATGCTGGGCGATCGCAGAAACTCCCGATCCCCTGGCCCAGATCCTTTGCCATCCACCACATCCGAGGACAAGTTTAAAGTGGATCCCTTAAAGAGTCCAGCGAAGGGATTATCAGCCACGTACTCCTCCACCAGGTCGGAACCCATCGAGTTGGTGGTCCGCGGGGATTCCCCCGACTCCAGTAAGCTATCTTTCCGCAGCGTAGCCGGCTGCATGAAGTCAAAGATTGTGCGCTCCGCCTCTGTCACCGTGGGTGGCGGATAATCCGGCGTGGGTGAATGTCGAACCAATCGCAGTTTGCTGCCATTACCATTATTGTTATTGTTATTATCCACAGATGTCGCGCCACTGTCTTCTTCTATTGGCACCAGATTCGCATAGTCGTTGTATTCGCCGTTTATTCGAGTGCGTGGTTTAGGAACTGGAGGAGCCGGCAGCGTCATCTCCACATACGAAGCCACCGCTGGTTGACGCACCGCTGCTGTAAATGGACACAAGACCAGATGTTTATTTCATTGACTCACTACTTAGATCATTTTATCGTTTTCAGTGTGTGTATACTCTGTAGTTAAACTTTTTACCAAGGCTAAGAAAATAAAAGCAAGATATTTAACTCTCTCGTTGCCAATATTTTCTAATACATTTAAATGACATTTTTTACTCACAGTTGTTACTGGTGCTGGCTGAGTTATCGTCGCTGGTGGAGTCGTTCTTCAGCAGATTAATGTACTCATACGATCTCGAAGGGACCGATCCGTTGGAGATATCGTTGCCAGTCCGAAAGCTGGGCAGGACGGGTTGCTTATACACCGGCTTGTAGCTGATCCACAGATCTCCGCCATCCGACCGAATGTCGTCCATGTTGTCGCAGGACCTCTGCTGCACAATGGGCTTCATTGGTAGGTAGTTCTCCGGCGTCTTGCCGAAAACGTCCAGCGAGCTTAAAGAGTGCGAAAGTCCGTTGACTTGATGATCTGGCTTTCTACTTGGCGAGGGGTGAGTAGGTGGTTATGGAAGAGAGACCAGACCAGTTAATTGAAGAGACGCACAACCAATTCTGAAGTTGATTCTGATGAGTGCAAGGGCTAGTGGGCGTGGACATGAGAGTGGGTACGAGTGCGAGTGGGGATGAGTGCGTTTTCCGAATGACATGAGCTGCGGGCTAAGTTAATTAGGGTCAGCAAGATGTGGGTGTGTGGCTCAGTGTCGCAGTGCATGGTGGTGATGGGCTTACTTCCTCTGCCTGGGCGGCAGCCTCAGTCGCTGCGAGTTCTTCTCGTACAACCGCTTCGGCAGCGACTGTGTGCCGTTTTCCACAACAACTGGCTTCTGCATTTCCCTCGCTGCTTGGGTGAACTCTGCAAAAGATCGAGGGTGTTGGGGGTTAAAAGGGACCACTAGAATATGATAAACTTGGCCAGTTTTATTAAACAAAGTCAGTTGTTACATTTTCAAGAAGTTCTATTTCTTTCTTACCGACTTACAAAGCTTATAGTCAGTATTAAGAAAAGAATAATATCAGTTGCACATTTTTCAAATTGCATCTCCTCCTTCTGACATTATATCTTTAAAGATATATTTTTTATGTTTGTTATTTGCATACATATACAAAATATAAAATGGAAAATAAAAATTGACTTCAAAACTTTATCTAAATAATGTGCCTTTTGTTTATACATATAAATTCTAATGAAGATAAGCAATTTTAGCAAATAAACAAAACGAACTCTTTGTTTATGTTTCTTTTCAATGGGAAATTACTTATACGCACCGGTGATGGCGCCCACAATGTCGTAGGTCACATGTGGCGGATAATCTGAGAGAATGTCCAGGGCTGTGCGTCCGTTCCCATCGGTGGCGTACACGTAGATCCCGGCCTTGAGCAGAGTTACCACCACGGACTTTTTGCCACAGAGAGCGGCCTCGTGGAGGGCGCTGCCCGCGTGGGTGAGTATATTAACATCGACGCCGGCTGCCAGCAGCGTTTCCACCACCTTCTTGTGCCCATTCCGGCTGGCCAGGTGCAGGCAAGTATGCGTGAAGATGTGCTTGATGGGCGAGCCCAGCAGCTCCTCCTCTTCCGCCTCAAATCGCCTGTATGGCAATATCAAGTCGGGATAAACGCGCAGCAGGGTCTGCACCACCTGCAGGCGGCCAAACTGGGCAGCCAAATCCAGAGCTGTTTGAAAGCTATTGTTGCGTATAGCGGGATCGGCGCCATAGGACAGCAGTATGGCCACCACGGCATTGTGACCATGCTGGGCTCCCGAGTGCAGGGGCGTCTCGTTCTCGATGGTCTGGGCGTTGGGATTGGCACCAGTGGGAGTATGCATCAGCAGCATCTTGACGATGTCCTGGTGGCCCGCCCAGGCGGCCAGGAAAAGGGGCGTAGAGCCCCGGATATCGGGAACATCCAATAAAGCGTTGTGGGATAGGAGAAGCCGCACAATGTTACTATGGCCGTTCAGACAGGCGTGGTGCAGCGAGGTATATCCATTCATGTCCTGGCAATTGATGCTGGGACTGCGTCGAAAGCTGAAAAAAGATGAGTTCGTTAGCGTGAATAACAGGTTCATATTAAACAGGTGCTACTGATGACTCACCTGGACAGCGGCCCATGACGTTTGCTCGAGTGCTCCAGCAGCTTGTCCACCGTCTTAATGTCGCCGCCTCGCGATGCCTCCAGCAAGTGCTGATCCTTGCCCATTGCTCCTCCGGATCCTCCAAGACTAGGTATCTACAGGGGCAGAACAAGAACACATGTCAGGTTGTTTTAGCTGGTGCTCCGATTCCAAGAGAATGAGATCATCGCGAGCATACAGAATACCACAGCCCCACCCCCAGCCCAAAGAATCAGGTGGCGGGCGGGCGGAATCAGCTGTTTGGCCCTAGCACGCACACAATCGCACGCGCATATCTCGCATTTATTTACACGAAATCTAAATAAACATTCCAGCGAAACGCACGAAATTGTTTTTGTTGATTATAGGGCTGAATGGTGGCTCCGCCTCTTCCAAGGTCACTTAACGGCATTGGGTTGCTCCAATTGGAATTTACCTCCCGCCAACTATCTTTTATCTTTTAGTTTAAATTTACCGGCTATGACGACGTCCGTTTCGAAAGTGTACAGCCATAAACGATCAACTTGTTTGCCTCCGCGATAAGCAATTAATAAAGTTACGGACTAAACTTTATTTACGTGCAGCGCCGATCTAGCCAGGGCCAGTGTTGGGAAACAACCAAACTAAGCAATTGTTCGTTACTAATTGGTTAGAGGTAGGAGCGTGAGGTGACAAGAGAACACACGGGAATCACGAGCCACCAGTGCTGAGCACCATACATAGTTGCGATATTATTTTAATGGTTATTTCCAGCAATTTATTTATTCACTCCTTTTCCCGAGTTCCGAAACAGAGTGAGTGAGGGACCAATTAACTTTTAATTTTTTATGCTACACTTATTTAGGGATTATTAAATTTATATTTGTATTTAATTTTTGCGAATACAGCATGTAAAGTAGAAACCGCGTGAAATAGCCAAACTTTCACCACTACCACGACCCAGCCGATAGTTGCCATTGCACATCTCTATCTGCACAAGCCAAATTTTTTATTTTCCCTGGCAAGATTCACGTTTTCCCCGGAAATTTGACCCACAAAACAATGGAAACCTCCAGCTCCAGTCCAGTAAAGCCCCGGCGAAAAGACAAGGACGAAGGTAAGTGGAAACTCTGAGAAATCCGCCCCCAAACGAAAAAGCGAGATGTGCCGGCACATCGGGTGCCACTCACCTTTGATAACGCGTGTGTCAGTGCTGGTGTGCGTTAGAAGCAGCCAAATTAAAGTTAAGGTATGCCTCTGTTTAATCCGCTTAATGCCAACCCATTCACTATGTTACTCTTGCAGATGGCCACGCGGAGCAGGAGCAGGACTCCACGGACCAGGCGGGCGAGCCGCAGAGAAAGCTCCTGCGGCTGGCCGAGACTTCCCCAGCGAAGGAAGTGCTCCTGAACGAAGCCTACCAGCAGCCGGAACTTACCCAGTGGCTGCAAACCGCCTGGTCGGAGGAGAAGAGCCAAGGGAAGAAGGAGACTCAGACAGGAGCTCAGGTTTTCGGCGATCCCTTCCAGATCTGCCTGCTGCCCGGCCTATTGGAAAAGGGCCAGAGCCAGGCGCTGGTCGCCGAGATCATTCAGAAAGTGCAGTGGTCGCGCAAGCAGATGGATCTGTACGAGTTCTACCAGAGCACCGATCTCTCCAACATGCCCGCTTGCCGACTCCTGACCAACTTCCTGCAGGTGCTGCGCAAACAAGTGCGTCCCTGGCTGGAGAAGGTGACCAACCTCAAGCTGGACTATGTGTCCGCCTCCTGCAGCATGTACACCTGCGGCGACTACCTGCTCGTGCACGACGATCTGCTCAAGGACCGCCAAGTGGCCTTCATCTACTACCTATCGCCCTGGGAAGGAGCGGAGGAGTGGTCTGAGTCGCAGGGCGGCTGCCTTGAGATCTTCGGCAGTGACGATCAGTGCTTTCCGCAGTTCCCAGTGCAGCGGAAGATCGCCCCCAAAGACAACCAGTTCGCCTTCTTTAAGGTGGGCTCCCGCTCCTTCCATCAGGTGGGCGAGGTGACCACATTCGACTACCCGCGTCTTACTATCAACGGTTGGTTCCACGGCGAGACCAACGAGGCCTTCGTCGCCGACTCCCTGCGCGCCTTTCCCCGCCTGAATTACCTGCAACCCGACAGCCTGAATAAGCCACCACTCGGCCTGTTTCTCAACAATGTGTACTTGAAGAGCGCCACACGCCGAAGCATCCAAAAACGGATCGAGGAAAACTCTGAGATCTGTTTGTACGAATTCTTTAAGCGAGAAAAATTCGAGTTGGCTCGGTCGCAGCTGCTAGCGGATTCGAACACCCTGAAGTGGCGGAGACAAGGACCAGCAAACGCACACAACTACGAGGTTCTTGATTTGACGACAGCCAAAGGCACCATCCTGGAACTGCTGCAGCTGTTCCGCAGCCACGCCATGTTTGATTTGCTGCGGGATTTTACCGATCTGGATTTGTCGGGCGCCGATGCCCAGAGTCCAAAATGTAGCGTGGAGCTGCAGCGCTGGTCCCACGGCAACTACACAGTGCTGGGCGACGGTCTGGCCAGCGAGGAGAACACTTTAGACCTGGTATACTACCTTAACGCGGCCGAAGGGGCAGCGGTGATAACATATCTCTCGCCGGACGCCGAAATGCCAGCGGCAAAAGCACCGGCGGATAACAGGCGGTCGGACTATGACGGCGAGGATGAGGACGATTCCGTTCTGCTCACCATCACGCCCGTGGACAATGCCCTGAACATAGTGTACCGGTGCGAGGGCACCACAAAGTTCACCAAATACGTGTCGCGCAACACTCCCCTGGAAAAGGGTCCGGTTTTTGTTATTTCGTGCAGCTACAAGGAGTAGCATGTGACTTTATTTTACAACACGCGCACAATTACTCCTCAAGGACTATTCACATTCATACCGTTCTATTGTACAGAAACTAATTAACATAATAAAATCTTTAAAAAACCAAAAGCAAATATTTTTTTCTTTTAAATATTATGAAGAGGATATTAATTCGAATCGACTAAGGCGTTAGAGTCAAAGCTAAAGAAACGCACCGAACAGCGAAGGTTCAGGAACTAATCAGACACTTCCTCTTAACTTTTCAGATAAGTTTCGGATTGGGGCCACAGTTGCCTTTATTGTGGTGATCATTGGTATTGGCGTGCCCATGTGGTGGCACACCACCACTGTCTATAGGTGAGTCAAAATGTCTGGCGGCGTTTTCCGAATTATCCATAATTGTTATATTCGCAGAGTCACTTTGCCTTCGTCGGACATTCTGAGTCTCAGTGAAACTCCCATCAAAACGGCTGTGCAGGTGTCCATCTACACACAACAAACCAGCCGTGGACAGTTGCTCATCGGCGAACTGCAGAGTGCCTTTAACGATAGTGGTAAGTACATTCATCTACTAGCATACTTCTTCAGAAATTATTTATCAATGCTGTTCCAGAAATATGGTCTGTGGAGTTCAAGCAACTATCCCAACCAGCAAAACCCAAGAGGCTCACACCCGGCTGCTCTAGAGAAGCTGCTGCTCGAGGAAAATGTTCAGAGCGTCGGCGATTTCATGTTTATCGAGTGGCCCAAACTGCAGGAGGAGCTGTATTAACCACCGAAAGATCAGCCCTGATGAGAGCCGATACTAGTGAGTATATTTCTCTGCCGATTATTAGGCTTACAAAAATGAAAATAGCATATATTATTATGATTAGTATATGATTTTAAAATTCTTAAGAGCTCAGGAATTCTTTGGTTTATTCAAAAACGTTTCTTATCATTCAACATTGGGCGCGTTCAAGGTCCTCGATAGTATAGTGGTTAGTATCCCCGCCTGTCACGCGGGAGACCGGGGTTCAATTCCCCGTCGGGGAGAGTAACAAAACCGAATTTTGTTTCAATGTTTTTTTTTAAGGTTTACAACTATTTTGGATTGTTAGTTGACATCGCAAAATATTGAAATATTTAAAAAATTCTATAATTATATTTTATATATGAATGGAAAGAAATAAAAATGTTGAATTTATTTATTGATATTAACAAATTTTCTTAGAAATTTTACTATTTAAATTTAAAATATTAAAAATATGGAAATAAATAGTTTTTTGAATTTGAGTTTTTAAAAGTTTATACCAAAGATTTGAACCAATAAAATTTGTGCCTCCAGGTCCTCGATAGTATAGTGGTTAGTATCCCCGCCTGTCACGCGGGAGACCGGGGTTCAATTCCCCGTCGGGGAGAGTTACAAATGTAATTTGTTTCATATTTTTTTAATTTATATTAAGTAGTTTCTTTTGATTGTTAGTTGACATTTCCCAAAAAAATTTATACGAATGCCTAACAGAAGAAGCAATGGTTTCACAAATTGCTTAATTGCTAATGATTATTTCTTTACAAGTTGGTCTATTTTTAAATTATAAAGTAATATGTACTAAAATATAAAGTTTAAGAAATTAAAGTTCTTAAAGTTTATACAAAAACATTTCATGTCAAATAACAAAAGCTGCTCCCAGTCCTCGATAGTATAGTGGTTAGTATCCCCGCCTGTCACGCGGGAGACCGGGGTTCAATTCCCCGTCGGGGAGATCAATAACATTTTTTTTTTAATCTTTGAAATCTTATTTGACTTGTTTGTAATCGAAAAAGTTAATAAAATCAAATTTTCAAAACCTTTTATTTTTGTTGAACTATTTCTATAAACCAAAAACTTCGAAAGTAACTATTTTGAATTAAACAATTTGACCAATTGAAAATTGAAATTCAGTAAATTAAAAAAAATGCAACATCTCCCCGACGGGGAATTGAACCCCGGTCTCCCGCGTGACAGGCGGGGATACTAACCACTATACTATCGAGGAAGGTAAACATTTTAAGAAGTTTCATAGCCAATGAAGCCTATAATCTATATTCCTCCACTTAATGTGTGCCAAGATAATTATTTATGACCACAGTAAATTAAATAATAAAAAAAAGAAAGCAGCCAAAAATGTTATGTTTAAAAATTCCAAGCTGCCGGTAAAAGACTAATCTTTTCTATTAAATACTGTTTAGCTTCTAATAAAATCGCTCAGCTGCTGCATGCCAAGATCCTGCAGACGTACCGCATAACCAAATTTTGAGTACCGATGAAAGGATGGGAACCAAGTCGGAAGCTCCACAACCAGCTTATGATGTTATTGTCTCCGTTCTTAATCCAAAACCGCGTCTCACGCACGCCCAGTGGAACATAGCAATGGCTGTGAAGAGTAAGCATTAAAGGATTCTAAAAAGTCCGTCCATACTCATCTCCAATGACTTCTTTTACAGCATATATTGAGCCCTGGCTGGCTCAGGTGTCGGGCGTGTCCAACTACACGGTGCGATCGCAGTGGAAGTACAGGGTGTCAATTGAGGCTGATCTAAAGCAGGTGCGCGACCAGAGTAAGTTAGGTCGGCACTACGCCCTTCAGGAGTCCTCCCTGCCCCATCTGCTCACTTCGATTGCCCAGAACCTGAGCGCCAGCACCACCGACAAGCCGGCCATCAACCTGGTGGTTTACATCCCACCCTGCCACGTGGCTCCCCTGCACATCTACAACAGCAAGGATCAGCGGCTGACGCGGAACGGTGTGGATGCCTTCATTTCGCCGCCTTGGGGTGGCTTCATTATAGCCAATCCGCCGATGCATGTCTGTCTGGCGGCCATGAGCGATCACCAGCCAGTGCCATACTACGTCAGCACCACGGACAACATGCAGGTGATGCTGGACCAACTGCACAAGCTGCTCGACATCAGCAGTGAGCTGCAGATGGATGGCGTTAAGGTGGTGGACATCGAGCAGCTGGAGCCTCGCCGTTGGGAGTACGAAGCATACTTAAGGCGCAGCGCCATCCGCCACATTGCCACAGCAAGCAACACGCTCCAGAGCCTCATTAAGCTTTTAGGTACGCCTCGTTTTGCTTTTCCAAATTATGAAAAGCGGTATTTATATAGGTACTCATGCAGTTTCAACACAAGCTAATTAGTCAATAGGTATAGTTATCTATACGATATGGTATGGTATGGATATCATAGGATATGTGATGCCATTTAAACCGAAATGTAAATTTGTTTTTTTTAAACTAATAACTGTAATGATGATTTTATATATAGACATTATTAGGCGAAGATTAATGACCTTCGGGCCCTACCATGATTACTAGTTATCTTTTTAAAATAATCATTTAAATAGGTTTTACGCTTGTTTTATTGAATCTGACTGCTTGAGAGTATAATAACCAACTAAATGGGACCATGTATTTTAATATTCGCTTCCTCCTCTCGTTTAGATGAAATCAGCTACATTGTGATAGACGACGATGTGGGCGCCGCCATAACGAACTCCTATTCAGACATTTTGGCCGCCAAGGCTGCCCTTTTGGAGCACCGACTGGCGGACGCCTCAGTGCTGGCCAAGCGTGCCTTTGTGGCCTCGGAGCGGGGATTCTTTGACTCCAGTCTTCTGGCGCAGCTGTACTTCCCGACGAACAGAAGTACGCCATCTACATTCCACTCTTCCTGCCCATTATGGTGCCCGTGCTCAGTTCGTTCAACATGATGCGCAGTGTGCTGCTGGCCAGGCGGAAGGAGAAGCAGTCTTAAACGAACCATAACCAAATAGTATCACTTTCATTAAAACTATATATTCTTGATAAGCTGTTGGTTGCGTTTTATTGGTTCACTTCGGTTTTATGTAGTATTGTCATCGTCAAGGTCTCGGCGCCCATCATTTCTGGCAGCTTGGTAGTAGTCCAACATGTTTAAACTGTAGACTGTCGTACATAAGAGATAGCTGAAAAGTATTCGTGCCGCTATCATGTCGGTCTGTGGAAACTTGATGGAAAATGGGTTTAAAACTATGAAATTTTGATCTGTCGTTGAAAGTTGAACATTTGAAAGCAATTACACGTGCCACTAATCTTTATGTTTTCTGAGCGTGGGTGTGTTGCAACTTGGTGTCATGGCTGCTGGGGGACCAGCAGAGTCCGCTCAGCGTGTGAACGTCGCGTATAGGTCAGGTTCAGCGGCGAGATCGCTGCCGGATGAATGTCAGTAGTGACAGGAGGCCAGACACGCAGTCGGTGGCTAGTCATATCCAAAATGATCTTTTCAGCGGGTTTTCATAATGAAGTTCTGTGCTCAGTAAGACATCAGACAAGCACTAACCACTGATAATAACAATAGATTTTAATGGTTTTTTTTAGTTTGTGTAATCACAATGATGGGTTTTAGTACCATATTTAACTGTCTTTATTTAAATATTAAAACGAATATAAAACCCTTGGTTATTCGTTAGTATAAGAAGAATACTGAAAAGCCTTTTGCTTGTTTCTTTATTTTAGGGGTTCCTTTAATCTAGATGATGAGGTTCCGCACAGCGCTGAAATAGGAAGTTGAAGTAACCAAATAAGTCTTCAGGTATTTGAGGTATGCCTTTTTAGGCACTTCCATCACAATTGCATGCCATTGCAAATGAGCAGATGAAGGCAAACGAAAAAGCGACTGTCAAAACTCGTTAAACATGGAATTCAATTGGTAATGGGCCTTCGCCACGGTGGGAGGGGCAGGCGGAAGATCTGACCAAAAAAAAAAATAGGGGGCGGGCGGGGTCGGCGTCAAACTTGGCGCATTAAAAGTAAATAGTTAATTTTTAATTGCTCACGGCTCGTTGGCGTTCGACAAAGAGCTGCTCGAAAACGAAAAGATCTCTCGGCATGCCAACATATTCAACAAGTATTTGTCTTCCCAAAGGTTAAATATTATTTTAATGAGCCGCGCAGAGCGACAGGGACTTCAGAAGAGACAGAAACCTTTTCTCCGCGCGGCCCCAAGACCGCAAAAAGGTCAACAATGTGACTTTTAGCGATCGCCAAATGCCGCCAGCCCGCCAAGTGGCTTTGTGTCATGGTTTTTGTGCCACGGCGTCGGCGGCATATGGTGGATCCAAGTCTCAGGGAGTCCCAATGGTTGTCTGGTTGGGATTTCGGTGACGCCTATTTGCAGCCGCAAGGGCCATCTGCATTTCCGGGCCCCTGAATTGCCGCAGATCGACGAAGATTGCCTTTTCCCACACGCACTCAGTCATGGCAAACCGCACGCACGTAAAAAATCAATTGAAGCGGACTCGATTTTGGAGTTTAGAGTTTGAAGTTGGCCAGCCGAAGGCTAACACAATAACGAAACTAATTTTGATGCGGTTGTTAAATGTTGCCAAACACCTCGGCAGCTTAGAGTGGAAAATGGGCAGTGGAGATTTGTCCGATATGAAGATGTTGCAGACAATGGATATGGATGGACTGAGGCACTCTGGCACTCGAGTACAACAAGGCGTATAATTAATAATTGATTGAGCCGCGTTTTCCAGCAAACAATGAGTGACAAGGCAGCCAGCTGCAGTTGCAGTTGAAGAATTTCTTGGCCCAAAATGGCACAAAGTACTGGGTTCGGGAAATACTGTATAGTGGAATTGAGTTGAGTTGAGAAGTGCCTCAGCCAGGTGTGCCCATAAGTTTCCTATATGTGGCTGGTATGGCCAGCTTTTTAGCTGGCGAACGTAAAAGCCACATTGCCAAACGTTTACGGCCGCAATTGTAATCACTGTTTGACCAAAAGTGCACTGCCTGTTGCCGCTGATGCACTTTTTATAGCTCCGGTGCATTCCCACCGCTAAGTGAAATTAATAAAAATCCTGACTGCACCAAAAACGTCAATGCGTCTGCGCAATGCACATAATTTGTTTAATTAATTACGCCAACACATTTTCATTGCTGCCTATTGGGCAATTTTCGTTTGGCTGACGAGACGAGAAGTGATGTGATTTTTCACATAAAACCAGCAAAAAAACCGAAAAAACAAGAGACTCGCACTGAAACTATAACAGCCATTGAAAGCCGAACGGATTTGGCAGCTTTCGAAAGATTCAGCCATCGTCAAAGTGGAAGTGGATGTTGCTGCTGCTGCTGCAGTGATGTTGCTGCTGTGCTCTGCTCATGTTGCTGCTGCATCAGCAACATTCTCAGCTTGCGCCAAGGCCATTGGCATTCTGTCTGCATACGCTGACTCAAGATCTGGTATTGATGGTACAGAGGATCTGCAGCGATTTGTGAGCGGCAAGTTATGGCCGCATCTGGCGGAGATTCTGGCCAGAAATGCTAGGCGATCAAAGTTCAATGCGGATCGAGAGGAATAATGAGTAATTTGCACCAGGCCAGGCATTGCCAAACATGCCAGGCATTGTGGAACAATTAACCAATTTGTTTCGGCTCAATAAAGTCAAAGCGGACATTAAGCGAATTTATAAAAAGTAATACACGGGCTGCAGCATCAAAACTATCATCATCATCATCTGCGGATGCTGTGATGCGAGTGGCAGCCATGGGAAAGAGACTCTAAGTTGGAAAAGTGTCGAAGCCGACAAACCCCAAGGACGCGGGCTTATAAAACAAATAAAGCGAAATGTATTATACAAAATATTACTTACCCTTACCGCAGTTTGACATAAATGCCAATTTAAATGCTGCAAAACGCATAAATCAGCAACGACCGAAGCTCTCGAGCTGTTGCTGTCGTGCACTTGGAAAAAACTAATAAAATTGTATCTTAAAGAGCACATGAAGGAAACTTAGGTGAGGAAGTATGAGTCATATATGTCTTTATAAAGATGCCAAGGTTCCAAGAAGCATATTCTTTTTATCAAATTATTTTCTTGAGGTTTCCTTGATCCTATTTATAAAATATAGCCTAAATGTAAGTACTCTATAATTGTATAATATTTTCTGAGTGTAGTTGCTGTTGTGTCGCTGGATGTTGCTGCTGTTGCTGCCCGATGTTGCTGTTGTGCCTGGCGTTGTTGTCGTGTTTTTGGCAAACAAACGATCAGCAAGTGGCGCTCCTCAAAAACGTTTTTGTGCAAAAATGTTTACTAGTAAAATGAAGAAGACCCATCGCTGGGCAGAGTTTAAAAAAAGGTGATGTTGCTGCTGATGTTGCTGCTGCTTTTGCAGGGTGACAAAAGTCGCCGTCTAATTGAATTAACATAAAATAAAAGTTGTCTTGACAAAGCCTGAGCTCAACATCCTGGTCAGCGCATTAGCCATTTGGCATTTGGCTCAGAATCTCCGGCCAGAAGAATCACGAACAATGAAGACTGAGCGGCGGAAAGCTCATTAACATGATTACAATGAAGATTCGACTGCATAATAATTCACACATATTCCAACATTACGAAAAGTGCATTTGTATGGGCATGCAATTAGTCACAGAGACCGCAGCATCTGCAAGTTGGAGCGCCGGATTCTTTACCGCCCGTTACGATCCACCCTCCTCCATTCGTCCCATTCATTCCCATAATTTACCAAATATCTTTTTTATTTTTTTTTTTATTATTTATTTTCGTATTTCGCCTCTATGTACATGGCATAGCAACTGCAACTGCAATGACTATAACATTTTCTCACGTTTCGTCGTGCAGATTTCGGCACAAGTTGCGCCTTGGTGTGGCCGATCCAATGCCTGGGATGGTATGAGATCTTGGTTGCCAATTGCAGCTTGGTTCCATCGTTCCATGGTGATAATGATGATGGTAGTGGCGAGGTCGCTGCATCTGCGGATCGGTGGATCAGTGGATCGGCGGAGGCGGGCGACTAATGCACATTTTATGCAAATTTCGGCTGCGCGATCCCCGTGTGTTGGCTTTGCTTATGGCAGCTTAAGTCGGTTTACGAGTGCCAGTAAATGCAATTTAGAATGCTTGAATCTATTGACTGTCAATAGGCGCAGGTAGTAAACCTGTTTGCATTTATGCTTTGTAAAGTTTAATTCGCAAATTAGATTCTTTTGTTTTATTTTTAGCATCATATAAGTAGAATTTATTACTGGGAAATCTTTTTTTTAATTTAATGAAACTTTATTTAAATCATAAAATATGCCAGGCCTTTAAGCCTGTTTTTGCTTAGTTGCTAAGCCACGCAAATTATTGGTTTTTTTCTGAGGATGCTTTTAAGTTAATTGCATTTAATGTTCATTTTTTTGGCGAGTAACTGCAATTTAAATTTTTTTGCTGTATTGAAATGGTTACAATTTTACAGTTCGCTTTTTTATGAGTACAAGCCACAAACCGAGTATTAACCAAACTTTGCATAACAAATAGTAATGCATTTCTACAAGTTTGCGAATTGGGTAATTTAGTTATATGACTATGCTTTGCTTTAAAATTTAATTAAGTTATAAATATAGAATGCAAGATTTCCCACAATAGCTATAATTAGAACAAGCCTTATATATCTAAGGTTTGAATCAAGTTCGTTGTCTAAGTCATTCGTTTTTACGCTGATTTTACGAGTGCTCTTGCTGATTTTCATAAGTGCCATATCACAGAAATGCGTCAAATTAGCCAGGCAGTCCGCTCACTGACCACCGACCACTGTCCGACTGCCTGACTGACCCATTCCAATCCAATCCAATCCCAGCGAGCCGTCGAGCTTTGGGTTTCGCAAGCGGCGTCGCATCCATAAAACTGTAAATTGCACAGCTGCGTCTCCATCTCCATTTGCGGCTGTCGCTGCCACGTGCAATCCCGACCGAATCCGAATATGAATCCTCATCCCAATCTCAGCCAGCAATGCGAAATTATATGTGTGTAAATGCATTTATATATGTACCTATGCAATTTCTTATTATGAGCGGTACGCTGCCAAAGGTTTTCCAAGAGCTGCACTTTATCAACGGGAAAATCTGCTGGCAGCCCATGCTCATTGCTGCACAATTACTCAACGACCTGGGTTTCCAATTCCCGCTCGAGTCCCAATTGCAATCCTCGACACTCGTTAGAGCACGGAAAAAAATATCATATCAATTATTTATTTATAATATTAATATAATTTTATAAAGTCGAAAACCCACTGTCGGGATATGCTTTTTATATTATTTCTGGATATTTTTATAGATTCTTGTCATTAATTTAAATTGGTTCTTGGCTTTACTATTTTTCTTTCAGTGAATTTTCCTCTTTGGCTGCACCAGCTTCTGCCAGGTTTTTGGCATTTTTTGGCGCGTTGCTGGATGGATGGGATGGGATGAGATCGAAAGTCGAGAGTCGCGAGTCTGCTCAGGCGCATCTTCAGCTTAATTGAATTTTCGGCTGCTGTTACTGCTGGCTGCTGCTGTTGGTGAATGCATTTTCCACCGGCTCCCACACGTTGTGCAAATGCTTTCGGCACTTTTACTGCCAACCAAGCTTACATAATGAGTAAAAATTAAATAATTTACCCCCTCCAATGGATTCTGGCGTGTACTTTGGCTTGTAGCTGCCAGGTGGAACACCAAATTCGTGTCTCCGGCGGCGAGCACATTCATCAATGTCAGGCGTGGATACCGAGGCCGTTCGAGCAGCGAATAGATGGGTATTTAATTGAAAGCGCCCGCTAATTAGAATCCAATCCGCTTAGGTGCTGTGTAATGCCCAGCGACGGATCGTGTCGGGCCTCATCTTCGAATAACAATTGGGACTTTTGGATTTTTGGATTTTTGGGACCTAAGACTTCCTTATTGCTGGCCTTTCCCACGCAGAGGGATCGCGTGAGTCATTGGCGGCACACACAGGAGTTGGATCGTAAAGCGAACAAACATTTATTACAAACAGCATTGCGGGGCTATTGCACAATCGCAATCGGCAGCAAATTAGAAAGATGGCGGCCACTTCCCACAGCTTTTTGGCAGATGGCTCCGCTCCGCTCCGCCGCGCTCCAACTCCACACCGGGTTGAAAGTCATCCTCCAGTTGACATTTTTTCGCCAGCTGCTGATCTGCATGACTTTGGCTGCCTGGCCTTTTTCCGGCAGGCAACCTCAACTTTGAAATGCCAAGCAGCACCAGTTCAGTTGAGTTCGTTTCAGTTCCAGGTAACATGACAGCTTGAGGTTGCCTGCCACCATTTTTCTGGGCTGCAAATATAGAAAATCTAAGCAGCAACGCCCAAGATCCGCCAAAAGATCTGGCCAAAGTAGCAGGCGTGTAAATTCCCACACTGCAGCAAATGCCGTGAAGCCCCCCCCGCCACCCGGAATGCCCCCTCCGTCCATGGAGCTCCGTGCCACACTCACCCATATACACATAACCGGATTGGCGGTGGCACCGCGACTTTTGCCCCGACATGGCAACCGCAGCAGCAGCGGCAGATGGGGCAGCAAAACCAAATGACAAAGCCCCGCCACGGCTATGACATAATACCCAGCGGAAGATGCAACCAGCGCCGAACGAGCGCAGTGCTGCACTGCACTGCAAAATCGGGCCTCGAAGGGCGGGCTGGAAAGGAAGAAATATATCACAATTTTAGGCTTAAATACAACATATAATCTATAAATATATGGTTTCATGTAGCTTTCGATCTATCTTAGGCTGTTAAAGACCTTTCTACACATGCAAGGGAATACATAAAGAAGGGGAATATACATAAAAAATAAAAACCAGCATAGATATTTCTTTAAATCTTAAAATAATAGTATAACATTATAAAAGGCAAATGAATAAAATGTCGTGCATTTAAAAGCCATAGCTCCGAAAAACGAATCAGAAAATATTAATCTTAGGCAATCTAAAATTAAAGTATAAATAGAATCACATGGAAATCATATAATAATTAAATTTGTCACTCAATTTCACAACGTGGTATACTTTGCGTACAGTGTACAGCGGGTGTAATTGATGTGGGGGTCGTTGCTCGGGCGGGGGAGTGCTTGCCCATAATCATGAGCGGGCCCTGCGGCCAGCTGACGTAAGTGATGAGCGCCAGCGACTCCTGGCTGGCGGTGTATCGCGTACAATGCAGCTCAGTAAGTGTCATATGGTCACACGCTGCGTATGCGTAATTTGCGTTAAGCATACGCCAGCGAGCCGCGACCAAAAGGCAGCAGAACCAAGAAGTAGTGGATCCCAATGCGCTGAAACGAACCTCAGACGACCACGAAGATGCTAGACGAAGCCGGAACGCTGCTGCGCTGCTCACGTCGACGTCGCACAGTGGGCATTGGGTAAAGAAATTAAAAATTATATGGTAAAATAAACCCAATGTAAAAAGAGGTTTTAGGTTTTTTCCAAGTAATGAGAAGTTATAAAAAAATGTATGGAAAACCTTATAAGTCTAGGTGATCAGGTTTTTATTTCTGTGGAAATTTTTTTTTATGAAAGGATATCTGTTTAAGATATGATTGAAAATTAAAAAAAGATGATAGAATAAAATGTGTACTTACTGTACTGAAAAAACAATAAAAATGTTAAATCTCACCATAACTTGGAAGATTTCTGTAATCTTTCAGCTCAATGTTGTTTTTCATATATTGGCCCCACTGTGCTTAACTGCTGCTGTCGCCTTGTAAGTTGCGCTGCGATGGGCTCCAAGTGGTTTTCCTTTCGCTTTCAGAAATCATTTCGCTTCGACAACGTGGACGATAAAGTCACAGATCGCGCATCGCGAGCCCGCTCTGTCCGCTGAACTCGCCTGGTTCGCCTGTCTCCTCCGGTCGGTTGGTGGTTGCTTTTCAGTGGTTGGTGGTTGTTCGTGGTGGTTCTTCTGCCACTCTGTGCTTTTCCGCCGTTTGCCCAGCCAAGTGCGGCAGACGCAGACGTCTCTCAACGTTTCGCTGCACCTTCTAAATGGGCTTTCCGTAGTTTTCGCACCTTGCGAAACACATTTCGTACGCATTTACATACAAGATCGAAGTTTGAAGAATTTTTTGGCCTGACGTCTGCTCATTTCCTACATGACTGACAACTTTTTGTGGCACATTCGCCATGGAAATGAGTTGTTCGACGGTGATGATTTTCGCGTTTAGTTAGTGAACAAAAATAAAACAACAAGAAACCAAAAGTAACAAAGAAACAAACATCTTGTGCAGCCGGGGTGTTTTGCAATCAAATCCCTTCCAATACTCATAAGATTTCTGGTGTTGTGCCCTCTTGTTTTGCAGTGCGATCCATGTGAAAATCGACATTAACTATCAGCTTAATTGCTCTGGATAACTTATTGGATATCATCCTGATTTTGGATTATAAAAACTAATACACCATGTTGAGCATTGAAAATGCAATGATTGCCTTCCTTCTGGGTGAGTAAATTTGAATGTTAAAAAGGTCCTGAACGAATTTTTTGAAATAGTCAACAAGAAATATAAAATCTTGAGAAATTTTTTTATATGTTTAAAGAGGAGGTATCCTTATATCAGGATATATTGAAGTCAGGCATAGCAATTAATCTAGTTTATAAAGAAAATAAATATCATTAATGAAGGTACGATACCTTTGAAGTATATTATTTTATTATATTTTTAAAAAATGTAAAGGTCCTTAAACTTGAAAAAATATTTTCCTTTACTGGAATATTTTTTTGTAAAGTTTTGATAACTTACGGTTTAAATTGGTTGGTGATCTTTGTTTTTTTTTTTTAATGTTTTGTCAGGGAGAAACTAATTAAAATTGTTTAATTGTAAAATGGAGCAATAGGTAAAAGCTGAACATATAATTGTATAAAAACTAAAAAGTAGAAAATGGTTTAAGTATTTGTAAAAACGTTGATATTAGATATCGATTATTGGACCAACTTTCCAATCGTTTTTATCCCATTCAAATCACCCATGCTCCGCACATGGTGTTTAAATAAAAAAGATGGCATATCGTTAAATATAAAAAATCACATGCTCATTAGTTTTTGTTTTTCAACGTGTTTCATATAGAAACTCAGAGCTGGTTCAAGGTCCATCGCGAAAGAAATTAATGGGATTCAATGAGTTTCATATCGATCACATTTGAAATCAAGCGTAATTTGCCCGACAGCCCCCGCAGCAGGCCAAAATGAAGACAAGGCTGAGAAATGGCAATTACGGCTAAGAGTGGGTCATCAGCAAACATAATTACCATACTGTAAATTATCTTTTGGTATGGGTAAGAGTTTGAGTGGGACAACGCCCAAAACAGTGGCTTAACGGGATTTTAGCTGCGTGAGAGCTAAAGTCAGGCCAAGTTTTGACCAATTTGTAGATTCACTTCAGCAACCGAGCAATTGAAATCGGAATCGAACCATCTGCATTGAAAGGGGCAACAAAAGAGCTGCCTTGGATGCCTTTGCCTTTGCATTTGCCTTTGCCCCATGCCATCTGCCCAGTCATAGTTCACTGCCAAACAATGGACCTCTCTGCTGGGGAGGAAAGTAGGGTTCGAAATTCACTTGAATTAAATGCGAATCAGAGGTGAGTTGCCGCCACAGCGTCTTTCTTTTCTTCGAACTGTGCTGGATGGCTTGTTTTCTCTTTGTTTTGCATTTGGGGTTTCCTTTAACAGTTTTTCTTTTTCGGATCTGTTTTGGTTTTTTGTTTTTTTGGCATGATAAATGGGGGCGCACTGGAGGATTATGCAACCTGCGACTGCAATTTGCAGCCGGAGAAGAGGAGCTTTGTTCTGCAGTTCGCCATGGCAATTACACTTGCCTTAATTGCAGCGAAACCATCTTCCGCTGTCTAAAGAACAGCAGCTACACAGAATAAGTAAAATATATGCAAAACAAGATATAGCTATATATAAAAAGCCATAGACAGATACATGTACAATCCGGGTAATTAGGCAAACGCCTGGCTGTATTGCTTTTAATACCCAATGTACAGATGTACGACAAGCGTAATCCGTAACATTGATTGACTTGGCATTTTAATTGAGCGACCCCCATGTGACCACAATAAATACATATATGTATATGCGATCATATATCGTTTGGCCCAAAATGTTAATGATGTCGCTCGGCATCGCAAATACCAATCGATGCTCCGAAAAAGTAAATAAAAGCAGTCTCGAGCACTCGCAGAACCGAGCTAGTGGCTCCGCAGCCTTGGACGGCAGCAAGTGCTCCGGCACACATAAATCACGAGCTCGTCTCGCAGTTGTAAGCGAAAGTGATGCGGCCCGAAGGTCACTTGACCACCAGGTCACCATCATCGGCACCAGCATCAGCATCACCAGCATCAGTTCCCACTAAATACCCATTCGTCTCCATTCTAGCACTACTTGAGCTGCCATTTGAAGACCAGTCCTAACCAGATCACGATTTCTTATTGCTTTTTTGTTTTTTTCCCCTCTTGCAGCATCGACACTTTGCAGTGGATACGGACTCGCACAGGCCCAGTTGCTCGACGAGGACGACGACCTGGCCTTCGGAAGACCATGGCCCACCTATAGTCTGCAAAACATGCCCAAGACGCAGTTTACCTGCCACGACAAAATCCTGGGCGGCTACTATGCCGATCCGGAGACCCAGTGCCAGATGTTCCATGTGTGCGTCAAGCTGCCCGGAGTGGGGGTGAGTGTTGTTGTGCCCGGTGCAAGTGCTTCTGGTTGAGATCAAGGCAGCAGTCCGTATATGATAGCTATGATCAGGGATAAATGTTTGTTTTTTATTACGACGATAAACTATATAAGAATGCTGAATGAAAAGCTTTTTATGAGGAGTTGTTATTAAAGAGATAATTCATGGAAAAGGAAGTGTGAGGAAGACATTAAATAAAATATTCAACAGACTACGGATAATCCATATTTAAAAGCAAAAGAATTATACTTCGACTTTTAATAGCCTAAATTAATTTAATAACTGTAAAATTTGTATCTACACATAACTGCATTTTCCGGATAGAAAGCACGTAGAACATAGTCGACTTAACATTACTCCATCTAGAATTTGGAAATAGTATAAATTTGATAGCACTAATTGATTAGGCTAGGGAACTTTCCCCTTCCAAATCCATTCCCAGCCGCCCTTCCCGATTTCACAGCCTTAAACTGGCGGGCAAAACGAAAGACTTAGGCAACGAACTTGCCGACAGATATCGCTTCGGTTCCGTCGCGCCAGCTAAATGGCAAAGTGGCACAGCCAGATGCGCTGGGGAATGTGTGAGATGGCTCCGAATGGTTCGTGACTGGTCCGGATGGCCGGATGGCTTTGGCTTCGGAGCTGGAAAAAAACCTGAAGCAGTCGATGGACTGGCTGACCTTTAAGCGGGTGATTCGTGGCCTCTTCGCTGGGAGCCGAGTGGAAAACTCTAGAGCTTAGGGTCTTCCACCAGGCTCTTCCGTGTCTCCAGCCCTTCATCCTCCTGCGGCATTAGGGCTGCTTTCCTGTGGCACCACCGCTGCATCGCCTGGCAGATGTTTTCGAGCATCTCGGACAACTGATTTCGCTGCACTTGCTCCTGCCGTTGAATGTCCACACTCTGCCTTTGCCACATACTCTGGAACAAGTCCGAGTACTCGGCCAGTTTGTCCTGGAACTTCCGCTTCTGATCTATAAGCTCCTTGTGAATGGAACGCAACAGATAGCTCTGTCTGTCCAGTTGGATGTTCTTTTGGGCAAGTTCCGACTCCAAGTGATCGTTGCTTTCAGCTAGATGATCGATGTCTCCCTGCAGATCTTGCAGCTTTTCGATGGACATCTCTGCCTCTTTGCGAATCAGCAGCATCTTCTGCTGCATGAGGCTCTCCTCTATTCCACAGCAGTCTCCTTCAGAGGTATTTCTTTCCTCCTCTGGATTGTCGCCCATCTCCAAGCTCTCCAGGAACATCTCCAGCTCCTCCCTTTCCTCCACCATTCCCAGAACCTTTTCCCTCAAGCAGAGGTACCTTTTTCGCTCCTGTCTGAACATTCCCCTCCAGACTTCGACGGGCAGACTTACGTTGGTATTGGAAGAGGAAGTAGGTGCTGGTGCGGACGCAACTAGGTGGTCTCTTATTTCCGGGGGATCTGTGTAGTTGATTACCACTGTTCTGCCTTCGCTGCCCGTTAGTTGTTTTAAAAGCCTGGTCAACCGTATGTTGTGGTACCGAATGTGGGTCTTGGGATTGTTGGCCAGGGCTTGGAACAGATTCACCAGCGTGTCCAGGGACGTGTCCGATTCAAGGGGCGACGAATCTTCCTCCAGGATCTTCAGGTGTACAATTTGAAGCTTCCCGCAACATTTCCTTAACTGCTCGCTATTCGCCTGCCTCACGTGGATGGTGAAGATCAGGTGTGGACAATCGCCGGCTTCTCCCACTCTGCCCATGACCCTCTCCATGTAGGTGAGCACCTCACGGGCAGTGGCCACAAAGTGATCTCGGGTGGCCCGGCGATTGCCTCCCCTGAGGTTGACCACCAGATCGTCCGACTCTCCGCTGAGCTGAACATACCGCACCGAAACGTGCACCTCCAAGTTCGTCTCCATCGAGTAGATGCTGGTGAAGAGTTCGCCCAGGATGCGGGTGACCATGTCAGCTGGATCCCTTCCAAGTTCCCTATATACTCCGCTGCAGCTGAAGATTGTGCTGGTGCGTCCACTGAGAACCTGATCCAAAACCTCGCCGATCGCCTCCTCGCACACTTCGCGCTGCAAATCGTTGGGCGAGGCCAATAACTTCCGGAACAGATAGACCCTCATCTCGCCAGGATGGGGCACTTCATCTCTGTACTGCATGACATATAAGTGTTAACGAAAAACAAACTACCGAACGAGGTAACAAAAACGGTTTTCTATGTGGCAGTGGCGAGTGTGTTTATGGGACAGAATAGATTTCGGCCTGTCAATTAGCCTACTGTGCACAATGGCTCTGTGGTCTCATCGAGAACCAGATCGAGAACGTTCACTTCACCTGGCCTCCGAAGCTACCCCTGCGGGCCAACGCAAATGCCAAGTGGCAAGTGGAAATGTCAAAGTTTGCGGCAGGCCACCGAATGCTTCTGGTTGCCGTGGCATTCAAGTCGCCTCACAAGGAAGCCACTGATTGGATATGGATATGGGCATCTACACTGGAAGTCAGGAATATAAAAAACGAGATGGGGGAATGCATTTCAAGATTCTGTTAATTTTCAACTATTTATTCTATAAGGGGGAAAACCTATGAAACTACGTCTCTTTACAAAATTCTAACCTTTAAAAGACTTTAATTTATTCAAAGGTATTTCATCATTTTATCTTTCTTTTGATCACATAACTCGTATGTAGTTACCATGTTTATGTTTATGTTAGAACGAAATAAGGAAATAATTAAAACCAACAGTTCAAGAAAGAAAAAATGATATGTAAATTAATTCTTAGTTAGATCACATTAAATTTTATGTGGTTGTCTAAACAATTTTAAGAGACAAGAACGTTGAATTCAATATCGTTATACTTTTATGGTTTATTTTTGTTGACAAGTGCAATTAAAGCAAATGTTGCCCCAGTTTAGACCGATTCAGTTTAATTTAGTGTTAACAAGCTATTTTCAAGTGACGGCAGCTGCTGCCTGGTTCTTGGCCTTAATGCTTTTGGCTTTATCGAATCCATTTATAACTTATTAAATTTTGCATGTTGCTCTGCCTATCTAATGGTGCTGTTTTTGGTGCTTTTGATGCTTTCGCTGTTTTGCGCAGCTCCTTCACCGAAGAGCTAATCCGTTTGTCCAACAGGTGCAGGACTACCGCTTTCTCTGTCCCAACACGACGGCCTTCGACCAGGAGCTGCAGATCTGCGCCAACTGGGTGGACGTGGACTGCGACAAGGCCACGTCCTTCTACGACAATGGCCACCTGAACGATCTCTATCGCGGCGGAGATGATAGCAAATCCGCCAACGAGGAGGAGTCTACCTTCCACCTCCAACGCGCCGAAACGGGTGAGTAATTTATTGGACTGCACTTTTGATAAAAGAGGGAAATAGGATACTCACTATTATTCTTCTATTTTTTTGTTCTCTTACTAAACGACATATGGCTATATGTCACCTCCCTTCATTATTACTATCTGACTGGATTTATTGAAAAAAGGATATCTGAATATCCTTTCTTCTTCTTCTAACATTTTAAAATAAATCCAGTCATTTGTCAAAATTTTAGCAGGATATTGTTCACTTGCACTTCTTAATTTCCTGGTTTTTCTCGAATGATCTGGCATACTCTAATCTTATCTTACTATTAACCACAAATTTAAAGAATGATTATAGCAAATAAATGTCTTTGTCTAGACATCAAACTGAAGGGCGTGACCTGGGGCTATTTCAACCTCTTTTATTTGTAATTGCAGGTGATGTACGCCGCTCGAAGGAGAACCACAACAATAACATCAACAATAACAATAATAATCGTGGCGGGGAGCAGAAGCCACGAACTCGTCACAATTACTCGCAGACAGGTGGCAGCTCCAGTTCCAGCTCCAGTCCCAATTTGGAGATCACGCAACCCACCAAGCGACCCATTTCCACCTATTACACGCCGACCACTTTGGCCAGCACCAGCAGGGCCACCACAACCACCACTTCGACCACATCCACGACGGAACGCAGCTATTACAACAACAATTACAGCAACAATGACGACTCCAAGCGTAAGAAACAATAGGTTCCCGAGATGCATGGCCCCAAAATTAATCACGCTCCCATCCACAGAAGACATAGATGATATCTTCAAGGGTTCCCACAGCTCGCACTTCTTCTCCAATCGCCACGGGGGACGGGAATACGATGAGGAGCCCTCGCGTCCCAAGCCCAATGACTTTTCGGATTACCAGCGCAAGACCACGCGGGTCACGCCTACCAGAGGAGGAGGAGGATCCACTTTCGGTCCACGATCCACTTTCGGTCCCAGTAGTCCTGTTACGGCTAGCACAGCTGCCCCAGTACCACCAAGTCGCTGAAGAAGATCACCCTGCATGCCACTTTCAACACAGACTTCCTGGACAGCTCTCCCACACCAAGAGTCCTTCCTACTCCACTGTGACCACTCCACGTCCCAGCAGCAGCATCACCAGTCGCTTTAGCTTCGGCTCCAATGACTTCGGTACCCAGGAGAGGATTCAGCCCACCACCTACAACCCCAACAGTGGTGCTTATCGCTTTAAGACCACCTCACCACCAGCCAGTTCTACAAGGTGACGGGCAAGGGAGTCCAGGACTTTGAGAAGCGCAGCAAACCCACAACGGCGGCGGTGCGGAAGCAGAAACTGGGTCCCCAAGAATCGAACTACATCAATCAGAATGAGTTTGTGGATCTCTCGAAGAGTCCCAAGCTGCAGCAGCCACAACCTTTCCAGGCGGCGCAAAACAAGCCCAACCAATTGGAACCACACTACCACGACACAAGCCGCAGGTGACTCGAGTGGGCGGTCAGGAACCAGCTCCCTTCTCCGCTCCCAGCTCAAAGCCACGATCCTTCACCAGCCGGGGCAGCATCACCTACAAGGCCACCACGGAGCGCTATGCCGACCAAGAGCTGTACTATCCCACCACCAGTGCCTCCACGACCAGGGTGAAGGAGGCCTACACACCGACCACTTTCCGACCCACCACCTACAAGAAGCCCTACGAGCAGAGCTACCAGACGCAGCTGACCCACCGACCCACCCAGGCGGCCACCAAGAAGGCGGTGACCTCAGCAGCACAACAAACCACAGCCAATCCCCACTCCACCGTGGATGAGGATGATGGGCAGTACCATCCGGAGCTGTACGAGAACGACTTCCCACGCAATCGCATCCGCTTCCTGCGCAACCGATCCACCAGTTCGACCACCTCGACCACAAGTGCGCCGGTGGCTTCCATTTCCAGCCGGCAGCCACATGGCTTCCAGCAGGCTCACAGTCACCTGAAGAGCCAGCAGAAGTCCGTCTACCAAAAGGAGTTGGAGCGGGAAAGGGAGAGGGAGCGCGAGCGGGAGCGGGAGAGGGAATCGGATCTTAGCGACGAGGAGGAGCTCTTCAAGACCGCCCAATCCCTGAATTTTGGAGCAGCCAGCATCAACAAACTGAGGGCGGACATCTACAAGGCGGAGAAGACCTCGCAGCAGTACAACTCACAGTACAGTCCGCAGCTGGTGGCATCTAGTCCGCAGACCAGCAGCACCACTAGCTCCACCACCACCAGCACCACAACTAGCACCACCACCACCACCACCCGACGACCACCAACCACAGCCAGAACCACCACCACCATCATTACCACAAGTGCACCACACGTGGAGGCCAAGAAGTCGGTGAAGAGCAAAAAGGAGCAGCTGCAGCTGGAGAAGAAGGAGCGACCGGCTGGCAAGAGGCCTCCACATGCCGACGAGGACACCAGCTATGATTACGCCTACTACGATACGGACTGAGCGGTCATCCTGCCCAGGACTCGCACTAACTACTTGCATAACCACACCCAGTAGACCTTTTCCAGATCATATCCCCGAAATAGGTGCCACAGTATTTTAAAGAAGACAGTTCCCCCACCCAAACCATGCTCATCAGATTTTCACATACATATCTTACTTACGAACCGCTTGACACCCATTAACACTCGCGTACATTCATTCAATCAGTTTCAGATGCGTTCTAATGAATTTCCATGCGTGTATCTAGTTATTTAAATAAAAGGATTATATGTTTAGTCGTTAGACAATTGTTGAATTGGAGCGAATTGGCAGCGAAAACCGTATCGAGGACCGGTTGAGAAACACTTTCAGAAATTCAGTTGAAGTATTTTGTACTTGTTGTCCAATATTCAATGAATTCACTACGAAATTGTATTAGTCTTAAGTTTTCTTGTAAATAAAATGAAATATAATTCGTAAAATATGGCATTATAAGGTATTTCTTAACTGCTTATAAAACAAACTGGGTTACGTTTAAATAGATAATTTGAGAGTATCTTTTATTAAATTAAAATAAAGTCTAAAAGAAACTTAGTGTAAACTCTGCACTGCAAAATTTATGATCTTCAGTCCTTGAACTTCTGGCGAACACATCGCGGCATGGGAAACAAGTAGACCAACATGTTAAAGGCGGCCAGTCCCACGGCAAATGCACAAGAGGCGGCCACATCGATGGTTTCCTGTGTAATTCATTATATTACGATCCGAATTAATAAACTATTGTATTATATTATTGATCAAAGCACTTACATCCGGATCCGGTAATCCCAGTCGCTCGTGCATAAAGTCAGCTGGCTTGGGACAGATCACTGAGGCGGTAGGGGTGCAGTTGAGCTTCCGCGATTGGAAGGCGATGCTGTGCAGCAGGGAGGATGCGTAGCGCGTGTGGGTGCCCTTTGTATTGTCCTGCAGCCAGGGCTGGAGTCCTTTGAAGGACCTAGAGAAAGATACAATTTCAAATCACATTTTTCAAAAAAATATCTAAAGATTCTACATATTTTAGTATAAGCTATTCATCGTCTTATAAGTCATTCCTAATTTATGAAACCTAAGCAATTTAAACTATATAACAAAGACCTCTTAACTCACCGCACTGTTCCACTGGCCAAAGCAATACTGATGACCAGCACATAGGTCACTGCAATTGCTGCGTTGAAAGGAACCTTGACCACCAAGAGGAAGCGATCGTGAGTTGCTCGGCAAGGACAAAACTGGACCAAAGGGCAACAAACAGATAGGCGAAGACGATGCCGTTGTTGAACTTAACATCCAATAGGAGACTATAAGAAATTAAAGATAATTTCTTAGTCTTTTACCATTTACCAAGAACTTACGGATAGACAACACAGCTAGCAATTACAGCGGACACGGCAGAGAATGGTATGGAAACGGAGTTGTAGGCAATCAGTAGAGTAGTTCCCGAGTAGAGCCCTTCTGGAGTGTCTTGCGAAACTTTTTGCGCCAAATGGGAACTGCAATATGAGTTAGGAGATTAGAGAGCATAGAAAACCTGGACATTAAAATTAACTACTTACATAAGGATATGGTGGTCAGGATTCCGCAACCGTAAGACAACCCCAAAATATTAAGGATCATGCCGTTTTTGGTGAAGAATCCATGGGCATCGTCCTGAAACATAACTATGAGTAATTCATACTTTAATTATATATTCCTTGACTTACCCCGACATCTGTGTAGAAGGCCCACAAGATGCTCAAGGCCAAAGGAAGTAAAAGCATGCGTAGAAATAGTGTCTTCATGCCCACCAGACCGCAGGAAAAGGTTGAGGCCAATAGTTTTCTAGACAAGTAATAAAATAGTTTAAATTGTTTAGAAATTATGACATTTTTAGCTCTACTTACAAGTACAACATAACCCAAACTTTAAGTTCTCCAGGCTTTCCGTACGCCAATGGCACTTTGCCAGATCCCATATTATTCAGCGGGGCATCCGAGATGGGAGTTTCCCGGGAGAATCGCTCTACCAACGCCTCGATCTGCTGGCTGGACTCCAAGAACCGATCCCGACTGCGACGATCCACGGTGGACAGGCAGAGATAGTACATCAGCGGATTCTCTAGCTGGGGACAGGGAAATCCAATGCCGTGGAAGTACTCCAGCATGGCACGAGTTCCTCCAGAATAGACCACTCCTCCCAGGCAGAGGAACAGGGCTCGATCCAGGAATGGAAAAACATCGGATCGTGGCTTCTCCAGCGAAAGTAGGATACCACAACCCGTTTTCTTGGCCGTGTTGGACAGAATGGATATTAGCAGATAGGCACTCAAGGGATCCAGGCCATGGGTTGGCTCATCCAGCAACAGCATGACTAAAGAGAACCTTAAATTATTTAAAAGACCCTCGTGGTTCATGGTATATATCTTACCAGGATCTCTGACCAACTGGATGCCAATAGCCAGACGTCGTGCCTCGCTGATATTCAAGTACTCCACTCGCTTGTGAGCCACTTGTGAGAGGGCTAAATCCGCCAACACTTGTCGCACCTTGGAACTCTTCAGGTAACCACTCAACTGCAAAGGGATTATTTATTATAAGCCACTATAAAAAGTGTTGCCCCCATTGACGTCTTTCCCAATAATTGATACGCATTTACCGCATTTCAATTAAGAACTAACGAGTAGCACCTTATACGTTTTTAAGAGTGTCCATATTTGTTTAAATGATCTTTTCAAAAAGTTGAAACGTAATCAGATTTGAGCACGCCAAAATAGGTCAGTCAGTTAAATTGTAATACAGGTTCTCATCGTAAAGTGCAAAACATAAAAAAATTCTTATTTTAAACTACCTACGTTTATAACGTATTTAAATTATATACTCACTATGGTGGGAGTGTAGTGAAGGGTCTGGGCCACTGTGAGACCCGGAACAAAGGTGCAGGACTGGGTCACATATCCGCATCGCTGTTGGAACAAAGCCTTTGAGAGGGGTGATCCATTGAGCAGCACCTGGCCCCGAGTGGCTCCATCGGCGCGTCTTGATATGACGTCTAAGAGAGCCCTCTTACCACTGCCTAAAATTCAATTATTATTATTATTATTTGACTAAGATATATGTAATATTTAGTAATACCTTTCGATCCCAGAATGGCCATAACCTCGCCGCTGTGACGGTGAGATTGACGCCTTTGAGCACCAGGGCCGAGTTGCCGGCTCCATTGAAACAGCCACCACCATCCACCTGTTGTCGGAACAAAAGAAAACAAAGAAGATTTTATGGGAGAGTGTTTTTCACGAGACTAAAGAGAACCCACCTCGGTGGTGTGGAAAATGTTATGGGCTTCCAGTACGTAGTCGCTGCCGATCATTTTCATAGCCACCACTGAGAGAGCTGCTTTTGTTTGTTTATTCTTCTTGTGCTCTTTGGGCCTTACACTCTCTGTTCGTGGCTCAAGAGTGGCTTGGGTTAGAGCTGATTTCCAGTGAGAGGGGAGAGAATACAAAGAGACTGGTTTATAGAGAGAGAAAACTTGTTGACACCAAGAGATAATATTTGGTAAAGGATCAAGTCACTTAATACGATATTTGAAGTTATGTAGTCTAAAACAATTTTTTTTAAACTTCATATTTTATAATGTATATTTTTTATTAGAACTTTAGTATTCTTAAAATATGAGTAAGCAAGAGTTGACTTTTTTTATCTCTCCAAATAAGATACTTTTCCAGAGAGAAAGATATAGACAGAGTGAGATGGAGGGACCAAGTATTCATAATATAGGGGAAAAAATCCAAATCTTGAAAGATGTAAGACACTTGTTGTAACAAGAAGTTTGTAACTTTAAAGCTACAAAGGTTTTTAATAAATGTAAACTATATATCTATATCTTTTTAGAACATTAAAATTATGTAGATATCTCTACGCGATATATAAACACTGCTAACCTCCGCGAACACGTCCAAATCAACTGAGCGCGCTGTTCCAACTGAACTGAAACTGTTGCTCGGAGTTAAAACCATTCCAATTGGTAGAGCCAGCGGAAGAGTCCGCTCCGGCTGGAAAACGGCACTCTCCGAGCCAACACTTCCAGCCAAAGCAAGCGGGCTAAGATGGCGGCCGAGGCCAAGTTCAGATCAGTTCGCTGCGAGCCGAGCTCCGAGAGAGTTGCCTCCACCGATCCGCGGTTCGCGTCGATCGTTTTTTTTCTGGCGGCGCCTCAACACATAATTCCCAGCAGAAAATAACAAAAAAAATAATAGTAGAGAACAGTCAACGCTGATGGAAATCTAATTGAAATGTTTACGGCTTAACGGGCAACAAAAGTATTTATACCTGTGCAAAGGCGAATATATTTTAATGGCCTCCAGGAAGTGCATGCAAATGTGGTTATTTGTTGACTCGCGAAATACCCAATAGATACCAACAAAAATATAAGGAAAAAAAGTGGCAAAAAATACAAGTGGCGTGTGCAGAGTGTAGTGCTGTTGTGTGTCTATATGGTCTATATGAAATATGCAGACATCGGTGTAGCCAGCAGATCAACATTGTAATGTAAGTGTTGTATTGCTGTATCTAAGTCATGAATGAGTGTCGCCGAGCGGCTAATTAGAGTCCAACTGGCCAACTGGTATTTACTGTTAATTGTATTAAGGCAAGCGACCAGCACTTGCCACCTCAACGAGTCTCCACATCCACAACGCTCCATCCACCACGCTCCACGTTCTTTACCTACCTATAGGTATACCTCCATACCTTCTGGTTCTGTTCTTTTCGTACTCCTCTGTTCTGCTCGCGCGGTCGTCACCATCGCAGGTCAAAGATCCCGCGAGCGGGTTTTGTCTAGCAAATGTATCTTAGCCTCCACCATTTGCAGCACTTCTTGGCCGCTCGCTCAGCGCCCTGCTTTCAGCCCCCTGCTCCCTGCTCTCTGCTCCCTGCAGAACCGAACGATCCGAGCCAAAGTGAGGTTGAAGCCAAAGCCAAAACCAGAACCCAAGTGCCAGCCAAAGCCGGAGTCGCACAAACAGCCAAGTGCCTGGTGCTCGGCTTGTCTTGTCTTTTATTTTCTCTGCAGCTCACTGCTTCGCTGCACAGGGAAAAAAAGGGGCCCGATATTAAATTGAAATAAGCAGTTCAGATAAATAATTATAATATGATAGTTTCAATATGTAAATTGATATAGGTGTTTTATATGCCAACAACATGTAGGCTTTGAAATTTAATAAAATTTCACTTAAAGTATTAAGCTGATGGTTTTAGTTTAATATTAGATATGTTGCATCATTTTTTCATTTTTATACGCATCTTTTTCAAATTTTGGTATTAACACAATTCAAATTTCCAAAGCCATAAACATTATAACAACTTTTTCCTACTGTATGCGAGTGTGTATCTCACAGATACGAGTTTCAGTTTGTTTGTTTGGCCGGCTGTCTTTGGCTTTGCCTTTGCGGAGCTGGGTTCTTGGCTCTCCGGAATCGCTTGTTGTTTGCTCTACCCGCAGATGCCAGCATCGTCTTGGTCTGGTCATTCCCTCGTAAAAACAGCCTCTAGCCTCTGATAGAGCTATATCGCAATTATTTGTTTTATGTTTATAGTTTAGCCACATAAATATATGTTTATGCGCCCTTAGAAATGCTTGCATAATTTATGGGCACTTATTTTTGCACATATACAGCAGTTCTAAAGTAATAATGCTGTCGAAGCACTACAACTTTACCTCAGGATAGCTCTATTACACTTTTATTATAATGAATGATTCTTTACATATTTTCCTTTTGTGGACCTAAAATAGTAAGCAATCAAACTATACATTTCGTTCTTCAGTTTACATTTAATCCTCACACATTTCTGTGACCCGAATATTTGTTTTTTTTTGTTATATTTATTTTCGAACAAGATGTGAAAGCCATAACAGGTCCGAAAGAGATCTCTTGTAAGAAGAGAGAAATATTTTATTTCTGAGTGTACTCTTCCCGTATTGGCTCATAAAGAATAACCGCGCGGCTAAGCAACTTTCACATTCATTTTGCAATTTCGATGCAGCTGCCAATCTGGGCTCACAATCACTTTCAAAATTTCGTGCCGCGGAACTTGATTTCTCATCGAAATGGAGCCGCGGGCTAATGGCGATTTGGCCATCAGGGCTTTTAGCACCATTCTCAGGGCCCCCGACTGCAGATCATTGTCAACCTAATGCCTTTGGCCCTTCGCAATGCAAATTCCCAGCCTCCGTTTGGCAGTCACTTCCAAAGATTCTCGCACCTAATTAGCCATGTCATGTTGGCCGGCCCGTTAGAATGCTGTTAAAGCCATGGCCAAGCTCATTGAAAAAGTCCAAAAATGATTTCTGGTTCTTCGCGCTGACTTGCTGGATTGTTTTTCTTGATATTCCCATTGTTGTTTTTGCCGACGCTGCGGCGTAAATTAGTTAACAGTATTATTATAGCTGCTAACGGGGCTTGATGATTTGTGGCTGCTGTTTGGGACCCAAAAGATACAACAAAAAAAGATTCACTAAACAACTCCGAAACAGACAAAAAAAAATCGCTTAGAAGCGGACCGACAGGCAGTGACAAGATCTCGGAGCGCTCGTAATTCAATTTCGACAATTTCAATTCCAGTCCAAAAGAAAAAACAAATACAGAAAAAAAACAGAGACAAATCAAAAGACTTAAGACAGCAACGCGGAGTCTAGACAAAAAAGACGAAGGCGCAGCAAAAAGCCAGCTTAAGTTGAATTGATTGTCAGTTATGGCTTTGTGGTGAGTTCGAAACTGGAGTGGGGTGGTGGTATCTGGTATAAGGTATATGGTATGTGGTATATGGTATGGTATCTGGTCTTTGTCTTGGGTCTAGGCGGGTTTTCGAATGGTTCTCCCTAGGTGTGGCTGCATCTTGTTGGCCAAAACTTGTTCTGGTTCCCTCGGACTCTCAGTCTCAGTATATTTTCAATTGAACCTAGTCGCTGGCTATTCCGAGATGATGAATCATTGCATTTAATGATCTCCCACTGGATGAAGTCAGCGGCGGGCCAATGGAACGATGATGATGCGACTCGAAGACCAAGAGACCCTTGCCCGCTGGATCGGCAAAGTGAAAACTCAACGAGCAGGAAATGCAAATTCGAAATTCCCCAGTTGCATGGGCAATCTCTCCCACTGCGGGGCCATTAAAAGCTGCGACCATGAAAATTGTGGGCATTGATAGATACGCTACGGGGCCACAGACAGTTAATTTACTTTTTATTGTAATTAAATTAACACAGTAGGGCCGAGGAGAAAAAGAAGAAGCCGCAGCAGCAGAAGCAGAAGCAGAACAGCTGCATAATTAGGCGAAGAAAGTACATTTCAACCGACGCTGCTACACACACTTCGTGACTTTTATGGCCGTAAAAAAAGAACTTTACTTAATTTCACTCCAGGTTCACAGACACGGTTCAGACATGCCTCTGACATAGAATCAGAATGCCCGGATTCGCAGTCGGAGATGATTTGACATGGATACAGCCAACGTGAGCCGAATAAATCGCTCTTAAAATCCATGTCACACACTTCGCCTCCTCACTTTTCACTGTAGTGAAAAAAATTAATTAATTTCTCTAAAATTATAAATTATTTCAAAGATATGAAAGGGTTGTAGGGTATAACATTATCTAGGATAAACTTTAACAATTTTACATAAGCTTAAAAAAGTGTATCCATACTCACTTTCTTTGAAAGATTACCCCTTCCTAAAAAAATACGATTACCATTTATCTATATCAAGTTTTTAATTTATGGGAATATTATTTTTATCTTAAGTTTAGATTTTTTGAAGTGGTTGAGAAGAAAAGCGATTTATTTATAAATGTTATGAAATATTTCAGTAATTCAATTTCATTTAACTTATAACCAACTAAACCGGTTAAAGTGTTCATCTTCATTTTAGCATAATCCAAAGGAATTTCGCAGCTTAAGAGCTGTTTTCAGTATAACGTGAAGATGAGAAAAGTTTAATTATAATGGAGTCTGATGAGGCTTATAATTGCTGTCTGATTACCAAATCAAATTTATACAGACTTTCTTCAGATAAGGTGATATATTTTTCTGAGTGTGGAATTGGCGCCTAAGACCGGGTCGGTCTGTGTCTTTGGGTCTCTGGGTGTGTTCGGGAATTTGGCCAAATACGCCTGTCTGTCGCATTTTTATGCATGCAATGGCAACGCAGGGAAAAATTGCCATTTTTCTGTTTTCGTTTGGCTTGCCATGGAATTTATGTCAATTAGCCTGGTGGCACACGTGTCTTTGTGGAGGAGGCGAATGGGAGCGGCGGGATTGGCTTTAGCATGCAAATTTTACCCACAATTGTTGGCCACTTTCACAAGTCTGTTGCAATACAGGAAAGTGTTTTGTTGCGACTCGTTTGGGCTGGGGGATTTGTTTTGGTTTCTGCTCGCCGTTAATTGCCTGTAAAGATGCCCGAAACTGAGGCAAAGTTTCGTATTCCGTTTGGGCAATTAATAAAACTGACCTTGCCTGAGTTTTCTAACCACAAAGCGAAAACTGAACGCAGAAGCGCTGGAAACCGAAAGCCGATCCGCTGAAAAAACGCTGAAATGAGACCACCACGGTGGTTTCGACGGTGCTTTTCTGCGGTGGTGGTGGTGGTGGTGGGGGCTATGCAGCCATGACGAATATTCGTTGACGGCATGACATTAGCTCGACTTTTTGGGGTCATAGTCATAGAGCAACGTCAGCGGAATTCTTGTGCTCGCATTTCTGCCAGCTCGTTGGTTAACTCATTTCTGGTTATGCCCCTGCCTCGGAAACTCGGATATTGCCCAATTCGATGGCAATTTGTGGGCCAAATTCATTAGCCTCAACGGCGACTGGCTCACAAATTGGGTTAGCTTTGGATTCCCATTAGTCAGTGTTTAATTTATCATTCTTCCTTTCCAGCTCTCGCAACTTTTGTTGACAGTTCATATGATTTGTTGAATCAATCAATAACATAGTTGCTGGGAAAAACGTAAATAACTTGGAACTGACGCATTAAAACTTGTCATTCCTCAAATATTTACGAGTAAAAACTTCAAGTAAGAAAAATTCTTGAACAGGAAATAAATTATTACTAAGCCGCATAAAATTAAAACAACTTCTCAAAGATCTCTTAAAGTTATAAAAACTTTCATGGTTACAATATGTATGTAATTAAATTAAAGAAAATATTTTATAATGTATAAATATTATTTTTTTATAAAAAAAACTGTAACAATTTTTCTCTCCGTGCATCCATTCACCTGCTGGGCCTGGACCCATCTCTGCCCGTGTTTCGTCGACGTTTACCCACTCATAATCAATTTACGCAGCCGAAACTTTCACAAGTCGAATTGCTGTGGCAGCTTGAAGATTTCCTCGCTGCGTGCTTGTCTTTTTCTTTTTTTTTTTGACTGACTGTCGCTCATCCGCCATGGAGGCCAGTAGTTAAAAGCGTGAGCATCTATCTCACAACGTGGCCAGCAATTTGCATACTGGCTTCTGCCGGCCAAAGGCAAAGGCAGCGACAACGATACGATGCGATATGGAGGCACAAAAAAACGTGCTAAAAATCAAACAAAAACCCGAACAAAAATATCTGGAACCCGAGTGTTCAATTAACACACACACAAAACATCTCATCTCGTCGAATGCCAGTGCCTTTCCTCCCGAGGTATAATCACAAAAAATGTCATCTTTCCTAACCGGACGACGAGCAAGTTCAACAAACCGCTTTGTCGCCGGAATGAAGCGAGGAATGTTGGCCACGGGCTGGCAATCATTTAATTTGTTTATTATTAATTGGCAACTGGCAATGGCATTAGTCAGCGCTCGAAATCGGCTCTCCTTTGCCGCCCCTTTTGCTGGACCCGCCCCTCCATCAAAAAATGGATATATTTCTGCGGGTCCTGAGAAGGGTATTACCACTTTGACGTTGCGAATGTGTCTAAATTTATCAGCCTACGTGATCCCATTCAGGTTTCTGGTTTAACACATTAGTGACTTTGCGTTCTGCGGTTTCTTTAAGAATTTTGCGAATTTTTAATGACTCACGGAGAGACATTAAACACTTATTTAAGGGAAATCGTCTCATTTAATCAGAATTTCTCATCTTTATTGCTGTTGGTTTTTATCTTGAAGACACTTAAAATTAGCTGGTAAATCTTGGTTATAAATAAGTTTTTAGAGAGAAACATCTACAGCACATTTATGAAACTTATAAAAACTGTTTAAAATTTGAGTTTTAATTTAATTGTATATTTACTGGAGGTTTTTATAATTTTTCTAATCTATTAACCAATTAAATAGTAAAACTGTGATACCAACTTTCTAAAAATGTTAATTCCAAGAATTGAAAGTGAATTCTCCTATTTAGCCTTTATGTTTATGCAGTTAAGCTTTTGTCTTCTCACGTCAAAATAAATTTTCCCAGTTTAATAAAATCTTAACGGCTCTGAGTGCATTCAAGCGTCGTTGTGTATGCAGTTTCCCTTGTTTTATTAATCGCAAATTACAAAACTGCAACTGTGACCCACTTCGAGGCAGTCGCAAAATATTTTGTAGGCATTTATCATACGGGCGCAGCAGCAGCAGCAACTACAAATTATGCCACAAGAGTTTCACTTTCTCAGCGAGATCTTCCCAGTCCATCAGTTAGTCACTTAGTCATTCAGTCACTCAGTCAATCAGAGGCCAGCTTTGGATATGGGAGGGAATCTGAGCGACCCACCTGTTGTCTACATGTCCAGGGAACCAGTTTTGGGCAGTGAAATTAAGAGCCCAGCAACCCAATTTAATTGGCTTTTGCGTGGGAATGGAAATGGATGGGCCCAGGCCGGCTGAACCGCAGGTCAGGTCTCGTTAGCAGACCCAATCACACATCTTTCGAGTACCACCAAGCAATCTTTCAAACGAGTAAAGTACAATCCATCCATGGGAGAGAGCAACAAATGGTTATGGGGGTCTGGGGACTGGGACCACTTGAAAGCCACTTGGGCGCGCTCCATTAAATCATAAAATGTGCGCGCACAAGCCGGCGAGCAGTGACCGAAAAACCGGAGTAGGAACCGGAGCCATCGTGGTCGCAGCTCGTGTCTAACTGCAGTTTTGCATCAATGGTCATGTGAGTGCGGCAAACGGTTCTCGACTTGTCAACTGACATCTTCGTGGCTTCTTGGCCAACGGGAATGCAGAATGACAGCAACGGGACTCCACTCCACCACGTCTGCATATGCAACATCTTGGCCAAGTCAGGCAACCGACGGCCAATGGACTGCTAAGCTATTGCCAATAACCGTTGCTTATAACCAATTACTTAGCGCATTGTGTTATTTATTCACACCAGCAGCAGCCGGCCTCGTTGACAGGCAAATATCCGCTAACTTCGGTTTTAGTTTCCGTTTCTCTGACCGATCATGCAACGATCGAGTGACCCACTTGGCCGTAGGCTATATATAAGCCATTGAGAGTATGAAATAATTCTGGCCAGACTGCAGCTGTAACTGCAGCGGAACTTTGCCTGGATTTTGGCCACAGCTGCGTCTAGTTTTTCATGTTGCAAGCTCGGATATTCGAGGCCCGCAATCTGATAAAGTCCGCTAAGGCTTGGCTAATGGTTAGATAAATGTGGAATGCCACCCAAGAGCTAGGGAAAAATAATAACCTACATCATGGGAACTAAACAATCACATTTCCCCTCAAGCTAGATTTAATGTGTTTTAGGCTCAGTTGTAAAAAATAAGAAAACATTTATTACATAGGCAAACTATCCGATCATTAGTTCTAGGTCTATTTCCAGTAAGATTGTACCTCTCATAAAGTCTACTTTTTTTTAATTTTAAGACATGTCTACCTTGCATTTTCTTAATTCCAAAACGTGCCGAGGTAGGAGTTTGCATTCTTGCTTTTGATAAATAAGTAGTAAACATCTTAGTAAGCAATCTTAAGTAATCATCACATAACATGGTTTTGAAATAAAAAACAATTAATTGGAGTAGCTTTAATTGTGCGATTTAAGCAAACAATTGAATCAATCAGTGGTAATTTTGGTGTTTATTTAATTCCCAAGCTGTTCAAACTAATCAGTTTGTTTTTGTTGTTTTAAAATTTGTGGTAAAAACCAAAAGTCACTTTAATCATTTGTTCACTTTCCTCCACTGTCAGCTGTCGGTTTTTAAGTGCCATTCGCAATGTTTTTGCTTCACGCACTTGTGCGAACAATGGAAATGGATAGATACAGATACGCGCACTGCGAGATACTTAGATATCGGCTGCGAAGTCAACCGAGCATCGTGATCACATAAATCAATGCCGCTGTCGTGGTCGCAGCCGTATCATTGCCCCCAATACCATTCATTCATTACAGGCAGCCCAACAAAGCGACGCTTTAGATGCCGCACATCTCTTTCTTTGCGGCCCATATAGACTGCCCAGTTTTTCAGTAAAAATACACTAGAAAATATTTCTGGGTTTAAGGAAAAAACGAAATAAGCTTACGGATTTCTTAAAACAGATTATGCTTTTCCCTTGGTAAATTTGTGATTAATTGAAAAGCAAACAACTCGATCTTTGGAGCGCTTTAAGGTCTGCTGTTCTATGATTTTAATTTAATACGCAATTATTTTCAAATTTCGGTTTTGTTTTTGGAATTTTCTATCAAAGCGTTTTATAGTCATAGAAGATAAAAATTGCAGTTTTTTAAAGAACCCTTACAAATCTGAGAACACACACAAAAATAAGGTATATTGTAGTGTAGTCCATACATTCCCTTGGGGAAATATTTTTTGTTGCATATGTTAAGTACCAGTATCTGCGACTGCAACTGAGTGTAGGTTTCTCGGCATGGGCGATGGGATGTCTGAACTGTAGCAGGCTCTCGCGGGTATTAAAACCACCTTCCCTGACTTCCACTTTCACTCTGTGCCAAGTGCTGCTAAAAGCTAAAAGGCCCCGGCAAAAATGGTTACGGCCAAGAAAAGCTACATAAAAAAACAGAGGCAAATAATTGTTGGGGAAAGAAATGATAATAATAAACAAAAAACGCTGGCAGACAAACAAAATCGAGTAAAATGCGTTGAACTGCGAGGAAAATCCGTTTAAGCGATTATGGCACAAGTGATTTTAATTAAAGCGAATTTAACACGCAATTAAAAGTGTTAATACACCGGCCGATTTCGAGTTCCGTGGAAAAAATTGTTTAATATCTTATGATAATCTGCAATGGTAGATGGGCGAAAGCATTTGCTATGGAATGCCATAATCCGGGCACCAGCTTTCATCTTTTAGGCACCGCCCCCCAATCCCAGCTCCAAAACCACAGCTTCACTTTTAGCAGCTGCCTAGTGGAGCTTGCAATTGCGAATATATCTTGAAGTTGGAGTATCTGAAGCCGCTCACTTTCGCCGCACTTGTAGAACACTCGACTACGTAATCTCTGCGGCTGGCAAAACGGAAATCCGCACGGCTCGCTGCACTGCATCCATTTGGAGTCCACAAAAAAGTCGGCGACAGCGTTGCATTAGTTTGTTTGCTTTTCGTACGCTGGTTGCATAATGCTGCCTAGACAAACTGCAGTTCATTTGCATGGATATGGTTCCTTTTAAGGGGGTCTGCACTGGCAATTAAAAACCCAGAGGCCGTGTCCAAATGAGCTGCTCTTTGTTCTCCCGCCCTGCGCTTTAGATTTCCTCAAGACATAAACTTGGAAATCCGAAAGACAGAACCAGATTAGGTGTCATTGTCTTGGGGGTTTCGTGCACTTGCTCGGACTAAGATTCCCAAAAAAGATATTACTTTGGTACAAAGGAAAAAGAACACCGTGATAATATAATTGTACAAACTGCTTTTCTTTTGTCTCTGGGTATAATGAATAGCGATAATATATTATAATTTTTAAATACAACCGAAACAAAGTGGTTACCATAAAATGACAATTTGTATGGTTATTACGACTTTGATTGTGGATTTTGGTCTTTTGTAATTTCATATCAAAAGGTACTTTTTTAATCATATCAATATAAATATATCAATTTGAAAAGGTTTTTAGAATTATAGAAAAGTTTATATTTTAGTAAAGTGAAGGTAACTACAATTATGTTGGAGATATTATTAATGTATCCATTCTTACTATTAATTTATATATTAAATGGGAAAACCTTTATTTTTATAAAATATGTATTTCATTGCTGAATAACCGAGAGAACTTCGAGTGGTTCATTGTTAGGGGTGTCTCAAGTTCGCCTCGTATCATATCCGACACAATTTCCGCTTTTGTCATGACAATGGTTGTGAATATGCGACTCCGATTCCGAATCCGAATCCGACTTCGACTTCAACTGACACTGCGTGTGGTTGTGTAGATGTGTGGGCATTGTCATTAGGCTAATTCCCGCCAATTATGAGTAATAATAGCGCAGCCATTCTCGAAGCATTCTTGACCCAGTTTAGCTCGGAATTAGCTTAATATTTTGGCCCGAACTCTCTAACCCGCTCCGTGTTTCCAGCAGATCATGGAGCTGAGCAACTTTTCGAGCGGCAAGAAGATGTCACGCGAGGAGCGACGCTACTCGGTGCCCCATGGCCCCAATACTCCGCTGCCACCGGCGGCCTCCGAAGATCTGCACGCCTGGTCCATCTACAGGTGAGTGGTTTAGTGGGGGAACCCCGGCATCCAGATATCCCAGCTATCAAGCTGTCCAGCTATCCAGACATGGGTGTGGTCTCTGGGGCGGAAGAAGGCGGGGGAACCACTGGCTCCGGCCGCACCTGTCGATCGGAGTTTTGACGGTTGATTTAACCGCAGCCAACGGAAGTTCAAATGCCATAAATGGCTAATTGAAGAGCCATGGCCAAGCCCTCCAATCATGTCCAGCTGACCGCAACTGCAGCCGCCCATTGCAACTCTCTATTTCGCTTTCCATCTTCTTTTTGAATACCCCCCATTAATAGGCAAAACCTGAACTCCGACTTCACCGATTCGGCTCTGGGCTCGTCGGACAAATCACCGCTGCCATATGGAAACTTCCAGCTACGCGATACCACAGTTCAATCAATCTTAAATCATCCGCGCTACGGACCCAAGTGAGTAATCCCAGACATTATTTGAATAAACCATTATTAAGCATAATTAAGCGTTAAAAATGTGATTATATGATCTCAGCACTCGAGAATGTTATATACCCATCGTCATATAAATAGACATGTCTCTGGATGAACAATTTTTATAAAAAATGGTTAGACAAAGAATTTGTGATCAAACAAAAAGGAAAAACAGACAGACGGTCCTGGTCAAGAAATATTTATATGCTTTATAACTGTTTATAACTTTTAAATCTTAACTATAAGATTAACTAGAAAACTATTCTTCCTAATGTTAAGTGTTATATCTAATGTATAGCATATACAAATGGGCTTCTTCCTTTAACTTATATTTTGTTTTTTATTAAATTCGAAAAGCAAAGAATAATTTTTAAATAAGCAAAACTATAATGATACGATGAAAAATTTAAAATACATCTTCGTAACATTTTTATAATACTTTATATATTTGATTATAAAACCAACAATGCTTAACCCTTTCAGATCCCCCTTGGGCTCAAATATGTACACATACTTGAAGTTTGGACTGCCTCGCGTCTTTCCGCCGAACGCCGGATCGCAGCGCTCGCATCGTCCAGGACCGGGTCCGGGATCGGGTCCTGGTCACGGCGGTTCCAGTGCCCTGGGTGGAGTGCGTGGGCGGGTGAACCGCGCCTTCCGTGACAGCTCGGGGGCACCGGCGGGCGCCGGTAGCAGTGGCTACGACAGCAGCGACAACGAGACGACCCGCAGCAGGGTGCCGCCCAATCTCCGGAAGTACCGCAGCGAGTCCGACTTCCGTGCCATCGGCGGCATGCCACACTCGCGTCCGGAATCGCGGGCACAGATGGGAGGAGGGGGTGTTCCGGCGGCTGCACTGCGTCAGGCCAACAGCAGGGCGAGCATCGCGGTGGGCCAGCACCACCACCAGATGCAGCAGCACCAGCAGCAATACATGGGCAATGGAAAGCACTACGGCCACAGGTCGCACAGCGAGGCGGATCTCCTGGGAGCCGGCTAAGCCAAGTGGATGGCGGTGGGGGAATGGGCTATGACTACAACGAAGCCCGGCTGTACGGCAGCTCCAGGCAGTACGGGAAACGGAAATGGTCACAATCCAGGCAGTCGGAAGCAGTCGGGCATGGGCCTCATCTACCCGAACATCCAGGTGCACTGCCTCGACGTAAATCCCTGCCTGCGCGGTGTGTCCATGCAGGCCAAGGCCGGAGATCTGTTCGCCATCATGGCCACCTCGCAGCGGGAGGGAAGTGCCCTATCCGAGTGCTTGGCGGGATTGAGTGAGCGACTGGGAGGGGAGATCCTCATCAATGGACAGCAGGTGAGTCGCCGCGGTCTGCGGGAGCTCTGCAGCTATGTTCCGGCTCTGGAGGTCTCCTCATGGATCCCCGGATGAGTGTCCAGTGTACCCTGAACTTCCACGCTGCTTTGAGAGGTCCTCTGGATCGCAGCGATCTGGAGGAGCGCATGGATGTGCTAATCGAGGATCTGGGGCTGAACACAGTGCGTGCCTCCAATGTGTCCACTCTAACCCACTCGGAGAAGCAGCGCTTGAGTGTGGCCTGCCAGCTGCTGGCGCAATCTTCGCTTCTAATCCTGGACCAGGTGACCAGCAATATGGACATCTTTGACACCTTCTTCCTCGTGGAGTACCTGCGTCAATGGTGCAGTGGGGGTCGCATCGTAATCATGACGCTGCAGCCGCCCACCTTCGAAATCCTCTCCATGTGCTCCGGAGTGCTGCTGCTCTCCGGCGGAAGGACCGTCTTCTCCGGCAGTCGAGCGGATCTACCACGACACATGGGTCAACTGGGCTATCCATGCCCGCCATTCAAGAACCCAGCAGATTACTACTGTAAGTCAGAGGATTACCTTAAATTGAATAGTCAATAATAATATTATTTTAGTGGATTTGGTCACGTTGGACGACCTTTCGGCCGCCGCCATGCTGGAGTCTCGGCCCGCATTGAATCCCTGGCCAACGCCTGGGACCAGATAAATTCGGAGCCCCCACTTGCTGCACCGCCCGCCTCCCTGCCCAACTTCACCCTGAAGGCCGGCTTCTTTGGCCAGATCAGTGCTTTGATCAAGCGATTCGCCGGCTACAAGCAGCCGGATCACTGCTCACCTGGATCAGCAAGCTCATCGCAGCCGCCGTCCTGTCGCTCTGCATCGGCTGCATCTTCTGGGATGTGCCCGCCTCCGATCCGCAGCTGAGCTATCACGATCGGCTGGGCTACCATCATTGCGTCATGGTGCTGGTCTACTGGCCACTGGTCATGCTGACCATCAGGGACACGCAAGAGGATCGTCGTCATGCGGAGCGGGACATCCGCCTGGGACTCTATACGCGCAGTCTCTACATCATTGTGCAGGTAAGGGGCTTTAAAATGTTATTTAAAACAGTTAAAAATGGTTTCATTAGTAAAAGCCAGTTATAATGTAACTACAGAGGGCTTGAAACGTAGATTTATGGTATGATATAATAGTCTGTGAAGAGAACGAAGGATTTACTTTTTATAAGCAAATACTAAAATCCTTCATTGAAACTCTCCAAATTTAAAATTTTCAATCTTGCAGAGTCTTCTGGGCCTATTCCCAGCCTATGTATCTGGTTGGCTTATTTGCTGCCAGCCCACAGCATGGCGGGACTCTACACCTATTCCAACAGCAGCGATACGGGCATTTACCTGTACATGGGTAAGTTATCTTGAGAACAACCATTGGTAAACGAACCATCCTGATAAATGCCTTTAAATGCAGGCTACATGCTGCTCTACTTGACGCTCATCCAGACACTGGCCCTGTTCTGCGCCCATCTGCTCCCTGTAAGGTCTCGGCGAGCATTGTCAACGGGCTGATCAGCCTGGCAGCGGCGGCAGTGGGTGGTTACCTGGTGCATCCCCAGAACTTGGCCCAGTTCTGGTCCTGGCTGCAGTTCGTCTCGCCGGAACGATGGCTCCTGCCTGTCCTGGTGCAGGATGAGTACAGTGCCGAGACGTTGACCAACTCCGCCGGACTGCAGTTGTGCCGGAACAAGCAGGTTGGTGTCCTAAAGAAGACTATCTTATTAATTACATATTATTTAAATAATATTTTTAAATAAACTTCAGGTGCAGCACCAGGAGATTATTGTGCAACAGCCCTGCCCGCCGCCCAACGGCACCCAAGTGCTAGTCGACTTCGAGCTGTTGCCCCAGCAGCACGTGCTGGATCCCTCGCCCAGCTATGACCAGACCACCTCGTTGGCCCTGGTCCTGGGCTCGGTGCTCGTCTTCTTCGTCACCTTCATCGTCTTTCTGTGCAATTGTCGCGGTGCCTGTCGGAGGCAGCGAAGCCGATAGGCCCATACCGTGACTTGGAGCTGGCCAGGATCTGGCTCCCGAGAACTGTACATTCCATAGAAACTAATTCTTGAAATAAATAGTGTTTAGTCGAGGCCGCGTTCGTTTAACTAACTAAAGGCAAGTGGTTTTTATTGTACTTGGAATGGACATAGGGCAGTTTTTAGGGGGTTGTTTACAAGGATTTTTACATCTACAAAAGTTCTTAAAACACTAAAAACGTTATCAAAAATAGTTTGTATACAAAGGTTATTATTGCAGATAAAAGCTTTTGTTTCCCATTTTCGAATGTCTTTTCACTTGGATTGTTTTTGATTATTTTGTAATGAGAGACAGTATTCCATTTGTAAAGATTAGTTTAAAAATTGAATATTTTGCCAACCGGAAGTAATCTAGAAATCAATCGTGTACTCAAGACAGTCTTGATCTTAATGGTGGAACAATCGCAGATTGGTGTGAGCCATGATGATGCCGTGCTCATCGCAGGCGGCAATGACGCCAGCATCATTGGTGGAGCCTGCAGGACTTCCAATGTAAGAGACACCACTCTGGATAATAAGCAGATGTAACCATTAAAATTTGAATTTTAAAATACTATTCAACTAACTTACCAGACTGGCACGATCGATATTGTCACGGAAGGGGAAGAAGGCGTCGGACCCTAGGGCCACACCACTCAGCTTCTTCAGCCACTCAACCTTTTCCTCGCTGGTCAGTTGGGCTGGCGCCTTATCGAACCTATATATAAAATATTCGGTTTATAGACACTAAATACATGCTATATCTCCAAAACTTACATTCCCTCGAACTGCGATAGAGGCATGTCCTTGCCCACTGTTCCATTAACGTAGTTGTCGATCGCATTGGAGATCTCTGCCCGCTTAACGCCCGCCTTGAACTTCATGCCGGCCACGTTGGGATGCTGGCGCAGCCACCAGTTGTCCGCCTTCTCACCCGCCAGACGAGTGCAGTGAATCCGCGACTGCTGGCCGGCTCCGATGCCTACCACCTGGCCATCGCGGGCATAGCACACTGAGTTGCTCTGGGTGTACTTCAAGGCAATGGTGGCCACGATTAGATCCCGCACAGCCGCTTCGGGCAGCGGACCACTCTTGCTCACCACATTGTCGAAGAGCGAGGGGCTAATGACGGCATCGTTGCGCTTCTGCTCCAGCGTCAGTCCGAAAATGGTCTTGCGCTCCACCGGGGTGGGCTCGTAGTTGGGGTCCATCTAGAATTTAAATTATTAAATGCAATATCCAAAATAGTATGTTTTATCGTATTAGGCTACCTGGAGAATACAGTATCCGCCGTTCTTCTTTTTCTTGAGGATCTCCAGAGCTTCTGGCTCGTAGCCGGCGGCAATGATACCATCCGAAACCTCGCGTGAAATGATTCTGGCGGTGACCACATCGCACACATCAGACAAAGCCACAAAGTCGCCAAAGGAGCTCATGCGGTCGGCTCCACGAGCGCGGGCATAAGCCGTAGCCAGGGGCGTCAGCTGCTCATACAGATCGTCCACCATGCAGAGCCTGGCCTGGGCCGCATTGAGGGGCACTCCCACAGCCGCCCCCGCAGGAGACACATGCTTGAAACTCGTAGCCGCCGGCAGCTGTAGAGCCTGCTTCAGTTCTCGAACTAATTGCCAGCCGTTAAGAGCATCGCACAGGTTAATGAATCCCGGAGAGGCATTCAGCACCGTGAGGGGTAGCTTAGCCAGCTGGGTGTACAACTGCGCCGGCTTCTGGTGTGGATTCATACCATACCGCAGCGGCAACTGAGACACACCCGATGAATACTGCCTCCTGAAGTAGTCCGAAATGGCGTCATCGTAGCTTGCTGTGTGGGTGAATGCCTTAAGAGCCAAAGCCTGTCGCGTCTCCAGAGTGGTATCCCCCGAAGCCTTCAGCTCCGCCAGCACACGATCGTAGTCCACTGCCTCGCAAACAACCGTGACACGCTGGTGATTCTTGGCCGCCGCACGAAGCAGGGTAACACCACCAATATCGATGTTCTCCACAGCATCGGCCAGCGTTACATCCGGTTTAGCTATGGTGCTAGCGAAGGGGTACAGATTGCAGACCACCAGCTGGACGAGATCGAAACCCTGCTTGCGCATGTCAGCCAGATCAGAGTCAGTGGTTCGAGACAAGATTCCAGCGTGCACGGCCGGATGAAGGGTCTTCACACGTCCACCCAGCATCTCTGGGGCTCCCGTTATCTCCGACACATCCTTTACTTTTAGGCCAGCACCACGCAAGCTCGTTGCAGTGCCTCCACTGGCCACCAGGTCAAAGCCCAGGGTCACCAGACTCTTGCCCAAGTCGAGCAGACCCGTCTTGTCCGACACACTAAGGAGAGCTGTGGGAGTTGAGAAGCTTGGTTAGATATCCCCTAAGAATGGATCCGCAGACTCACCAATCTTGCTGGAACTCATGGTTGATGCCTAGATTTTCTGCTGACTGCGTCTGAACCGCTTGGCAACTGAAATGCAAATGAAAGACGAGAAGTCAGTGGGCGATTGCGAATGTGGGCTGGTTATTCGGTGCACAAACATGTTTACGCGTTTTCGCTTTTCTGGCTAGGCAACGACCTCCCACTTGCGGTCTATGGTCCCCATTAGCGAGGTGTAGGGTTATCAGGTACTCCTCAAACCGCTTGCATCAGCAGCAGATTGGTGGGATTGGATTGGTACTCAAAACAACAACAATCGACTCAAATTTACGTAGGTTTCTTTATTGCCAAGCCGTGTCTGGTTTTACAATTCCTTATCAGTATCGTTGACTTGGCTGGGTGGCTGCTGAGACTCCTCATCCGCTCCCTTCTGCTTCTTCGCTTGATCCGCTGAAAGCTTCGTCTCCTGGGCCCTTTCCCTCTTGCGCTGCCCTCTTTTCGGCGCTTGTGTTTGTTGGACTTCAGATGCAGTCCCCATTGGTACTCCCCGATGAAGTGTCGCTCGCAGGTGGCGCAAAAGTGGCTAGTCTCTTCATCCAAATCCGCTCCAGGATGCTCCCTTTTGGCCATTGGCTTAACTCGCATAACGTGTCTTTGCGATAACTTTCAATTATGGTCTCTGCCCGCTGATACACTTCCTCCGGCCAAGCTGCCACATCACTGGTGTCCAGTTCGAAGAGATCTGGTACCTGGCGATCCTTGCTGGCCAGAAACCGATTGTTGATCCATTTCAACTGCTTTTTGGAGTAACGCCGCGTAACAAGCTTCAGTTCCTCGCAGCAATTGCGCAGGAGATCCAAGCCTTCTGGCAGCCCATCTTCCTTCAGTTCTTCTTGACTGGGTAGCTTGTAATTATGGTTCCGTAGGTACTCTTCTATTTTTTCATCCTGCTGTTGGTCATATTTTAACAGATAGGGCACAAACTCCTTGTAACCAATAGTCTGCAGGACACCAGAGGTATACGCCTGAACAGTAGTGGCATGGTGCGCATTATGGAACTGGCGTAGCTCACGGATGAGTCCTTGAGCTAGCATTCCATCTACTCGAGAGTCTAAGCGGGCATTGAGAACCTCCTGTTGACAGCGCAGCCACAAGAGGATGATGTGGGGATAGCGGAGGGGTCCACCTAGGCGGTTTCCACCTGGTTGGGCTCGCTGGTCCTCTAACTTCTTGGTTAAAGTCTGCCCCGTGCCTTGATAAACTTCGATGGCCCGGATGATCTTACGCCGGTTATTGGGGTGGATGCGGTTGGCGCTACCCTTGTCGATCTTGGCCAGATGATGATGTAAGTCCTGGGTGGACATGGCATTCAATCTGACTGGCTAAGATGCTCCCCTAAAGGTTTGCCTTTAGCCTGCTTATCCTCCGAGTCCACCAGGACATCCCAGAGAAGGGATTCTATGTAGTAATTGGTTCCGCCCACCACAATTGGAGGAGTTGCGTTGGAGAGCAGGCGTTCCACGATGGGCAGAGCGGCATTGCGAAAGTGGGTGGCTGTAAAGGGTTCTGAAGGAGTGGCCACGTCCAGTAGGTGGTGACGTGCCCGGGACTGCTCCTCCTTGGTGGCCTTGGCGGTGGCAATGTCCAAGTGGGTGTAAACCTGCATGGAATCGGCGCTGATTATCTCGCCCCCGAAGCGTTCGGCCAATTCTAGGGAGAGCTTCGTCTTGCCGGTGCCCGTGGAGCCCAAAATCACAATTAGGGGCACCTTTCGAATCATCTTGGTCTGATTTGAGCCAATTGAAATCAATTAAGGTAAACAAAACCCACACGTTTTCGAACACGTGCGTTCCTCTGGGGACCAAACCACCTGTTGCCGCCAGCTGTTTTTATGTTTCTACAAATATTTTGCATTTTCTTAAACTCTCTTATAAATAAATAATATTCTTAGTTAATTAGCCTATTTTGTGTCTTAAATTGGTTGTTTTAACTTACAAATCGCAAAATAAACGTAAAAGTTTAAGGTGAAAAGTGTTACCACACAAGATTCTGCTGAAAACTGTTGAATTCGCGTTGCCAACTACTCTTGTGATAAGAGGTCCAGTGTTGCCCTCTTAAATTCATAAATGGCGGGAAATTTAATTGGTTCGGACTTTCTTTAATTTTATACGAACTTCAGAACGATTAAAATTAGGGATATCTAATTAACGGAAAACCGCAAATAAATATAAGGCATTTGAAAGTTAGCTTGGACACTATTGGAAGCTGCAACATAATCGGTAATCAGTTATATCTAAAATGAATATTCAATAAAGATTATCTTACTAAATTCGTGCAAAAAACATATGTTGATAATCTCTTAAATAAATTAAAATTAAATTAAATACATACTGTTTGGATATGGATGGATATGGATATCTTCCCCATGCGATATATCGCCGCAATGATTCCACAAAATTTCGCACATCCTTAGCCGCTCGTGCCATCTCCGATTACCCCGCCAAAGTGTGACCAAAGCACCGCACCAGGTCAATCCCGCACGGGCACCTAGTATCGTATATCTTTCGTGCATTCTTTTAATTTACCTGCAGTTCCGTTCCGAATAACAAAATTAGATCAATCAATTCGGTTTGAAATTGCCCCCTAGCTGGCACAGCGGAACACAGGGCACACAGAAAGCACAGATTGGCATTTCGTTTGTATATTAGCCGCACGGTGCGACTTTCACTTTTTACAATTCGCACAAGAAAAACAACAACGACAGCGACAGCAGCAGCAAAAACGACAACAACTACAAGAACAAGGGCAGCCAGCAGCAACAAAAAGAAGAGACGAAGACCCAGAGCGATGAGCGTGGAAAATACCAGAGCGGACAACATCAGGCCACAGAGTGCAGCGAGAATTGTTTAAAAATCGGTGGATTGCACGGCAAATGCAAAGCGAAATAACAATAACAAACCAGCACAACAGGGCCGCCTGTGTGTGTGTGCGTGAGTGGTAGAGAGTGGGTGTGTGTGTGTGTGCTTGTGTGCTCCAGCGAGAGTGCCAGTGTGTGTGTGAGTACATCGAGTACATTTTGGGGCATCAAAACTTTGTGTGTGTACGTGGTTTGGATTGGATTCGCTGCCGAATTGGGTCAGCTCTTAGAAATCCACCATGGAGAGCAGGACCCAGCTTAATCAGTCGAACCAACAGCAGCAGCAGCAGAGGAACGCCTGGCCTCCTCGCCCAGTCCACCGCTCAGCGTAAATCTCAGTGGAGGCCCTAATGCAAATACCACCTTGATGGGCCTAGAGCAGGATGCAGGAGCAGCATCGCAGCTGGGCAGGAATAACAACAATAGTGGAGGCGGTGGCCACCACCGCAGCCACAGCATCACCAATGCGGCAGCCACATCCTTTGTGAATCTCCTGGACGGATTTACGGCCCGCGTCTCCACAGCGGTGAGCGTGGCCGGTGGCACCAGCTCCAACATGCTGATGGACCGCAGCAGCCAGAGCGCCGCCAGCACCCCGGGATCAACCCACTCCATAGCCAGCCTGACCAGCATGGGCTCGCTAGGCACCACAGCCAATGCCCTGTACTCGTCCATAGGCAGTGCACTCAACTCGATCACCTCACCCATTCAAGCAGCTGCTGCGGCGGCCACGGCCACAACCACCGAGGTGGTGGTGGCAGCCGCCTCTGTGATCACAAACCACCTTAGCTCACCCACCAGCGGCACCCCGCCTCACGGCCTGGATGCGGACGAGGGCGACGATGAGTGCGACGATTGCGAGGAGGACGAGGACGATGCAGTGGATTACGACGGGCACTTTGCCGCGCCCACGCCCAATAAGAGTTGGGCCGAGAACAAGATGGTGGTGCAGGAGATGCGCAAAAAGATGTGCAACCTGTCCTCCATGGTGCCCACCAATGTGCAGTTCCGCCACCTGTCTGATGGTCGAGCCAGGTGCTACTTCCTGGGTACTCCACCACAGGGCTGGGAGACCACTCTGCTCTTTGCGGACATCAATCTGCTGCAGACGGAGGAGCAGCAGCTTTTGGTGCAGCGTCTGGAGGCGAGTGAATCGGTTGCTGGGAGTCCCACTTTGAGTGCCGGATCCCCCACCAGCAGCAGCCAGCAGACGGCCTTTCTCTTCAATTCCCTGCTCAGGCCTAGGTGAGTTTATATTTTAATGAAGTATAGTCCCAGAACTAAAGATATATTTTACAGACTCCCGTGGAGTCCATTGTTACAGCAGCCCATTCAAAGTAGTGGAGGCAGCGGCGGCAGTGGAACGGCCAGTCCCTATGCCCGGGAGTTCCAGCTATTGCAGGAGCGGAAACGCCTCTCCACCTGGGGCATCACCTGCTACGAATTGCACAAGCCCTCGGGAAAGCTAGTGTTTCCCTGCTTCAACGACCTGTACCAATGTCTGGACACAGGATACAATGTGAGTATTACTATTAAAATTAAATTTCAGAGAATGTGATTTTAGAATGCAATGTTAATGTAATACAATTGTTTATCGTTGGTTTCTCTATCGGCAGTCTGGACTGCTGTTTCCCACGCAGCTACGCACCTGCCCGCAATGGACGGCTCTGGATCCTCAAATTTGTCCGCAGAACTCCGACATGATAGCGTACATCAGTGACTGCGACCTGTTCGTCACCCACACGCTAAGCGGGCACGAAAAGCGTCTCACCTCCACGTCCAACGGGCGCCACTCATATGTGGACGATGCCCTGAGCGCCGGCGTGCCCTCTTACGTGATGCAGGAGGAGTTTAGTCGTTACCAGGGTTTCTGGTGGCAGCCACATTCCAATGACGGCATCTATCGCATTGTCTACGAGGAGGTGGATGAATCTGAGGTCTCAGTGTACACGTTTCCCTCGTCGACGGCCGTGCACGGCAGGGTGGATGAGTACCGCTTTCCACGCACCGGTAGCCCCAATGCCAAGTCAAAGCTCAAACTCGTCCAATTCGTACTGAACGAGGCACTGCAAGTCAGCGAAATTGCCATCAAGGATCTGCCGTACTCCCTGTTGGCCGTTTTCAGCTGGCTTGAGTATATTGTGCGTGTGGGCTGGACTCCGGATGCTAAATAGTGAGTATATTCTATGGGGACCCTATTTATTAACATATGATTTCTTTTCACTTACCAGCGTATGGGTGCAGGGACTTGATCGGAAGCAACAGCGTTTGGATGTAGTCCTAATACCGCTGGATAACTTCTGCGAGTCCTACAGCAGTCAGGTATCCACGCCTACCGACTCTATAGGCGACCACAGCTGGCGCAGCCTGTGTAGTCGCACAATCACACCACTGCAGGTTATATACACGGAACGTTCGGAGAGCTGGATCAATGTGCACGACATGCTTCACTTCCTGGAGCTGACGGAAACGAGCGTCACCTTCCTGTGGGCATCTGAAGAGACTGGTTTCCGGCATCTTTATTTGGTCACCGCCAGCCTGTTGTTGAACCAAGCAAATGGCCAGGCAGATGTTGGATCGGCTGCTGCCCAACCCAGTTTCGTGGAACAGTCGGCTCTGCAACCGCGCATCCTCAACAAGGTGGCTTTGACCAGTGGAGAGTGGGAGGTGCTGGCCAGAGTCTCTGGGTGGACAAGGCCAACAAGCTTGTGTACTTTGTCGGACTGCGGGATACGCCGCTGGAGAAACACCTCTACGTTGTCAGCCTGGAGCGGCCCGAGCACATCCGCCTTCTCACGGAACCAGGATACTCCTACCTCGTGGAGTTCGATGATGTACGTATAAAGGATTATTATGAATGCTATGAACAATTCTAAAAATCTAAGAAAATGTTATTGATATTGCCCAAATAAGTATGCTATATTATAAAGCAAATCTTGTTCTTAAGCTTTAAGACTAACAATTTAATCCTCTTTTCTTTTTTCCCACAGCAATGTCAGTTAATGCTGCTGGTTTATTGCAACATCCAGCGGCTGCCCAGTTGCAAGGTGATGCGCGTCAATCAGACATGCTCAAACGGCGGAGTCAACGGCATTCAGATATCACTGGTTGGCTATCTCAACGAAGGCGGAAAACCGGAGCCGCAGTACTGTCCACAAATTTTCCGGCCCCAGCTGCCGTCGGGAGATATCGTTTATGCCATGGTCTTCAAGCCGCACAATTTTGAGCTGCGTGTCAAGTATCCCACGGTGCTCAACGTTTACGGAGGACCCGAGGTGCAGACCGTGAACAACACATTTAAGGTAAGTTGACTAGCTATAATAATAGTTGCGTTTCATCTAACAGCTTCTTTGGACTTTAATTCTTAGGGAAAACATCAATTGCGGATGCACATGCTTGCCGCCCAGGGATACTGTGTCATCTGCATCGACTCGCGAGGATCCCGGCATCGGGGCAAGAGATTCGAGAGCCACATCCGCGGTAGGATGGGTCAGGTGGAGCTGACTGACCAGGTGGACGCTCTGCGCATCTTGGCCGACCAGCTGGGCTACATTGACATGGATCGCGTGGCTATTCATGGATGGTCTTACGGTAAGTTATACCAGCTAACATCCTATGATAATAGAGCTACAGAAATGGTCTTCGTTGATGGTAGATTTACAATTAGTAGATAGTAGAGGGAAGTATACTGCATATTCTCTAATCTAATCAACGCGCAAGTCATTCTGAACTGGCAACAAGATATATAGAATACTAAATCCTTATCTGTTAAGAACTTGAAATGTCTGGGTTTTAGTGATATTTCAGAAAGTTGCATTTAAATTTAAGTAATTTTCTTCCCACATTTTTTAATGTTATAATATAAATATGATTGTCATTCTTGCAGGTGGCTATCTGAGCCTAATGGGCTGGTTCAATATCCGAAAATCTTCAAAGTGGCCATTGCCGGGGCGCCGGTCACTAACTGGGAGTATTACGACACGGGTACACGGAGCGGTACATGGATCTGCCACAAAATAACGAGGCCGGTTACTCGGCCGGATCAGTGCTCGAATACGTAAACTCGTTTCCCGAAGAGTGAGTATAAGAGAGACATTTAAATTGTGACGTAATTAATTATTACCTTTTTATTCCGTCCAGGGACAAGCGCCTGCTGCTCATCCACGGTCTAATCGACGAAAACGTGCACTTCTGCCACACCTCCCGGCTGATCAGTGCCCTGAACAAGGCTAACAAGCCGTACGAGGTGCATCTGTTCCCCGAGGAGCGGCATTCGTTGCGTAATCTGGAATCGAATAAAAATTACGAAACGAAATTACTATCATTCTTGCAAAACTTATGAGATTCGTAAATGTCGACGGCCGAAACAAGATCGCTTGCAAGGCAACACAACTAGCCCCGACCCCCGCCCTCGCCCTTTTGAAATAGTTTTTTACATCATTGTCTTTGTTTTTATTTAACTTTTTGTTGTTCGAACACTTGTTTTTATTCGATAAAGAAAATGAGAGCAAAAGAAATTTGTATCATATTTTTAGTATACTTAATTTATAAAAACTCGCAGCTGTAAGTATAATGAAAAGTTGAATGAATGAACCTTTTCCGATCCCCGCTATGTGTCCCCCTATATTAGACTCTCCAGACCGAGCAGCTTACTGTAATTAATTTATACTTTTTGTTTTCTCCCACGCATCATACTCTTAATTATGCTGTAATTGTGTTTAATTTGCGCAAATGTACATTTCTCCTATCACTAATTTTAAGTTGTGATTTAGTGCGTCTGTACGAATATGTGTGATTGTCTGCGTAAGCGTTTCCCCCAGAAATGGAAAAAAAACAAAAATCACCTTAAACTTGTCATGCCTTTGGGGCAGGCCATCAATTACTGTTAGATCTACGCATGCATATAAAGATATATCTCTTCGATAAACCCATAGCAAGACCTATACATACTTGAATGAGTTTTAAGAAACCCACGTTTAGCTGAAGCAACAAAAAACTGAATAAAATCTAATATTAATTATGCCTATATATAATCATTAGTTTTACAACTGATACATGCAAACGTATATATATATATTTTGTTTAACAATTAAATAAACAGTTGTGTGTAAACGTGGTGTTCTATTTTTTCCGCAGCAATAAAAGAGGGCAGTACAAGTTCTAAAAAGTCTTTCGGTAATGATGATACTGGGTAAAGTCCATTACTTTCTTTCTGCACCTAAATATATTATTTGCGGGTCTGAAAACCTTTATTGTATCACTGAAATCTAGAAAAATTCTAAAATGTAATGACTGTAGATACAATTGGAGGATGTTTGTATACAATCAAGAATCAAGCAAGGCATATCAAATAGGTATTGTAAGATAAATATTTACGTCAAAATTCTAGAAACGGCTATTTCAAAAGACATTTTAAAATAAACCGCTCTCTGGTAGGCCACCCCCAATATTTTCGCATCCCCCAGAGCTGCATTTCGGTCGATTTCCGCTGCACAATCAAACGCCGCGCCACGGTCACACTGACTATCGCAAATGCATCTATCGCTGGGCATCTGGCGGTGTTTTTTCAATTTTTTCTCAGTGCTCAAAATCTCTCCGGCCGAGCGCCATAACTCCATAACTCCACAAAACTCCAGCCGGAATAGAATTGTGAGTTTGTGTGACTACGCTACGAATATCAGCAGTAGCCTACGAATCGAGTTGTATCCGCGCACATACCAACACAGCTAGGACGCCGCCAGCGAGGATCAGATAGACACCAAGTGGAGGAGGACTTGAGCCGCCGCACACTCGCGCGAACAAGAACAACAAACGGCGAGTGCGCTCACACACAAACAGGCATTTAGGCATTCAAAATGGCGCCCACAAAGGCAACAACGCGCGCGGCCATCGTCGGCGGGCATCATCAGATGCAGCAGCGGGCGGCAGGGCGGGGAATCCGCTCCTGGCCCTGGGCGCTGCCACCAGGAAGGGCCTGAACCGACGGGCCGCCGCCACGGGGAACATCGACCCCAATGCCGAAAACATGCAGACGCGCGCCAAACGCAAGGCCGATCACAGCCCCATCAAAAATGACAAAATCAAGCGCTCGGCGCTGGGTAACCTGACCAACAACGTTAAGATCATGACACTGCATCCGGGACAGGATGAGGAGCAGTCCGCTGTGGGCAAAAAGCCAACGGCCCAGCAGCTGCAGGCCCTGCTGGATGCTAAGAAACAGGATAATCTCGGTGTGAATGTCTTTGCCGCCAGCAAGATGGCAACGCGCGCCTCCAGCAAAGTGGACGATTCGGTAGAGAACTGTCACAAGGTGCTGGACAAGATTGAAGAGGCGCTGGCCAGGCCCAAGCCGCGTCCCAAGGCAGTGCCCGCCGGGAAGAAGACGGTTTTGGGTGAGGTTCAGTTACCCGCCATGCCAAATCCCATGCAGATTCCGGTGTTGCTGCCGCCCATGCACAATCTGGCCGCTCCCCAGATGGCCGCCATCAAGCCAGTGCGCCGGATCTCCAATGACTTTAACAAGACTGAGGACAGCCTGTACATGTCCGCCCTGGAGGACGTGTCCAGCTGTGATTCCATGCGACTGTCTGGTAATTTTGAGGCCGCGCGTCGTCGCTCCGCAAAGTTACAGCAAAAGACTGAACAGCAGCCGCAGCCGCTGTTGCTAACACTGCCAGAGACTGCTCCCAGCCAGGTGGTACCCATTCTGCCGGTGCCTGAGGATGTGGAAGACTTCGACCGCAAGAACTGGGACGATCCTTTCCAGGTCTCACACTACGCCATGGACATATTTAACTACCTAAAAGTGCGCGAACCTGAGTTCCCCATCGCCGACTACATGCCAAGGCAGATCCACCTTACCACCTGGATGCGCACCCTACTGGTCGACTGGATGGTGGAGGTGCAGGAGACGTTCGAGCTGAACCACGAGACTCTATACCTGGCGGTGAAAATCGTCGATCTGTACCTCTGCCGCGAGGTGATCAACAAGGAGAAGCTGCAGCTCCTGGGCGCCGCTGCCTTCTTCATTGCCTGCAAGTACGACGAACGGCAGCCGCCCCTAATCGAGGACTTCCTGTACATTTGCGATGGGGCCTACAACCACGACGAGCTGGTGCGGATGGAGCGGGAGACACTACGGGTCATAAACTACGATCTGGGCATCCCTCTGTCCTACCGCTTTCTGCGCCGCTACGCCCGATGCGCTAAGGTGCCCATGCCCACACTGACCCTGGCTCGTTACATCCTGGAGTTGTCGCTAATGGACTATGCCACCATTGCGTTCAGCGACTCGCAGATGGCCTCCGCCGCCTTGTTCATGGCTCTGCGCATGCATGGCGGTCCGGGACAGCTGGACAAGCAGACATGGAGCTCGACGCTCGTCTACTACACCGGATACCAGTTGGCGGATTTCGCTGAGATTGTGCCCGTGCTTAATGCAGGCCTACATCGCAAGCCACGGGCCACCATCAAGACGATACGGAATAAGTACTCGCACAAGATATTCCACGAGGTGGCCAAAGTGCCCCTGCTGACGAACCAGGAGCTCTTCCAGAGCAATCTCGACCTGAACGAAAGCAATCTGTCGTAGGACAGCATCAAAGTTTAGCCAAATTCACTACGAGCTGCAAAATGTTACGCTTCACTTAGGCTCTAAGACGCTGCAGTCCCCATAGCAACCCGGTCCCGGCTCAAATAGGATAAGACGAACAGCGGATCCCCGCCTTAATCGAAAACTCAGCCCCTGATCTTAGCCCCTAGCCCCTAGTCCCAAGTCCCTGGTCCCCACCATGTCCTCAAATTTTATTATATTTTAATTATTATTGTGACCTTTGCATTATTGACATGTTTTTGCATAAATATTGTGTTAAGAGTGCTTTTTGTTTCTTTTGCCATGTATTATTGTTTAGTTTTCACATACCGCATACGTACCCACATACTATCAATCTAAACAGGAAAAGCGAAATTATCTCTAACACCCACATCCTCAACATGTAGCCCGATCGCAAAACGATTCATGTTCTAATATATACGCTAGTTTTAAGAGATGCCAGCATTAAATAAACCTAACTCGTAAGCCACCAAAGCAGACATGGATCGCCAAGTAACTTATTCAACACAGATACACAAGCGCAAGGATATGAAACGACTAACAAAGGCACGTGTGTCCTGTACAACCTGGAAATGCGCCGCGATCAACCCTCGTACTGTGTGTGCCATGTGCATCTGTTCCTGAAGTCGTTATTAATGCTGTTATTTGTTAAGCCGTTCATGGACTCCCTCCTCATATCGCTGCCCCTCGGAGGACGCAAACCATCCAATTCCATCCCGCCCCTCCTCAACTCACTTCCTCTCTCCACCTCCATGAATGTTGATAACGTTGCATTGTTCCAGTAACTAGTTATGTATGTACTCAGTGTTATGTATGTATCGTTTTTGCCCAGAGAATACCAATAAACATTTTTACGTCCGTTCAAAAATAGTTACAATTTTTAATTTGAAAAGGGGTTGTGGACAAAATTTGGAGTGGTATATTTGAAGAGTTAATATGTATAATAAATCTGCATTATTAATTTGTACTTAACTTTTTATTCCACAGAAAATAATATGATATGCTGAAAGTTTCCATAAAATATTTAATCCATGTGTGAGTGTCAATATTTCGTCTACTCTTTGCCAGACTGTATTTATATTTTCTCTAATTCCTTTCTTTTTTTTAATTTTTATAGTTTTTACAAATAAACTAAAAATTCTACAAGTCTCTAAAATACATTAATAAGCGACTTATTCACACGTAAATTTAAAAAACATCTTTATTTTATAACTTATCTTGTATTGATTCCATATTAAACTTAGTTTTTTGCTTCATTCAACATAAAATATAGATACATATTTCCCCTAAATCGTTAATTACAGCGATGAGTCCATAAACCATTGGAGGTCAAAGGTTATGGGAAAAATCTTTAAAATCCAGACCAGTTTTGGAATGAGTATACCGAGTCCCCCCATCCCCGTCTATTGTTTTGATTCGTCTCAGCTGAAATTGTATTCTTTTTTACGCTCATCTACGAACAGCTGATAGCTGATGACCTAAGGACATCAAACCCTGTCTGGAATCTGTTCGATTTGCTACAGGTAAAACCAACCGATATCATCCGCCCAAATCATTCACAGTCCCGAGTGTGAGTGCGTTTGTCTGTATACTCCTGATTCGGGTTTGAGTTTCCTGCGGTTCCTTGCTTTTGGCGCGCTCTTCTGTCATTTTAGCGCCAAAAATTTGTTAAGGATTTGCGCGGCAGGCTGCGCATGCGCCGCAAGACATCAAGACGTCGTCCTTAGGATGGGTTTCCTTTTGCCGTTCAGGCAGCAAATCGACTGCACACCGAATCCCAGCCGATTTATGTCGCTGCAGTTGGCCCCGAAACCGAAAAGGTACCAATCGGTCTTCCTCTGCCTCTGATTTCCTACCACCTTTGGCTCGTCTAGAAGTCCTGGCCTTTGTGTGTTCCTTTTTTTCGGCTGCCTGCCAGTCAGCCAGGTAGCTCCTGTCCCCTTCAATTGTGTCCTCGCCGGAGAAAAGAATAGGAATAGGAACAAGAATAAGAATAGGAATAAGATGTGTATGCGTAAGGTTATCAGTCTGTATGGGAGCCGAATGCATGTGCTTTATTTTTTCCGGTCAGGTGCAACTGGTAACTGGCCAGCATTGCTAATTATCTTGGTTGGGTGTGCAGAAATCAAGTTTATTTCACAGGGCAAACACCCAAAGGATAGGCGGAGACAGCTGTCCCTGGCCAAAGAGGGAGCCGCCAACTTATGACTACGACTCGGATTACTTCACGCCTCACCACCACCACTCGGTCCACGCGTAATCCCGTCCAGCTTCAGTAGGCCGGCGAGTTGAAGGCGCCGTTGTAGCCACCCCCATAGCCACTGCCATAGCCGAAGGCATTGTGGTTGTTGAGCACTCCAAAGGGCCCCTTGTGGACTCCATCCTCCTTGTACTCGGTGTTCATGGAGAAGTGGTGATCCCAGTGGTTGCGATCGGCGGCGTTGTGATCCGGATAGCGATGGAAGTTTTGGCTGCTAGTGGCAGGACCGGAACCACCTACTCCGGGGACTCCTGCAACTCCTTGTACTCCAGGAACGCCCGGAACTCCAGCTACTCCTTGTACCCCAGGAACTCCTGGCTGGGCAACTGCACCAGGCACCACTCCATAGGCCGGAAACTGAGATGGTTGGGGATAGCCTGGGTACTGTTGCAAGTAACCCCTGGATAAGGATAGCCGGGATAGGCGCCAGATCCTGGAAAGTAGCCAGGAACTCCAGTGGGATACTGAACCGGAACTGCACCCGCGCAGGATAACCAGGAGCACCACCAGCTCCTAAAAAGCGGGAAAAGAACATACAGAGGCAATTTAATTTTAAAATATATTAAACTTAGAAAAGTTTAAAACATTATTCACCAATCTTTCCAACTTTGTTAAAATATCTGGAAGTTTCTGTAATCAATTTTGGGAGTTTACGTCCTTAATCAACGAAGATCAGTAAAATTAAATATTTTAATTGATTTATGTTGAAAATCTTACCCTGTACTTTGAAAACCACCTGAAGAAGACCCTCCTGCAGATGGATACGGAACTGGAGCCTGTTGGGCTGGAAATCCTGGAGGCGGGTATGCGGGAAACTGGTGACCTCCTGTAATTGTTAGTGTCGGATTGGGTGACTGTTTGCCGGGGAACACAATAGAGTTCGTACTGGCCACTCGGACGCCAGAGCCGCCCTGCTCATGGCCATGGGCATCATCAATGGATCCAGTGGCTCCTGCTCCCGCACCATAACCCCCTCCTAGCTGAGTTAGACCCGGATAGAGTGGCGAATTGAGATTGGCCCGCTGGCGGTGGCGACTGCTGGTAATGCCGCCCGTCAAAGTGGAGGCTAAGTTGAATTCCGTCCTTTGGTCCTCCTGACTTTCGTCCCGGCTAAACTCCGAGCCCTGAATGGAGGCGATCAAGATGAGGGCCAGGACGGCGTATGCGATTCCCCTCCTGCTGCCCATGGCGTCTGTAGGTATACTAAGCCTCAGAAGCTCTCGGCTCGTGTATTTGATGGTGAGATGGGATGCCATGAGAGCTTAGCTGAGTGTCTATTTTTGGGGTTATCATCAGGGGCTCATTGGCCAGATAGGTGGTTCCAGTCTCATTGAGTTATATTTTCCGTAAATTGAATGAGACAGCTACACTGGAAAAATATTGTGGCTGCTAACAGTTAATTTCAGCAAATAATGTCATCTATCATACATGATGTATGTATTAAATATAGAAGGAACTCCTAGTACATGCACTAGTCCACTATTAACAAATCCTTTATCAAATGTCGGAATTAATTAATAAAGCATTATAAATCGTATTCTTGTGAAAGGAAAAATAAAATTTTTCCGAGTGCTCGATTTAAGTTTGTGACTATCAAAAAAGTGCCAAGTAAAGGCGTAATGAGTTTGTGGGATTTCCCAAATAAATTTAAACCCATCCCAACATAGATGATAATTATGATCTTCTTTTTATAAAGAGAACGAAAGCTCTCTGAGACAACCTTGTTTACCAGTTCCATAGATTAGCCTTATATATACCTATAGTATTTGTTCCAAGGTTCTTCTACGTGATTCCATTCATCTTTCTTATCGCCATGTGCAGCTGGCTATAAAAGCTGGAAGGGAACTTGGACCACAAATCAAAATAAATCTAAATACTCCGAGATGCAGTTTTTGGCTGTGATTCTAGTGCTAATCCTGGCCAGTTTGGCCCACTGTCGACCCACATTCGATAAAATCGCGCACGCCTTTTTGGACGCGTTGGATGATCAGCCGACCTATTATTCACCAGGAAGGCCACTGCCAGGAGGAGGTTACCCACGTCCGTATCCTGGACCAGGTCCACTTATCCAAGAGGGCTACGAACAGGGCTACGACTATCATTATGGAGGAGGCCATGCCTATGGGGGCTACCAGCAGACACATCCAGCTGGCTATGGATACTATCCACCACCTCGTCCAGTGCATCCGCCCACCGCCTACTATCCACCTCCGCAGCCTGGCTCTTACTCCCAACCCACTGTTCCTTCCACTGCCTACTATCCCCACAAGTCACCAGATCCTTACGGAGGCGGTTACAAGCAGCGGGGTTACTAGCGTTCATCTGTCGAATCCCCCGTTTCCATCCAATTATCTGTTGTTTGTTTAAATTTATTTATTAAAATTTCGTGATTTTCAACAACGAGCTTTGAGAACCGGTTTTGGAGTGTTCACCAAAAACGATCGTGAGTGCGCAATTACAGAATGGTCTATGCATATATACAATAAGTGGGATCGGGGGAGTCCCTCGCCAGTATCATCTTCGTCTCACATCTATGGGTGCCGAAGGAACTTCCTCCTGACTGGGGGAACGGATATATTTACTGGAACTGGGAAATACGATGGCACGCTCTTCGGACGCCTCGATTGAATGATTTGGCGACGGCGACGGCTGAGGTACGGGCCAAGTTGGATATAGCGGTGATGGTGGATCCGGATTCTGGGGCGGCAACAGGGCGGTCGATTGGTGCCTATGATCAGGGTGTCCTTAGTTGGCTGCGTGGGTGGGCGTGGCTGGTAAGTGGGATGAGTTTCCGCTGGCCTGGGTGTCGTTGTTTGGACAGTGGGAGAAATTGGTTTTGGGGTAGTGGGTAGAATTGGTGGTGTGGGAGTGGTGTTAACCCCATCTTTATCATCGTTCCAATTTGTGTTGGGATCGTTGGGATCCGGCTGATTGGGAAAGCGTTGATTTTGTTCCATTCTGGCGGAGGTCCTCCATTCCATCCTGGTCTGCCCTCCCAGTCCGGTCTTGGAGGAGGTGGTGGTGGTGGTCCACCTCGTCATTCCAGTCAGGCCCTGGTGGGGGTGGTCCACCTCCGCCGTTCCAACCAGGCCTTGGTGGTGGTCCTCCGCCGTTCCAGCCAGGCCTTGGTGGTGGTGGTCCTCTGCCACCTCCACGGTTCCATCCTGGTCCTCCTCGTTCCATCCTGGTCCTGGTCCACCTCCTCCTCCATTCCAGCCTGGTCCGAAGCCTGATTGGTCCCAGCCTTGTTGATTCTGATTGTCGCTAGGCCCCCACTGCCAGCCTGGAGGCCAACCAGGAGGCGCTTGCTGTCGATTGGGTGGTCCAAATCCTGGCTTGGGCATACCCCCTCCCTCCGGTGTTACCCCTTCCAGGTCTCCCTTGCTGCAGTCTTTCAAATTGTTGCTGCTGGCCAAAGCCGTTGTTGTTTTGCATGGCAATGAGGAGTCCATTGACTACTCCGAATTCGGGCAGCTGCGCCACCACGGTTACACCGCCGGCAGAGGCAACTGCTCCTCTGGGAGAGGAAACTGCAAACTGGCCGAGGCACGAGCGGATCGAGATGAAATGAAGAGCCAAGCGAGGCAAGCCTGGACGGTAATCCGAGCTGGTGAAGATCGCGCCATGATCGAGCAGTGATCAACGCGAGAGGCGGATTCTAACTGTGGGGGGAATTTTTTCACTCCTCCTATGCGATAATCGTGATGCTTGAATGAGCATTGAAAACCTGTCCAGCGATCGGTGAGAGAATGATTAAGATGAGTAACCTTTGTTTGAGAGATCTGATGGGCTCTCTAACGGAGGTCTCAAAGCGATCATCACGATCATCCTCAAACGAAAGGTAAACAAAGACGTTTATTAGCCTAAACTCTCGGACCACAAATATAAATATGTACGACAGCTATGTCTGTACATTGTATAAAATATTAAATAAGACTTATGAAAAAAGCTTATTATATGCTGAATAATTCATAAAGAGTAAGAAAAAATGATCTTTCAAGTTTTCAATCATTCTGGTTAATGGTGCTTTTTTCTAGTCGTATAAAATTACATTCGAATTACTTTATTATGATAATTTGTTATTTGGATATTGTATATTATATAATGGAATATATATAATAGAATTTCAGCTGCTAAATTTGGGTTTAGATAAAAATAAAGTCGCAGCTTTTTGGAAGTTTATGTCTTTATGGGAATGGATGGGGGATGGGATGTCCGATGTTTACTGACCACTGACCGTCTGTTATTGCTCAGTCTTCCAGTGAGTGGCGCGTGCTCCGCATGCTGATCGTGCCAATCCGTCTGCTATAATAAATCCAGCATAATGCATTGAGTCGCCACTTGCCCGTTGTCCGAGCTAATCTTCCAGAGATCCCGACCGTTTTTATGGGAATACAAAAAAAACGTAAAAAAGAAACCATTCAAATGAGCTAGACCACAATGTGTCACCATGGCTGCCCAACTCCATTCCCCAGGGTATAAATAGAGGAGAACTGCGTAGAAATACGACCAGAACTAAAAGTAATTCCAAATAGAAGCAAGATGAGAGCCTGGAATTCCTATTTGACAATCATCATTTTGCTGATCACCTGCTGTCTGGATTGGACTGGTGCTCTATTCTTCAAATCCTGGAAGTCGGGAAAAGGATATGGTGCAGTTCAAAACTACGGAAATAATCAATATGGTCGAGTTCAAAACTATGGGTATAATGGCTATGGAAATTACGGCTATGGCTATGGAGGCTATGCTGGAGGATACGGCTATAACTATCCAAATTACCCTTCGTATTCGTCGTACTCTCACTCAAACGGCAGACGAAAGCCATCCGGAAACCGTCAAGGGCGTACCTATTCGCAAATTGCGAGAGTCATTAACCCCGCTCCCTATGTGGGTCCTGGAGGTAGTAAGTTCCTTCCACATACTAAGTTTTCGGCTCTCTGGGGTTGAGCCTTTTCTTATCTAAAATCCCATTGTCAGCAGTATTAAACATTAAATAAACTCAGCGAAAGTTACATCTATCAACAAGTGGTTTAATTATTTTAAGCTCTATCAATCCGCTACTTGTATACGTGTATATTAGTCTACGATCAAAAGATTTATGATCACTGGCCCGCATTTACGGAGCGAACGCGTGCAATGGATCGCTGCGACGTGATATACATAAATTGAAATGAAATGGAGGCGCGACACTACTTAAGGGAAATACACATATGGGGATTACTCCGATCTCCCGGTTATTGGGATAGTGGGGTAAGGTCCCTGACTGAGAACTTTTACCAAGTGACAACTTGGGGGATTTCTCGAATATTTAGCATTCGCAAAAGAATGTTATGATAACAAATTTAAACAAATTATGTATGTATCTAAAAGACATGAACAAACTTATACCTACAATTCAAATAAAAAGTTATTGACTTAGAAAATTTAAAAGGAACTATATAGTTATATATGATACAAAAATGTATTAAAATGGTGAATTACTTTTGTCATTCTGGGTAAGTACAAAAATATTTGTTATAATTTTGATAACGCATTCGATGCAATTTTATGTTGCTAGGTAAAATGATGCATCAAACAACTATTTCACAAAACCCATAAGCGAATCATTGACTAAATATCCCCCAATAAAAGTTTTCTTGGGAGATGTGTCAGTGAATCACTAAATCATTTCCATAAGTTTAATAGGGTAATGTTATTACTTAACCTTAAAATTCTTAAGAACTTCCGGAAGAGATACTTAATTTAAAACTTTTAATTGGCTTGGAAATTGCTTAACAGAAACAGTTACCAGAAATTTTCGGTTGATCTGATAATTACCCAAGGCATCATCTGACTGAACTCATCAGGGCTCACAAGTGTGGTATATATAGCCACTTTACGATCCTATAGAGGTACTTGCGCGTGATTCAGGCTAAGTGATTCAGTTGTTGATGCAGTTGGTCGCCTAGGACTTCCCCTTGTACACCGATTGCCATTGAGGAAGTGGAACCAAAACCAGATCGCAGCTAATATACAGGAAGGAAGACTTCGGCCTAAGTCAGAGACAACTGTTTGCACCGAACATGGCAATTGTTTATGCAAGAATTTGCTAATACATCGCCTCAGATGGCGCACCTACGTCATTACTTCAATCCGTCAGAGTCGCTAATTACAATTTAAATACGTACGAGTTCGAGCATTTATGATGAGAGGCTGTGCCAGGTCGTACTAATAGAGCCAAATCATTCACCACGCTATTAGAGTCAAGATCAGGTGCCATATGTACCTATAAGCTATATATGCCCACTCACGGCATAACGGGTTGCGGTGTGAATGACTTGGCGCGGGCACCGTGTCAGTAAATATTGAGAAAACAAAGTGATCATAAAAAACCATATCATACAAAGCGACGAGATCTACGTGAGCGGCAACGCAATTCTACTGGGGTTTTGGTCGGTGCCAAAACCTGATTGATAAGCCAGCGCCTGAGAACGGCAAGAACCGATCAGCCGCCGATATCCATATAAATATGAACAGGCTGGTCACCGGCAGTATTGCAGTTCAGTACTTGAAGCGGAGCACTTCTTTCCGAGTCATGTCAGTTCAAGGAATTATCCAAAGCCTCCTGGTGGCCCTGCTCCTTCTCCTGGTGTCGTATCCGGATCCCCGGCCAGGGGATATTACCAATCCCCAACGCGAGGCGGTCGCAGCTATACGGATATCGCCAGAGTGGTTAATCCCAATCAATACGCCTTCCCGGGATCCCGCACCTATCCGGGCCAACCCTTCTGGCCATCGGGATAGAAATAACTATATACTATGTTGTTTATGAATGTACAAGACTCGTCTCAGGATTAGCTAGACAATGAACTGTTACATATTGTACCGGAAGATATTCAATAGAATTAAGTTAAAGATAAGTACCAGAAACACTGCGCCAAAAACTATTCCAATGGAATAATATAATTAAATAAATGTTATAAAACAAAATCTTCAAAAGGTTATTTTCTTGTCAGAACTTTTCTTTCGGCCTTTAGTTATTATTTCCTGACACTACCCAATAATTAGGGCTGCCTTAATGGATGAAATTCATTAGCTAGTCACGCCCCACTTCCTGTTAGTTTTGTTTATAAAAGAAAAGTTGAAGTCGTGAATACCAACCAGTATTAAAAAAGCAGTGACTTGAAAAGGACTACAGAAAAAAATAAAACCTCTCTAAACATGGTTAAGCTGGATTCAACATCCAATGCAATTTGGTGGATCAAAAATCCCAAGGCAGCCAAAGAAAAAAGTCTAAAGGTCAGCGTAAAGCATCCTTGGGGTCAGCTTTTTGCCTGGATATGGCTGATCTTCTGAGGAATATATCTCTGCAGGGATACAATAACTGTTGTCGCCCGACTTAACTTTGGGACAAAGGTAAGACAGTTTGCTTTGAGATTACTCTGTTCACTTAAATTCAACTACTTTGGGTAAGATTGATTTGGCTGCTACTACACATGGCCACCACCATCTCCCTGGTGGTGGTGCTCTCACTCACCTGGGAACAGTTTGTGGCCCAATCCTTTGTGACCAATCTGAAGGATCCACTTTATCCAGTGGAAAAGGTTGCGTTTCCTGCTGTTTCCATTTGCCCCAACAATCGCATCTCCCGACAGGCGGTCATTAGATATGCTGAAGAGCTGTGAGTTATAAAGTTAGAATGTAAATACTAGATAATTGTATATTGTAAATGCAGGAGATTAAACAGTCCGGTGATTCGTCCATGGAATATTTTCTTGAGCGCTTAGCTTACTTTCGCGAGTTCTATACCCACGTCGGCGCAACCGTGGACACCGAAGACTTTGTCACCTTTCAGACCTTCCTTGATGTCTTTGGAACCTGGAACAACGAAACTTTCTTCGACACCCGCCGCATAATGAAAATGGTATACAAACTACAGAATGTATAGTGCAATCAAGGAATATATAGCTTTTAGTTCCTTAGTTATCCCCTAAATGCGAAGAATTCGTGCTGAAATGCAGCTTAGCCAATGTAGATATCCCCTGCTTCAGCAGGGACGCCTTTCAGGAGAGCCTCACCATGTACGGCCCGTGCTGTACTTTCAATTTGGAGAATAGGTAAGTGAAACTTCGACAAATGATTAAGACTAACCATATTCATCTCCAGATTAAAGAAACGCCATTTTAAGGATCGCTTGGCCAGGCCGGAAATGGGTCTCAAGGTAGTGCTGAATGACAGCCACTCGGACTACTTTGCCACCGTGCTGAATACAAATGGATATATTGTGCTGATTCACAGTGCTGAGAATTATGCCTCGGTTAGCTCCTCGAATGTCATAGAGATATTTCCCGGACAAGGAGAGGATAGTTCAATATCGGTCTATGCTCGAGTGGTGGACACAGATGATAGCTTGAAGTCTTTCTCCCCTTATGGTGTAGGTTTTTTACTTGTAACATTTTATAAACATGGAGATTTTAAGAGAGATCTTAACCACATAAAACATTTATCTTAAAGCGACGGTGTTTTTTCGACAACGAGGTTGAGTATCCTATCAATGAACAGGTAATCAGGACAGTCACCTATGCATACAGCTTTCCGAACTGCATCACCAGGTGCCGAATCCGTAGTGTCATCGCCCTGTGTCGGTGCTTGCCCTTCCAAATGCCGCTCCAGTTGGTGGAGAACCTCGATGGCGTCGTCTACTGCACCCTGGGTCATGTCTCTTGTCTCAAACAGTACCAGTGTAAGCAATTGATTTGATCTCTCAAAATGTTCCGCTTCTAAATGGGTTTACTTCCAGTCAAATGGCGTAATGTCCTGACAGAGAGGCAACTGATTCTAGGCTTGGAACGAGAAATCGAGGAGGCTTTATATTGTCCACAGTGTCTGCCTGCCTGCAGCGATGTTCTGTACGGAGTTTCAATGAGTGCTCTGCCCATAGACAACTATCTGGCCACCCTGAAGATGGATGAGAACAACCAGACGGAGTTCAGCACAGATATCTCCGTTCTCAGGGTTTTCTTTGCCGATGCACATGCCCAGTATTATATCCGGCTACTGAACAATGCCTGGTTCGAGGTGTTCAGTAAGTTTGGGCTTTATCACTGCCTAGATCTTGGTGTATAATACTTCCAATTTGCAGGTACCATTGGCAACATAATGTCCATCTTTGTAGGATTCTCTATGGTGGCCATTTTTGAGGTTCTCTTTTTTCTGACCAAGTACATCTATGAAGGCTGCAATCGTATGGTGGAGCAGAATATAGTCGACCGGAAGGCAAAGCAGTTGGAAACCAACAAGTTGTACATATGTCCATAAGGAGTCATCAATGCCGGTATCTCAGCACCTGGAAAATAATAGTCAAAAATTAGATTTAGTTTGTTCTGTTTTTTGTTGTAAATCTGTAAATGTTGTATACATGTTTCTTGTGGTTAGAAGTTTTGCCTTAACCAACCCGGGGACCAGGAGCCACTTTGGTTTAATTATGACAAAAATGGAAGAGATTGGAACGTAAAAGGTGGCAAAAGACAATCGCCAATTTCTCTGTGGTCGTGTAATGTAAGCAACTCTTCTTATTTCCTGGCCACCGATAATAAAAGCTACCTCCAAAGAGTATTACTTGTAATGTCCCCAAACTGAAGTTAGTAAATTACAATAAAATCCTGAGTGATGAGTTGTCTGTGATCAACAATGGTCTTACTGTCCTCATGAGGATTCCAAAGACTGTGGAGGGAAAGCAGCCATCTCTCTGTATCAGCAGTCAGATTGGACATGTCTTTGAAGCCCAGCAGCTACACTTTCATTGGGGCTCTGAACTGAGTACAGGATCTGAACACAACTTAGATGGTTGTTTTTATGACGGAGAGGTGCACATAGTTCATAAGAATTGCAATTACAAAACCAACCAGGAAGCTGCTCTTCATTGTAATGGATTTGCGATTTTGGCTTTGCTTATAAGCCATCTAGAGGTAGGGAATCTATTAGTAAGGTATACCATATTTTCTTATTTCCAACAAAGAATCCAGAACTACAAACACCTGCCATGAATGAGATCTGCAAGCAAGTCTCTAAGATATCCAAAGTTGATGATGACTATCCTCTTGAGGAATATATGGCTTTGGAAGATCTGTTTGTTAGCATAGACACCCACAAATACTTTGCCTATCAAGGTTGGTACGGCAATCTTGTGGATCTGCTTTTAATGTATCCACATAGGTTCCCTTACCACTCCGCCCTGCGCTGAAGCAGCTATCTGGTTTGTTTTTCAGACACCTCTCAAAGTGCCCAAGGAACATGTAAGTAGATCAGAGGAGATATATGTCCACTTAGTACAAAGTACAAAAAATATTAAATTACCAAATAATTACAAAAGCATGCATTCCTGATTTATATATTATAAAGTAGACCTTAAGAGACCCTTAAATATATTTTCCTAATCCTCAACCAGTGGAAAAACTTTTGGCGACTGAGGGATTCTCGTGGTCAGCGTGTCCTCAACACATATCGGGACTTACAAGATGACCATAACCGACTTGTTTATCGAAGTAGAGGCAAAATAGTAAGTCTTCCACATAAAAAGTAGTTTCAAATTTAAAAATCTTAAGTTGTATATAATTGTTTAAAGTGCATTTGTTGTTTAATGCAAAAGCTTACCCAAAGTGCTTGGATAGAAGCTTTTCGTCGGTCGACAGCTGATGGCGCCATCAACCCCCATCAACATCCGGAATTGCATTTTCTATCTGCGTAGCAAGTTCAACTGGTGTCGAACGGATGTAATTCACCTAATTTGGAATATACCATGAAGCGTTTAACCGAGCGAGTGCACCACGAGGAGATCGAGTCCGAGGAGGTGGTCTGGGTGAAGCGGGAGGACGCCCGCTCCGCCAGCAAGCTGCCCATCGTCTTCTCCCGGCAGTATGCGGTGCGCTTTGCTGGCCTTGAACGCCTACATCCATTCGACGCGGCCAAGGGCAAGCACATACAGAAGGTCCGTCTCCATAAGCACTCCTCTACTTCTCGGTAACAGAGTATCCGCTATTTCATCACAGATCCTGTGCGCCGAACTGCAGCTTGATGGCGGCAGCTTCTACGAGCCCAAGGAGCTGAGCAAGGACCAGCTGCGACGCATCCACACCAGGGATTACCTCAAATCACTGCAGTGGAGTATGAATGTGGCCTGCATCGCAGAGGTGCCGGTGATGGCCTTTGTTCCGAATCGCTACATTCAGCGATCCTATTTGCGTCCCATGCGCTTCCAGCAGCCGGCTCCATTCTGGCCGGCAAACTGGCCTTGGATTACGGTTGGGCCATCAACCTGGGTGGTGGATTCCATCACTGCTGCTCCTACAGGGGCGGCGGCTTTTGTCCTATGCGGACATCTCTTTGCTCATCGTCCGGCTGTTTGAGCAGGAACCTTACCGGGTGCGCCGCATCATGATTGTGGATCTGGACGCCCATCAGGGCAACGGACATGAGCGCGACTTCAACAACGTGGCAGCCGTCTACATTCTGGACATGTACAACGCCTTTGTCTATCCGCGCGATCATGTGGCCAAGGAGAGTATCCGCTGTGCCGTGGAGCTGAGAAACCACACCGAGGATGCTTTCTATCTGAGGCAATTGAAACGCTGTCTGATGCAATCCTTGGCCGAGTTCCGTCCGGACGTGGTGATCTACAATGCAGGCACCGATGTGCTCCGGGGGGATCCACTGGGCAATTTGGCCATCTCGGAGGAGGGCGTGATGGAGCGGGATAGGTTGGTGTTCAGCACATTCCGACGTTGGCATTCCGGTGGTAATGTTGCTGAGTGGGGGCTATTCGAAAGCATCCGCAGGGGTCATTGCAAGTTCCATTGTTAATCTCCGGCAACAGGGATTGCTAAATTAAAGGAATTAAATTATTTTAGTATTTATATTACCAAAGTAGTGCCGTACAAACTAGTTTTGGATAAGTACATTGTCAATTTCTTCCGCACTTTGCGCATTTCCTTAGCTTTTTAGAGTATTATAAAGACACTACTCCTTTACACTAGTACAAGTGTACTGCTTTGGTAGCCATTAAGAGAAAAAAAACTATTCGTAAATCCCTTTCCGGTTGGCTTGCCTCAATCGTTGGGATCTTGCTGAAGGATTTGTATAACCGAGAGCTGTGAATGAAAATGCATAACCTGATTGATTACAGTATTACCTGAAAAATTCTAATAATAAGTCATTGGTTTACACCTTATCAAAATTTATTAAACATATATAATTTAAAGTCGTTATAATAATTATTTGTCTTCTATGAAGTGACGATTTCAGATCATTAAGTTCAGTATCGCAATAGATGCAGAAGGTATAAATATTTCCAGTGTTGTATGATTTATAGCAGTTTCTTGTCAATATTTGTACAGACGTCTCTTCCTTGGCATTCTCAGAGGTTCAATTTAGTTTATCTCTATGTACAATGCAAAACAGGCCGGACAAGTAGAAAGAATTTCATACGTAGTATAGGTTTTGTCGCAATTGGTTAAATGTCTATATATGATACAACATAGTCGCTAGAGGCTAATTTTCTTGTTTAAAATACAAAAATACATATAAATAAAGGTTTGCTTAATGGTTTAAATAAGACGAGTTAGAATATCATTTTAGTGTCTTTGTTAAGTCTGTCTTTATGTTTTATTCAGCTGCCAACTAGCTCCGGCATGGCCTCAGTTTTCTTGCAGATTTCCCCGGCTAACAGGCCGTCGGTCGCGGCAACCTAAAAGGGCACGCATAAATCAGAGACTTCAATCGATCGGTATACGACTAACTACTTTGAAAACTGTGAACGACTATGCATGCAGAAATCTGTGGAATGAGCAGCTGAACGCGATGATGTCGTCGCTGTGGCAGTTGTGACATCAACCAAATAATCTAGAAACAATAAATCTCAAATAAATATTACACAAAAACAAATGATAAAACTAGGTTCTAAAGATGACATGGGTGGTAGCTCCCCCAGAAATTGATGAGCAAATTGGCGATGAATAAGTAGGGGCATCTGATGTGACTTACGCGGCATTGCTAGCCGGCAAATCCTCGAAGAGGACTTCCGATCGAGAGCTAATTATATACACCAGGCAGAAGGAGATGATCAGCACCACTATGCCAACGCTGAGAGTTGTGACCTGGTGCACATTGGACGGACGCAGAAAGATGCGTGCACTGAACTGTGACCAGGTGGATTCAGTCCAAGTGAGTACTTGCCGGAACTCCAATCGTAGCCTAAAAAATGTTTCATTTAATGTTATGCAAGATTAAAAAGGCATCAAAACTCACCATCAATAAGAAAAGCTGGACTCAGGGCGTGGCTGTAGTTCTGCGTAGTAAGACGACACTCTCCGATGTTGTTAAAGCCGGCGAAATAGTGCAGCGGCAAGTCGGTGCAGTTAACTTGGGGAATGTCTGGCTTTGGCTGCGACAGTAGGTAGCCCAGCAGTCTGTATGTATAGCCGGATGACTCCTGAGATCCGCCCAAGACACTTATATAGCTAGTAAAAGAAATAGAAATATCAATTAAATCCATAGTAAGCCAAGATAACAAAATATATATTTACCGCATGGGGGGCAGGTTTGTTAACTGACTGCCCGGATAGGATGCCGCCTTGAAAAGTGGACAGTCTGCCGATTGCAGGAAGCAGTAAAGGAACTCATCCGCCAGAACGGGATTGGCCACCTTGGTGCCCGTGTACTCCTTTCCAGTAAGGGTCTGATAGAGCGCCAAGGCCAAAATAGAGGAAACGTTGCGCACTTTCATTTGCAGTGAGTCTGCCTTCAAGGTCTTAAATTCGTTTACTTCCGCCAGCTGGGTGAAGTCCTTGCTGGTGTTCGCGTAGGTAAAATCCACATTAACCACATCATCGTAGATTGAGTGGTAGTATTTGTTGGTCGGCCGTGCGTTCAGAATCAGAGCCGGGAACTTTGGATCACGTCGCAAAAAGGATTGCGCCGATGTTGGCGGTAAGTGGGCACTCATTTCAGACTGAATGTTGAGGTTAAAACCATAGCGTGGCGACTTGGCATAATTGTTCAGTTGCTCTAGAATTTTTTGAGCCAACGGTGTACCAGTCAGCGCATGCAGCTTAATGTTTGTTATGTCGTCCAGTGTGCCAATGTCCAGCATAAACTCAATATTGTCAAATGCAATGGGCGGGCTGCCTGTAGACTCAGAAGGAAAGTTCAGGCTCTCCATATCGTAAACAAATCTCTGCGAGCCAATGTAGTCGTACGATTCGCCATTAAAAGTGACAAAGAGGACATTTCGCAAGGAATCGGGCAGCGCGCTTTGAGGAGGCAGTAGTTGTCGTAAAAGATACGCCACCTGGGTAAACACAGCAAAGCCCATCAGGGAGTCCATGGCTCCTAGACCTGAAAATTAAAGAAACCATGATATAATACAAAACAATTTTGCACATCTTTTATAAATCACACTTACCGACACCATCAAACATGGTCGCAGTGTCCAGGCGACAGGAAACTAGTATGAACTTTTCATTCGTATGAACTATCTCCGTTTTGTTCTCAGCTGTTGGTTTCCTGGGGTACAAAGTGGCGTACACATTGCGTCCCTCGAGCGGATCGCAGTACTTGCTGCCCCCCAGGTTGTTGATAAAATTGGTGCGCCGCATACAGACCTCGGTGTTGACTGCGGCCGACATAAAGGACTTGACCTCGACGGCACACAGACTGCGCAGGGCGTGCGTCTCGTAGTTGTAATTGTTAAAGTCCTCAAAGCACTTCTCCAGCTTTTCGACCTGATCTAGATCAGCTATGTAGTAGATGGGGAATGGAAAGTCCTCGTGCAGCAGGCCAGTGCCCCAGGGATTCCAGTTCTTGGCCGGATTGCTGGCATCGCAGGTCTCGCTGCTGCTGTTCAGGCCGCTAAACTGATTAGGACAGTTGAGCTCGTGCGAGAACTGCTTCATCTGGTTCGTTCTGTTGATCAGCAGCACCACGGAAATGTTATTTGGACCGGCCTCCTTCAGGCGCATAAGGTTGCTGCGTGTGAACAGGTGAGGTGGTATCAAGGGGGCGTATGGAGGCGATGGTGGACTGGTCAGTAGGAATTCCAGGTCGGCCTCAACGTTTATCAGATGGAGTACGCCCACGGAACCGGAATAGGTGGCTATTGGGAAGTGGATTAGAAATTGGTTTGTCCAGGATATCCTCTACTTGACTTACAGGAACACCCAGTCTGGTGTGTGCCATTCAGCCGGCGAAAGCAACTGGCTCCTCCTATGGGCTCGTAAATCTTATCTCGCGTTCTTTCGCCCTGAGCTGTGGACAAAGAAAGTGCGAGTTAGATGACTCAGGTTTATGGTCTTTCTAGGAGAGTGGGCGTGCGAGTTCCCTTCAAACGCAGTACCCGCCGGACGCCCGACAGGGTACTTGTTGGAATACTTACCAGTGGTAGCCCCATACAACAGTATCAGCAGCCATATTGTAGCCGCATTCAGACGCTTTTCCATCGAAGAAACCCACGAAATCGCGTCCAGAAGAATAGTGATGTGTAAATGTAAACTAGAGATGGTCAAATACTCGCGATGGTAAATATTCTATAAACGGTCACGCTGAAACAGTGCTGACAATAACTTCTCAACTCAACCGAAAATAACTGCGACGGGAAAATAGCTGAGCTAACAACACTGCTGAGGGAGGGTGTACTCGCTAGAATTAGCAATTTTTTTGCCCGCTGAAATTTAATTTTTTACAACTATTTGGAAAACGGGTCACTTCTGAATTCTTTTGGGCCATTTATAGTTGACTTACCTAATTTAAGAGTAAATCTAAACTAAACTAGCTAAAGATTAATCAAACAAAATACACTCAGTTTTTCTCAGCATACTTATTATTAACCTAAACATGGTGATTGCTATAAAACATGTAAAAACTTAGCACCTAGAAATCTAAAAGAGCGTGTCCTCCGCGCGAATGTACTCTCCGATGTCCGACTGATGGAAGCAGACGGTGGTCATGGGATCGGCGGTCTTGCAGTCCGTTGTGGAACGGGCCAGGACTCCGAATCCCAGGGGCAGATCGTTCATGGAGTAGACCACAACACCTTGGTACTGACCGGCGTTCTCTGTGATGCGACCGAGTCCGGTTTTGGGGATGTGATTGCCGTAGAGGAACTGCTGCTCGAAGGAGGGCTTCACCCACACTTTGTACTGGGCGTAGGGCGCCAGGTAGTAGAGCGCAGTGATGTGGAACTTCAGTTTGTTGGTCTTGGAGAACTTGCCGAAGCAGGTGCCCACGCAGACCAGCTGTTTGTAGCCGAAGCACTCGCTCAGCTTCAGGATCCTCTCGGACACGTAGTAAACCCGGTCGCGGTGCTCCCGAAAGCAATATGTTCCATCCGGGCGGTCGATCAACTGCTTCACGTTGGTGCCAATGCTGGAAATAAACTTGTTAGCTCATTATCCTCTATATTTTGTTTACTCACTATTTGGACAGGTGCTCAATAAGATCTTTGCACGTTCGTCAGTCAGGCGCTTCATTTTAAGTTAATTAAAGCCGAAATTAGAAGGAAAACAAAACGTTGAGTTCTTACACGTGAGTATTGGCTAGTGTTGAGAAAGACATAAGGTGCGACACCTTGCAACACTAAACAATCGATAGATTTTATCGATAGTTCGAAAGTGTTGCTTAGCGCCATTATCAAGTGTTGTAAAATGTGTGACTATTCAAATTTAAATTTACAAATTCACCCTTTGTTAAAACCATTGTTACGACATCATTTAATTTGTTAACTTATAGCTCTCACTATAAAAATATGCCCTAAATTTACCTTGCTTATCACCGAATAAATTAAACTCATGTTTTTTTGGATTCGTTATTATTCATTAATTAAAAAGTACACTTATTTGGTCGGCTTACAAGTACTAATAGTGTTTGTGCATCGTCTAATACTACACATTTGTTCACGTTCTATTTACACATAAATAACTAAAGCAAACACTTAGTCTAAGCTATTTGTATCACGTGTTGAGGTGGCGATGGAGCTCAAGCCGTCTCCAGGCGTTTCTGTACATAGTGCCGCTCCTTCAGCAGCTCGTCCAGCTGCTGCTCCTGGTAGTAGACCACGAACTGAGCCGCCGACACCTGCTCGAAAATGAAGCAGATGCTCGGCTTGAGGTTGTAGAAGAAGAGCAGCTGTCCCCGCTGGTTAAAATCGCTGATCAGCGAGTCTATAACCGTGGCCGTTGTGAAATCAGCCCCGTAGACATGCGAGGCATCTATGACCACCGGAACATTTTGTCTGATGGACTGCTTGTTCACCAGATTCCTCACATAATCCACAGAGGGGAAAATCAAGCACCGATCGGGCGTGATCATGGAGTACTCCACACCCGACTGCGTGGTCAGGAGCTCGGTTGTCAGCTTGGGACGCGCTGCGTGGTAGAGAATGAAGATGACATTGAGTCCACTCCAATGAGGATGCCCCACTCCAGAGGCAACACGAGACAGGCCACAAAGGTTCCAACTCCAGGCACCAGATCACTTTCTGCAAGGTTTAAAGGTTCGATTTAAATATAAACCTTACTTTCTCTGATCTATTAAATTACTTTTCGATCTCCACATGGGCTTGACCACCTTAACTTCGATCATGAACACCACTGCAGCTATAATGATGGCTGCCAGGGTGGGGCGTGGAATGAAGTAGAAGTAGGGAGTAAGGAAAGCAGGGCAATCATCACCAGGCCACCGGAGTAAATGTTGCTCAGAGGAGTCCGTACACCACTGGCGTTGTTGACTGCTCCCCTACTCAAGGCTCCAGTTCCTGGGAATGCCTGGACAAAGGAGTTTAAGATATTGGCCGTTCCAATGGCAATCAGCTCCTGCGAGGCATCCACGGGCTTGCCATTTGCTGAAATATGATACATTAGCAAAGGAAAGGGAAAAAATTAGTATAAAACAAGGAAGAACGCTATAGTCGAGTACCTCGACTATCAGATACCCGTTACTCAAAGGGAAATGGAGATATGCAAGCAGCAAAGCGAGATTAAAATGCGCCACCTACCGGCGGTAGACAGATTTAAGCGTTATGGGCGTTAGAGTGGGCGTGGCAAATTTATTTTTGGATCAATCGGTAGATATTGACGACTCCAATACATTTCAGTTAAAATTTTTTATCTAGCATGCAAATTGTGGGCGTCACAGGTTTTCGCGGTTTGTGGGCGTTTAAGTGGGCGTGGCAAACTTTTTTTTAGGTCAATCGATAGAATTGATGAGAACAATACATTTCAGTTAAAATTTTCTATCTAGCATCAAAACTGTAGGAGTTACAGTTTTGGGCGGTTTGTGGGCGTTAGAGTGGGCGTGGCGGTCTACTGAAACAAACTTGCGCTGCGTAAGAAGCTCAGGAATCTGCACGCCAAATCTCAATAGCCTAGCTCTCATAGTTTCCGAGATCTCAGCGTTCATCCGGACAGACAGACGGACAGACGGACAGACGGACAGACGGACATGGATAGATCGACTCGGCTAGTGATCCTGATCAAGAATATATATACTTTATGGGTCGGAAACGCTTCCTTCTGCTGTAACATACTTTCCGACGAATCTAGTATACCCTTTTACTCTACGAGTAACGGGTATAATTACTCACCAAAGGCCTTGCAGATGGCTATGTTTTCCATGAGCGAGATCAGGGGAATCACCACCAGGCCGGAGCCCATGCTGTGCACCATCTCTACGAATCCCAGGGCCACTCCATTGCTGGTTTCGTTAGCGCTCAGAGAGGTGGGCGGCAACTGGAGGTTGGGCAGTCCAGGTGGGATGTCTCCCACCACCCGGAACGGAGCTCCATGCTCCTCGCTGTGCAGCAGATAGCCCATGAAACAGCAAACCACCACCAGGATGGCGTTCCGAGCGGTGCCCACAATCCAAATGATCTTGTTCACGGCCCGCTGAAGAGATGAGCACTCCGCATCGTCTGCCGGTCCGATTCGGCAGGAGGAGAGACTGCGCATGAGCAGCAGGACCACAATGCAGGTGAGTCCCAGTAGCGTGTCTCCTGCCCGCGTGTGCTCAATGTTGTGGAAGACCTGCGTCCAGATCTCCACGAAGGTGTTGCCCTTGGCCGTGATCCCTAGCACACTTTGGATCTGCGAGGTGAGGATGATCAGCGAGACGGCGGAGGTGAAACCCGACGAAACTGGGCCAGAGACAAAGTCAATGAGGAAACCCAGTCCGAAGAGGCCCATCAATAGCTCTACGATTCCACTGAGCAGGCACAGCAGCACCGACTTCTGCCACGATCCCTGGGCCGCCTGGTAGGTGAGCAGGGCCACAATTGCCGAAGGACCCATGGGTACATCCTTGCAGCTGCCCAGGAAAATGTACACGAAGCAGCCCACAAAGGAGGCATATAACCCATACTGAAATAAGGAAAGGAAAATTATTCATTAATTGTAGAGCTCTTAGACACAAACAAAAATCTCTAGTTCTAAATTTGAGAAAGAATTTTTCTTAAAATAAAGACGATAATACTCTCGATGAAAATAGTCTTGATTTAGTTTCTTTGTCACGAAAGTATTCTTGCAAATTGAGAAAGCCTTATCTCGATTTTGGGGATTGGACACTTTTGAATAAATTTAAATGAATATGTTCCATTAAATCTGTGGTGTATGTTAAACTTACGGCTACTGGTAGTCCGGCTATTCCCGCGTAGGCCAGCGCCTGTGGGATGACCGTGAGACCCACGGTGATTCCGGCCACCAGGTCGCCCACTGCATCCTGGCTGTTGTATTTTGGCAGCCAGTTGAGGATCGGGAGTCTTTTGTTCAGGGTTTTCCGATTGAAGGTGCGTCGCTGACAGTCCTGCAGCCAACTGCGAGTGCAGTCCAGTGTGCTCAGTGGGGGCTTAACCTTCTTGCCGTCCTCGGTCACTAAAAAGGTCAAAAAAGAAAAATAAAAAAGCTGTCAGATGTGGCGGAAATCAAAATAGAGTTAATGAAATGGCTAAAATGCCTACGATAACAGTACAGATTCATAAGCACGTACTACAGATAAACTTTTGCTAGTTCCCACCCTTCCATATAATTTCAGTTTTGCTTTCAGTTATTTTAATTGCTTTAGTTTTCGATTCTGATCTACGTGAATTTCATTGCCAAGGCCCAAGCAAAAGCTTAGCCACTGAGAAAACGTTGCAAACAATTGCATTTATCACCGAGTGGAGAGCACGAGGCGTATACTTGATGCCCCGTTTTTTGCTTGCCAGAAAAATTCGCTGAATTCCAGTATTTCAATTGCAGCTAACAGGGAACTAATTATGAAATCATATTGTGATTTGTGGCGTTAAGTTTTTCTAAATTAAGTAGCTTGGGTAACAGCAGTTAAAAAGATTTTAAACCTTATATTAATTGCCTCTCGTGCTTCAGACAAATCATTGCCATAGAATCATTACTTTAATTTGAGCTTATAATTTATAATTCTCCAGCTAATAGTCAATAAATTGTTAAAGCTATTTAAGTCACTTAAATAATCTACGGTTACTTTAAAAAAAATAATAAATCAATTTACTTGCTATTCCATAAATTGTTCAACATTTGCATTGACTGGCTATGGTTTGCTAATCTAGTTTTAGGGTTACAAACAAACTTTTCAAAATATATCATATATATACTTAATATGCGGACTCTACTATTTTAAGTGTGCCATGTGATTTAAGTTACTTATATTTTTTTTACAGTAAAAAATGTAACCTATCTTAGCTTTTCTTTCTAATAAGCCTTACAATCTTACAAACAGATGTAATAAGTACTCGTTTTCTCTCTGATTTACTTTAAAAGATATAACGATCACCTCAGATGTCACTAAAGTATTTGGTAGTATAGACTTACGGATGAACTCCTTGGATCCTTGGGATCCCACGCTGTTGCTACTCCCATTGGGTTCCGTGAGGTTGGTGCTGATGCTGATCGTTGAGCACTTGAATCCGTCGTTGAAGTAAACGTGATCCGAGGCCGGATTCGTCTTCATCTTTGGTGGGGGGTGTCGACAGTAACCGCAACAAATCAGAACAAACACTGCGTACGGAGTACAAGTTAGTTGGGGTCCCCGAAAAGTTACAATAGCCGGCGGATGACACCAGGTGACACTAGATCTAATATTTGACACTCATAGATGGCTGCATCTATGTACATATATTATACGGATGTGCCAAGTCGGTTATTTAGAGAGATATATGAAAGATGCTCGTTGTTCGAACGCTCAGTTCTGGTTGCTTGGCTCTTCACACGGCAGCGTTTCGAACGAAACTGTTTTGTACTTGATGCGAACCTTGTCTTTTATAAAAATCAAAACTTTGTTGTCGTCTCGCTGTTATTGTTCTCGTCGTCTTCGTCGTTTTTGTTAACTATTTTCGAGTCGGGTTTTAGTTTCGGGTCTCAATCTGGCTTGTTATTATTTTTTTTGGGAACCGGGATGATCGGCATTGTGTGGGTTGTGAAACTGATAATCTGACGAGGGAAAATGGAGAAAAACTCGGGGGTCTAATCGAAAAAAAATGAGGTTCCCATAGCGTGAGCACTTACTGCCTGGGTTTCCAATTTCTTTATTTTTTTGGGCTCTCTTTTTCATTAAGCAGCAGAATGTAAAGGAAGTTGTAAATTCTTTTCGTATTAGTCCGTAATTATTTGCTTGGCTCGGCATTTCAGGGAACATTCGGTCGACACGTGAACTTTTGTTTATCATTTCTCTGCCCCTCTCTCTGGGTTGTTTTTTGAAACAAATGGAATGGAAAGTTACCCAGTTTTTGGGACCCGACTGTACATAATATTCGGGACTTATTTAGGGGGAGAAATTTTCCATGCATTGCAGCCGCAGGTAGATACTGCTTCTTTTGTCTTCAAGCAGTTTCTAGTCGGGGATTACCAGTCGCACTCAGGTGTTAAGATCTGACCCAAACCAGATTCGACCGGACCACTTTGTCTGCAGATAAAGTCACTTTGCATTTTGGTCTTGCATTAGAGACCCATTCTGATAATACCAAATGGAGTAGTTTGGTCCGGTCTTTATCCTCTGTTGAATCAGACCTTTATATTAATGCCATTAACATAAATGCATATATTTTCAAGTAAAGTAAATGCGGTATTGCCTTATCAATAAGTACTTGACACTGCTAATTGACTTACTTTATATGCTCCGACTTGTATTAATTTTCCAGATATAGCAATCAATTTTAAATTTGTTAAGCATTTCAGGAAATACATTTATCAGTAAAGTTAACAAACATATCTCACATTTCTAACCCTTCTAATATTTCAAGAAAATCTGAGCAAAGCCCACTTCACAAATAGTTGATGCAACTTGCAAGTATTCGTAATATTTCTAGATGAACTTGACACTATATAAACGTAGACCCTTAGATGGACAAACAAAAGCCGATACCAAAAATGTCATGGGTAAATAAATATTTAAATGTTCCGCTTTAAATGACAGCTTGGGGTCGAATTGTTTTTCTATGGAAATTGAAGATTGTGTGCCAACTCTTTGAAATATCATTTTGTAAATGCTTGAAATGTTTTCAAAGTTATAACAGATAAAAGTCGAAGGAAAAAGATGGAAACTTTCTACACATGCTGACTTAAAGGCCTTAAAGTTTTGCCCATAAAATATATAATTTACGGCATTTTTAGATTCATTGCACTTGAAATTCAAGATGAACATCGAAGCAAATATGCCAAAAACTTCCTAGACAGCTGATGCTGTGACAAATGGAATTATTTAAATTAATTGAAACGGGCTGTATGTGATAAAAGGCCATAAATATCACTGTCTTTATAGCCTGGCCAAGTTCAGAGACGGAGAGGCAAGTGGATATGTTTTTGATATCTAATACTTGAGGGGTTTATTAGACATTTAAAAATTCTGAGTGCTGAATGAGCTATTAAAAAAATTAATGAAAGTAATTTTATTATATGCAATAAAAATACAGAACGTAATCTTAAAGCTTCAATAGGAAAAATATTTATTATATTTTACTGAGTATCGCCTAAGTCTCGACTTTCATTGGAAATAACTCCCTTACACGTTTTCAAACCACTTTATGTTTGGGGCTTTTTTTGGGACTTTTTTGTTGTGCATTTGGCTTCCTAAACGCAGTCCAATGACTTCAACACTATCAGTCAGGTGGCAAAATAGTATAATTTGTTTCAAGTAGCTACGTCAAGATGCCGGTAACTGGTTTTTTCGGACCTCAATGATCCGATCTTGCTGGAAGAATGTGATCTTGGGGGGATTCTCCAGCTGCTGAAATTTCGGCTAATTTTGGATGATGTCAAACGAGCTGGCGCTTGCCATAACGAAAGTCTTCCATATATACACCCCAAAAGGCGTTCCCCTTTGTTTGGTTTTGTTTTGGTTTATTTTTAACTATTTAAGCACACACTTAGAAAGTAAGCGAAATGTGGGCGTGTAAGTCAATTGGCTGTGAGATTTGTGCTAATTGCCATTAAGTTAAAAACTTCCTTAACAAAATAATTGTTGGAATGCAATTAAATTGTGATCAGACGCACTTAAGTATTACAAATATTTCGCCATTGACACGTGCTCGAACCTTTCACCTCAACAGGTGTGTGACCTTTGGCTTTAGAAATCTGTGTCTCGAAGGGTTTTAAAAAATACAAATATTTTTTATACTTCACATGGAAGTACTCAAAAGTAAGATTTAATTTCATTTGATTTTTATCCCTTCATAATCCAGTTAATTAGGCAAACAAAAACAGGAAGCACAAATGTTCAATTAATTGTTCAATTATATTTGCTATTTTCGTTTTTGCTCTACCCTTTTTAGCGGTTTGTTTTTTCACTACTCAAATTACAGGGCCAATTGCAAAATATATTTCGCATGACTTCGGAATCAAAATAAAAGGGCGTGGTCGATCGCAGTACAATCACATCGAATGTCGCCCATTTCAATGAAATGCGTTAGTTTGTTTTTTTTATTTTTCGGTTTTGGACTGTTTCTGGCTCTATTCGTACCTCAATTATTTCCGAAAGCTGTATTTAACACGGTGCAAAGAGGGTGAGGGGGTGTGATCGGTTGGATTTTGCACATTTACAACTTATCGTAAGAAAATCACGTATACAGCGTGTTCATCCACAAGTAGACACAATTGTTTTGGCTTAGATAACCTACATTGTTAAGGCAAATTTATTAAAGGTACTTGTTCATTGTTTTGTTTAACAAAAAGAAAACCCATAAAGCTGCCTAATTTATTTGATGGCCATAAATATGTATTTAAAACTGCGGAACGTGATCGTAAAATGGAATAGTTTTTAGATTTAGTTGGTCAAATAAATTTAAAAATCGTATACAGAGTGATTTAAAAATCAATCAATGCCTAGTTGGATGTTAATTCTTTTTCTAAAAATAAACCACTCCACACTCCACCTAGTGAATTTATTTTTAGCCCACATTTCGTGAAAGACTCAATTGTTTGAGTCAATGTCGAAGGCATGCGAATTGAATCTGTCAAAAAATGTATTGTTTACATACCCAGAATTCTATTTGCAGTTTATTTACTGTGAACTCTGTTCTAGGAAAGATATTTCTGACTCTCTAAAACTTAAACAAACGAATTCCACTGATGTAACTATATAACCAGCTAAAAAATCATAATTGCGATTTCCTCGTTAGTTCATTAAATTTTGATTAAATGAGTTATTAATCGCCTGGTAAACAAAATTTTATTTGCAGTCCCATAAAACGGGTTTAATAATCCATATTAGACGACGCTCAGACTTGGTATATCCATTCGTTTTCAGGTTTAATGGTCCCAGGGGGAGAACTGCTACCGGCTTTTGTTTGTTTTGAATATTTATGACTTGATTGTTTTGATTGTTTTTTTTTTTGATGGCGTGCGGTTTTTGATAAGTTGTCGATTTTTATGCAACACGCGTCTCCCCCACGATTACGCATCGAAAAAACTACAACCGGAGTCTGTGCGGAATCTTATCAATCCATATCCTAAAAATCTTAAAGCAAAAGCTTCATTCATTTTTGTAGATCTTTTGTTTAAGATATGCAAGTGACGCTTGAGTCTGAGGTGATTAAAACCGAACTAAACCAGTTCAAGCCGCAATCCCATATAATTTCAGCATGGATACGCTCTTGAGAATATTTAAAAAGCGAAATCTGATGTTTATACTATATTAACACCTAAGTTATTATATTAAAAATACACTTTTTATGGAAATCTTTCTTGTGGAATTGGTAGAAAGGGATATTTGTTGCATAACGTGGTAGGTTTTTGAACACTTACTATAGACTAGACTCAAACTGCGAGCGCATGATGGGTTAGTTAACCGCCCAATTTAGGGAACCTCCGCTCTGAACACGTTCTCGCGTTTAAGTCACGTAATCTATTGCTGAATGTTCACTGCCGCATTCGCATGTCTTAACCTATAAGCATTACCATATTACAATCTCTGGAATGCACTATTTAGGCAGCTTAACTGTTACTTTACTGGGTGGATACAAGGTATTTTGTTTTGAAAAGTATTGGAGATACGCTAACAGCAAAACCATCAAAAAAACCCAATGATTCCTTTAATTGACACTTCATTGAGGATATCATAAAATTAGCAACTCTTTTTGGCATCCCATAATGTCAATTAGCATGTGGCGTTGGCTTCGGGGGAGTCATAAACAAATTAGTAATCGCTTAGTGATAAATGTTAACCGACCGTTTAAATTGCGTCAATGGGCCAAAATAGAGACGCTAAAAACAGCAAGCAGGCCAAAATCAGATTCACAACTTTCGCAATGGGAATTTTCACTGCCAACTTTTTTCGTCTGTCCCATTTGCAGTCATCTCTATAGGTCGGTGTCTCTATAACTCTGTGTCACTATCTGATGTCAGAGGGGAAAAATTCAGATGGGCTTACCTTTGTGGGACGTTTGGAGGGGGCGTAAATAGCCCAATTACAATTGGAATGCCACTGGCCTGCGTTTTTCGCTACACTCTATTGAATTTGGCTCAAACAATTTGTGGCCACCGGAAATGTGATTTTTTTGGCTTTGACTTTGGCGCGCGTCGCACACCTCAAATATAATTTTCCCACTTCAGTTCTTCATTGTCTGTGCGTTCTAATATTATAATAGTTTTTCGAATATTTAAAATGACACCACTTTCAGAGTATTTTTTTGGCGAATGCCAAAATTTGCATGCAAATCACAGCCGAAATGCACCCATAAAACTAAAGCATAAATGGTGGGTTTATAATTTATTTGCACACACGCGATGTCTGAGTTTTGCTGGGTTTTCCTCGACGATTTTGCGGTTCGCACAGCCGAATCGGTTAGGTAAATAGCCGTAACTGTTGTTTCAGATCTTTGGTCGGGTTTTTGAAAGCCCTCGAAAGTTGTCACCTCTCGGAAGCCGCCGATCGTGTAATTGTGCTCGGGAGCGTGGCGCTGTTTGTTTTTGTGATCCGAGAGTCGAGCTTTGTGAGCTTGGTGAGCTTTTCATGCCCAGTTTCCCCATTTCTCTCCTCTCTTTCTCCAATTCTCTTTCTCTCTGGGCTGTGAGAAATTTGAAAGTAATCACCAAACGGGGGCCAGCGAAAGGCGTTGGCATTACAAAATACCCAACTTGTTAACATATTGATAACTTTGTGCTACATTAAATCTACACCAATCTATTTGTAATACTCCAGTAATAACACGTGTATAGTAGTTTTAATAACTTTTATTAAACAGTCGCTATTGCTCGCTACCGCTCGCTTTCGTTGCTTATCGTCGACTCCTTCTTGAACTCAACATACGACGCGATTCAACACGCGTCGTGGTGAGTTTATGTATCCAGTGTTGGGCTCGAATCCCGATCAGCTGACACGGGTTCCCACATCTCTCCTTTTTTTTTCAGACGCAGTTTTAGACCTCCCTGTGGCATCTGTGAGGTGAGCTCCGCGTCAATTGGTTTGGCCGGGAATGATTCATCAGTCCTTTTCGGGGACTGGCCCTTCTCTGGCTGAACTGCAGCAGAGGATTCGACTTTCTTGAGGTGACTGGCGTTCCTGGTATACGACTTCCCATTTCCGGTTACCTGGACCACATCACCGTCTCTGCTGGTCACCTCGTAAACCGTTGGATCGAACGTTGGTGTTAGCTTGTGGGGGATAATAACATTTTTAATTAGAACCCTGTCACCTACAGTTAATTGAATATCTTTTGCTCCTCTAGCTGCATCTGCTACCTTCTTCCCTTTTTCTTTCTGGCACATGTCCTTATCTCTTTCCTCCGAGTCCACATCCTGATCCAAAATATCCTCAATTCCGGGAATTTTATCTCGAATCGTCCGATTGTACATCAGCTGGGTTGGAGCTGCACCCGTTGTACTATGCGGTGTTACATTATACATAAGAACGAACTTTTGCAACTCCTTCTTATTGTTACTTCTACTCGCATATGCGATTTTGAGACGTTTAACCAGCGATTTATTCATATTCTCCACCTCGCCGTTCGCTTGTGGCCAATATGGAGGAGTTGTACGCAACTCGATCCCGTTTGTTGTACAAAATTCTTTGAATTCCGCGCTTATAAACTGGCGACCGTTGTCCGCTGTTAATGTTTGGGGAAAACCTAGCCTTGCGAAAATTTCCTCCATCTCGTTTATTATAGTCTTTGATGTGATGCTCCTCGTTATTTTGTACTCCATATATCGAGAGTAATAATCGATTAGTACCAAAATGTATTCTCCGTTTGGTAGCGGGCCTAACAGATCGGTTGCCAAACACTTCCATGGGCCATTTGGAAACGAGTGCCTCTTCATTGGGGCCGGACGTACCGGAGCAGACACCAAAATGCAGCTACGACAGGTTTTAACGAACTCTTCAGCTTCTCTGTCCATTCGTGGCCACCATACTTTCGATCGGAGTCGCCGCTTCATTGCAGTCTCGCCTGGGTGACCCTCATGTGCTAACTCCAACACTTTCCGTCGCAGATTTTTCGGAATCACTATCTTTGTTCCTCTTAGCAGCAAATTACCGAGCGTCGACACTTCAAATCGAAACGGATAGAATGGACTCGATGTAGCTAGCTTCCACGAATCCTCCTTTAGGCACGTCATTGCATCCATTATCCCCTCATCATGAGTACTACTTTCTGCTATCTCTGAGATTGATAACGAAACTGGAATTGAATTTGAGACGATATGAAAAATGTTTTTCTCCCCCTGCCAATCGAATGAGTTTGACTCGGTTTCCTGGGACAGTCTCGACAATGAGTCTGCGATGTTTTCTTTTCCTGGCTTATACACGACTCGGAAACGGTAAGATTGTAGGCGTAGAAGCCACCTTTCGATGCGGGCTGGAGGTCTGGAAGTGGGCTTAAATATAGCCTCCAGAGGTTTGTGGTCTGTTACTAGGTCAAATTCTAATCCGATCAAATAAAAATAAAACTTTTCTACCGCCCAGACTAACGCGAGACTTTCCTTTTCTGTTTGAGAGTACCTTTTTTCTACCTCCGATAAACTCTTGCTGGCGAACGAGATAATACGGGGAATTTTATCTTTGTCTAGTTGCACCAATACCGCTCCTAACGCTACCGGACTAGCGTCCGCAATCAACTTAGTCCGATCAGTCAAGGTAAAATAGGACAGCATGGGGACTACTGAAACCTTTTCCTTTAATTGTTTAAAAGCTAACTTCTGCGCCTCACCCCATATGAATTTCTCGTTCAATTTGAGCAATCCTCTCAATGGCTCTGTCGTATCCGCCAAGTCTGGTATAAACTTTCCAACATACGTGACCAAACCCAAAAAGCTGCGGACCTCTTCCTTATTTTTGGGTTCTCTAAAGTTTTGTATTATCTCAATCTTGCCTGGATCCGCCTCAATCCCCTTGTCAGAGAGGATATGACCAAGAAATTTCAGCTTAGTTGTCCGCCAAACACACTTCTCCTCGTTGAGCATCACATTACGGCCCACAAAAACATCTTTCACCGCGCTCAGCGCCATGTCGTGCTCCTCGAGGGTATTGCCAAAAACTATAACATCGTCAATATAGTTTATGGCATTTGGGCACTGTGCCAGCATCTCCTCCATAAGCCTCTGGAAAATCTCCGGAGCTGAGTTCACTCCAAATAGCAACCTCTTATACCTGAACAGCCCACGATGTGTAATGAATGTCGTTATCTCCCGGCTCGCAACGTCAAGCTCAAGTTGATGATAGGCGTTCTTTAGATCAAGCCGAGAAAAGTATTTAGCGTTCTTCAATTTGGTCATCAATGAGTCGAACGTCGGAAGAGGATAATTTTCCCTTTTTATGGCCTTATTGGCTCTGCGCATGTCCAAACACATTCGAATATCTCCACATTCTTTAAACACGATGACCACTGGCGATATCCAAGCGCTCGGCCCAGTTACCGGCTCTATAATATCAAATTTTAGGGCTTCCTCTAGTTTTGCGTTTACCTTGTGCTCCAGCGCCGTCGGGACTCGCCTCATGGGTTGTTTGACAGGCACCACCGTTGGATCAATTGAAAGCCTTATCTGAACATCTTTCCATTTGGGGAACGACCCAATCTGCTCAACTCGATTTATGTTTAACCCTAGTTTTAAAACATTGAGTTGTATCGCAGTGTCACATCCTAGTAGTGATTGTCTGCTGTTTTCTATGACGTAAAACGTAGCAATTACCTCCGGGTCCCTTTTTACGCTTATCGGAGCTTCAAATACTCTTAATATTTTGAGAGGTTGATCAGAAGCATAAGAACGGAACTGGTTCGATGATTTAGTGCGCATGTTGAAAATGGTTGCCTGGTCGTCGATAAGTTTCTGCCAATCTGCTTGACTGCATAGATTGTGTTTGGAACCAGAGTCGATAACCATTTCCATTGTCCTGCCGCCGACTTTGCATGGAATAATCTCGTCATTATTCCCCTTGGTGGCTACTCGAAAACAATCAGAGTTTGCTGACTTTTCTCCGTCGTGCACACACTCACAATTAACCAGCCTGATGTGTGTGTCTGTACGCCGTGGCCGTTTTGCCCAAGGCCCGTCCGCGTCGTGGTTGCCTGCTCTTATTTTGGTCTTGCATTTCCGTGCGAAGTGTCCAATCTTTGAGCATTTCCTGCATGTGGCGCTTCGTGCTGGGCAATCTGGGCTGTTCTCCCTATGTCCCTTTCTCCCGCAACGACCACATTCTTGCAGTGTATCAGGGTTTCGTGCCTTTTGATGTGAAACTCTCTGAATTGTGCTTTGTTGGCCAGCTGCACCCATCGTCTCTGTCTGCCTGTTAACCTGCTCTTCGATGTGACACATCTTTACAAAATCATTTAAAGTAAATTCGTTCTCCAAGAGCTTCCTTTTTAAGTCCACCGGCGCCCAGACATCTATGATTTTGTCTTTGAGACAGATCTCCTCAATTTCCTTCTTGGTTTCGCCGAAAGAGCACTTTGCAACTTGTCGACGCAAGCGCATTAAGAATTCGGTAAAGCCTTCACCTTCCACAGGAACCATAGTCCGGAAAAGGTGCCTCTCGAAAACCGAGTTCCGTTGTGGAGAAAAATACTCGGTTAATTTCTCCACTAGAGGTGTAAAAATGTCATTATTGGCTTCCTCGTCGAACGCAACAAGTGCCCCGGGTAAGTTGTACACCACTGCCTGCAACTGCGGTCCACCCAGGTGCAGCAACTTATTTCGCTTTTTGTACACAGACGTTATCTCCTCCGACTCTATGTAGATGGTAAAAGAGCGCAGCCATGTCTCCCACTCATTTCTCCACAACGCCTTGTCAAATGCTTGAAATAGAAATGGTTTTAGCTCCGCCATTTCGGTAGATTACTGAAATTCAAGAAAAATAATAACAATCAACTTTTTTTTTCCAGCTCCAATAATAACAATTCGTTGTTATTATCATTTGCTTTATTTTCAACTCCACCACGCTCTTAAACATGCGCTTTTGCTATGCCTTTTTGCATTCGCTTTTGCACTTACATCTCTCTCTCATCTACCACCACCTCTTTCTTATTTTTCTTTTCGTGGTGTGTTTCTTCTCTTTAGATCTGCAGGAATTTAATCCGCACACTTGCTTCAACCTATTTTCCGTGGCGTGGTCGAAACTTTTCCCGTTTCCTTTTTCTTGTCTCTTCTTTCCTTTTTTTTTTCTTTTCTTTTTTTTTTTTTTTTTTTTTTTTTTTTTTTTTTTTTTTTTCCTTCATCAGCCTGAATTTAATCGGCTCTCGATGAACGGACGTGATCGAAACTTTTCCAGTTTCCTTTTTCTTGTCTCTTCTTTTCTTTTTATTTCATCAGCCTGAATTTAATCGGCTCTCGATGAACGGACGTTTTACCCACTTATTCGTTTTGTGGCGTACCAAGCTTGCATATTCACACATTTACATACAACTACACATCGCATGTACATTTCGCACATACATGAGCGCTGCACGTGCAGGAATATATATACATACATATATGTATGTATCTCTATTCCCTTTTCCAGCTTATGCACTTTTTTTTTCTTTACCTGCATTCGTTGGCAGCGGTCGTTTATTTTATTAATACTCAGTAGTCTTTCTTATCCGTCAGTAATAGATTTTAATCCTCGTCGCCAATGTAATACTCCAGTAATAACACGTGTATAGTAGTTTTAATAACTTTTATTAAACAGTCGCTATTGCTCGCTACCGCTCGCTTTCGTTGCTTATCGTCGACTCCTTCTTGAACTCAACATACGACGCGATTCAACACGCGTCGTGGTGAGTTTATGTATCCAGTGTTGGGCTCGAATCCCGATCAGCTGACACGGGTTCCCACACTATTTATAATCAATGCCGATCATTTAATCGATTAAGGTTGGATAACTGATCGTTTGGGGGCGCTGAAAATGCAGTTTAATGGAATTTACAGTTAGTTAGTCAGTAATTTATCCTTGGTAATTGACACAGATTTTATATCCGTAATATTTATTTGTAGGTCGCTTGAACAGGAGGTTCGATTGTCGTATATTCTGGTAATGTAAATAACCTTTTTGTATTCATCATAAATGCTGTCAAAATAGAATCGTTTGGAACGTTTACCCTAAAATAACAATTATATTATTATGAATAATTAAACAATTATTTAGTCATTAAAGCGTTTTTAAAAGTCATTTTGTTATAAAAATCTTAATTGCAAATCGATTAAAATCAAGAGTCATAAATAGCTATATTTCAAAAATAAGACCTAATAGCACTTAGTTTTCCTAGGCTACCGACTCGATATGATGTGCGTTTTTTGTATTCGTCTCCTAATGATGTTGTCCGTGTTGAACTTGGTCAGTATGTAGATCGGAACGAATCGTTTTAACTTTTTTAAACATTATTAAGCCATTTCAAGATTTCTACTCGAACCGAATTTACCAACTTTAAGTGTAAGTCGTTGGATAAGGAATTTTCTGATTTTGAGTATTGCACTCTAAAGGCGGTAAATCGTTCCTACAAGTACGTCTCTACAAAGGTCAAACTCTTTCAAGTTCCTATTACCAAAGTTAAGGTGTGTGGTCCCCAATATGTTATCCTATTAGTAAAACAATGTGCTGACTTTCCAGGTTAACTTTGGACTTTATAAAAGGTTCAGTGGTTATAGGCCGTTCCTATATAATATCACCGTGGATGCGTGTAATTTTTTGAAAAACCCAAAGAGCAATCCAATAACTAGCTACTTTTATGACTTTATCAAGGATATATCCAACATGAATCATACCTGTCCCTTCGATGTATGCATTTAAAATCGTTATTATTTATATGTTTTTCTTTAAATGGTTTTGTTATCAGCACGATCTTATTTTGGATAAGCTTTCCACGGAGCATATAAACCACCGTGTTACGGACATACTATCCTTTCCGGAAGGGGATTACATGATGGAGATGCATTGGATAGCATATGACATAACCCGCGCTGTAGTCAAGTTATACGTGTCCCTTTCATAGTCATGGATACGTTACTATACTTAAAACAAATGCAATAATAATATATTTGTTTTTTTTATTCTTAGCCAAATAAAGATAATATTACTATGCCCAACTAAATTCATCGAATGGGTTTTAAAAGTCATTTTGTTATTAAATGTATAATTGTCAATCGATTAAAATCAAGACACGTTGGCCAATAAATACCTATATTTAAATACCAAAAACTAATAGCTCTTAGTTTTCGTGGGCTTTCGATACGATATGATGTGCGTTATTTTTTTTCGTCTAATAATGATGTTGTCCGTGCTAAAACTGGTCAGTATGTAGATTAGAAAGCCTTGTTCAATATTGTTATTAACAACACATTTAAAGATTTCTGCTCGAACCGAATTTACCAACTTTAAGTGTAAGTCCTTGGATAAGGAATTTTCCGATTTTGAGTATTGCACTCTAAAGGCAGTAAACCGATCGTACAAGTACATCTCCACAAAGGTCAAACTCTTCCAAGTTCCCGTTACCAAAGTTAAGGTGTGTGGTCCCCAATATGTTAACCTATTAGTAAAACAATGTGCTGACTTTCCAGGTTAACTTTGGACTTTATAAACGGTTCAGTGGTTATAGGCCGTTCCTATATAATGTAACCGTGGATGCGTGTAATTTTTTGAAAAACAAAAAGCGCAATCCAATAGCTAGCTACTTTTACGACTTTATCAAGGATATATCCAACATGAATCATACCTGTCCCTTCGATGTATGCATTAAAATCGATATTGTTTAGATGATTTTATTTTAATCGGTTTTCGTTATCAGCACGATCTTGTTTGGGATAAGCTTTCCACGGAGCATATAAACCACCGTGTTACGAACATACTATCCTTTCCAGAAGGGGATTACATGATGGAGATGCATTGGATAGCATATGACATAGTCCGCGCTGTGGTCAATATATACGTGACTCTTTCATAGTCAAGGATACTTTTCTGTACTTCAAAATAAATGTAATTACATTATCTTCGCTTTATTGACGCCGCGTCGTAATGATTTTACATACTATGTCCCACTTTTATGGACAAGGAATAAAGTTGCGGTATGATGATATGGTATTTCTGGTTATCTTTGAAATGGTGATTGCACAATGTTCCAGTGTTCCAATGTTCCAGTCAATTAAAAATATCTGATCGTGTTTTAAAAAAAAAAATAACAAAATTAACTTTTAAACAAACTAAAATAATCGCACTCAGTTATATCCATTTGGATATATCGCTTAATCTGGAAGTTCAGAATAATTAAAAGTGACTGACTTAGAATGGAAAATTTTCCTTTAGTTTTACAAATCAAAATGTGTCCATTAAAACGTTTTTGCTTTGGCCTTAGAACCCATAATTATTTTAACCTTTAACATCCTTACTGTACTTCCTAAAAATTATATATTTTCCTTATTGTCGAAGTATTGAAATCTTTTAAGTTTAATTGTACGGTACCAATTAAAAAAGCATGATCCAGTCAACTGCATCAAGCTATAAATAATAATTAAAGAAATTTAAATAATCGATAGACTATCATCATTACTTTTAGCATGGGCAAATCATTTATTCGCAGATGATAACTGAACTGAATAATCAAAGGTGATGGAGGCATACTACAAATTTTGAAATTTGTTTATCTTATGACCTCCATGAAAAAAATTTATTCAATAAACATTTTTGGTTTGGTGTTTTGTTGACTTTATCTGGGATAAATCAGGTCAGTTGGTAAAAAAGTTAATTTTAAAAACAAGAGAAACATCGACTATCAAATACCCGTTACTCAGCTAGGGGAGTGCAAGGAAAATATACGTTTGAGACGCATTGGATCACTATTGAAGATTTCCGCTCAGTAACCAAGTTTATTTGGATCTTTTGTAACCCAAAGCAAATTCTTAAAAAATTCTAGGCAAATCATTTTGTTTTTTAAAGGTTTTTATTAAATAGTATAGATAACAGCTACGAAGAAAACGGTTGTAATGAGAGAAGTTCTTAACTGGCCCGGCAACTTTGAGATGAAATCGAGACAAGAGGTCAATGTTGCTGCAGCCTCAAATATTATTTGATCTATTTTATATTTTCTTTTATTTGTTTCTTATTATTTCTTTCTTGATTGTGGGCTGTGAGCTCGTAAAGCTAATTATCTTGAGTACATACAAAAATTAAAATGTTTCACATTTGTAATTGCGATGTAAGCGATCTGAATTCACAGTGCTGCAGAAAAGTTGCCTATCTTTAGATAATATCTTTGGTTTCCTGGTTATTCTTGGACACACGTACACACATATAAAATTACAATAAAATGGTGCCAAACATTTGTTCTAAAGTTACTTCTGGTTGACTAGTGTAGAGAGTACTGACTAAGGTCGATAGGGGATCTATAGAAAACATTTATTAGATAATATAATTATGTATATTGTATATAACGCAACTTTTCGTGAGAAGCGAATAAATTTGACGGTGGTACATATGAAACTTATACAATAGAACGACCTTTAGGCTAATGGCGACGAGTATCTAACTTTCTTATTTTCCTTTTTTGGTTTTCAAAGATTACAATTTTCTGTTCATATGTGAGTGGGGGGCGGAAAGATGACATTTTGTTTCTGTTGGTTTCACTGAGGCACATTTGATGGATCACTAGGGGAGATAAACGCCAAACTACGACTTCGAGCTCCTCCGGTCGCCTTCTAGAAATGCTTTCGCATGTGGGCTGATACCAAAAAGGGCGCCAGGAGCGAACAGATCGAGACCAAGAAGCTGACCAGGCCTTGGAAATTAGCTGCAAGTTGAAGAAAAATAGGTTAGGACTTAGGATCGGGACAAAAATATGTTCCATTGGTGGAAAAAATAAAATAAAATAAAATACAAACGAAAAGTGGTTAAATAATATTTATTTTTAGTTCTCCATTGTGTGTAAAGTAAAACAAACTTGGTTATTTTTATGTTATGAAGTTTTGAGCCATTGTTTAAATATAAGAAATCAATATTCTTAGGTAAGTACAGGTCCTTACCGCCACTGCAGATGTCGTGCAGGATGTCCTCCACATATCCGTTGTCATTATCGCAGAGGCACAGTTTGGTCTTGCTGGACATGAACTTGGCCACTCCGATGGTGCGGTTGCTGTTCTCGAACTGGCACACCATCCCATCCTCGCAGTCGTTGTTGCTGTTGCACTTGTGACGCAGGCCTGCCGATGAGAAGGGAACAACACCATTACAAGTTATAAAATATCAAAAATTTACTTAAATAGGTTTACTTGAAGTAAAATATTATTATTAAATGAAGGAGGGACTAGCGAACGAACATCATAATTCATATAATAGATCTAAAAACCTATTGTGAAAAATTCTAGAAAACGCCATCAATATTTGTTCATAACTTTCTTATGTTTCACGATTAAAAAAAAAGTATTAAGGTTTTTATTAGAATAAAGTGTATAGTTATAACACAACCTAATCGAATATACCATGAATTTACTCTCATCCCAAGTCTAAAAAACTTTGTAATTGGAATTACCCTATTAAAGTGTGTATTGTTGGCTCAACTAATAATTGAAACCTATCATATATTATTATGAAAATACTGTAAAAAATCAGTTTTTACTAAGTTACAATAATCCCCGCCAGAAAATAGATCTGCCCCAAACTCCAAGCTCCGGAAATATGCATGCAAAAATCGCGTATAACATTTCTTCTGGGCTGTGCATGTCACAAATTGGCACTGCGGCGATTCCCATTACCATTTGCTTCCCATTTGGGCCCTCGTTTGGGTTTCCCAGTCGCCGTCACGACATCCTAACATAAATCCGACATCGACATTGCGCTGCCATAAAGCGAGAGCCTCCGCCATCGCAATTGCCTTTCGGTCCTTTTGGGCCCAGCTAAAGAATGTCCTGCATGCCATAAGGACTAGAGGACTAGAGGACTGGAGGACTGGAGGACTAGAGGGCCAACAATGGCGGCACAGGACCTAAGGATCCTGGGAGCAAGTGTGAATTGCGCACGAAAACTAAATAAATAAGCAGGCAAATAGTGAAAGGGAATGGGGTAAGACTACTTAGAGTACCCCGTATCCATCTGGCAGGATGCTTTGTTTAATTCTCATTTAGGTGGCGCCTTGGACACATCACCTGAATAACACTTGAGGCACAGGCACATCACTGAGGAGGCCTCCAAGAAAGCAGCAGCCCCTTAAATAATAAATGTAATGTGCATGTCTTAGCAATTAGTTGACGTTTTGTTGGCTGTTCTATTTCTAGGATCTAGCAAAAGGATTTTACAAAAGTAGCTACACAAATTTATGAAAAGAAAAGGAATATCTTATAGAATAAAGATACACCAAGAGTACACTAAATAAAAAAGGTGATAATTGCAAGTAAGCCTAAGCTGATTGGATTTCTATAATATGATAGGTATCAGGTTGATCTTGGCTTATTATATATGTTTTAAATTTGTTTTTTCTTTAATAGAAATATGTTTTACATGTTTTTACTGGGATATTACCTTTAAGGACATCCGGACAGTTGCCCGCCGAAGGAGGGGAGTCGTCGCCGCACAGACAACGCAACTTGTAGTCATTTGGATCCTTGACGCAGCTGGTTCGATCTATCGCCGTGCAATCATCGTGGGCACTGCACTCTCGTCCTTTTACTAAAAAGGAAAACAAATAAACCGAAAATTAGGGAAATTAGTTGTCAGTTTGCTCAGCTAATTGCCCACTAATTGTGTGATTATTGCCCTGGTTCTTTACCAACAATAATCACGCTCTATCTATATCTGTATATCTCATTTCATCGGTCTTGTTTGCCAACTTCTATCACAGAGCTATTACCACCCCCTTACCACCGCTCCTAATGTCAGGGATTTGTGGAGCGTGGGTTGTCATTGCACTTGAACGACTTGTTTGATCAATTCCCGATTCGGATTTGTGTTAGTACTGTTTCTGTGTCGTGTCATTCAATCGCTGGCTCTTTGCCATAATTATTATTCCATTTATTTATGGGTGGCTACAAAGTCAATCGAATGACAAATGATTGGATCAGACAAACTTATTTGTTGACTATTTGTATGGTAGTTACCATACATGGGGTGTCTTAATTACCGATTAATTGACTATCACTCAAATGTAAGTTGGATGGATTGGATGGATTTCTTTACCAGGGATGTCTTAGAAATCAGCCGCAATAGAGTTTCGGGAACTCTTAAACAATATAAAAATCTGAATTGTTTTCAATCGGAATCGATTGTGTCCAACATGAAGTTATTATTTTTTGCTATTCAAGGAGTTTAAAAGTTACTACTAAAATAATCATCAATCTTCATACTTCCTATGTGATTACTGAGCATATGTGATGGAAAATTGTTCTTAATTGGCGATATTTCGATTTTTTAATGATAGTCATAGCTTCTTCTGTTACTAGAATTAGTATTATATCGGGATATAAGGGATATCAGTCAAAAAAGTTAGCTCCATACATCAAACAGAAATCATTATAAATCTGGGCCAGTCTGGACGAGAACCTTTCTCGACCTTGCCAGCGACTTTGATTTGAGTTTTTATTACCAAAACCGGGGGTTCTTACCAATGGGGACGTGTGTGGGCGGCGGTTGGTTGTTGGTCTTGCCAAAGGTGGTCAGTGCCGTGGAGCTGACCCCGAAGAGGATGATGAAGATGCCGAAGAGCATGGTCAAACTCCCGCATTGTGTGAAGCGCTTTAGGGGCTGCATAATGAAGCCGGAATTTATCGAGTTTTGGTCGAGTCTGAGAGTTAGCCACTGGCCCGCGAAGAAGGTGATTTCGGGTGTTATATAAATTCACAGGACCCCGACTAGTTTCACACGCACTTTGAAAGCTTGAAAACTGCCCAAAGGCTTCAAATCGGTTTCCTCAACGTTTTTCTTTTTTTTGTCGGTGAGTTTCGCGGGGGTAATTTTATGCAAATTTTCACACCGAAATTGTTTCCGCTCTGCTAGAAAGTCCGAAGCAAAACAAAACCGCACGAGAGGCGTCACTCCAAAAAATCTCCAATACTTTGGGAATTCGGTTTCGGTAGTTCAACTTCTCGCTGGGGTCTTGAGACGACGGTAGCTCCAACCAGTCGCCTGCGCGTTCGAAATGCAAGTGAAGAATTCGCGGCGCACACGGACCTTAAGTTGGTTCGACGTCGATGGCTACTTGGCGCTCTCGCACACCGACGCCACCTGCCCCCACTCACCTGCCCAACCACCCACCATCTACCCTCCACAGCCCCCAAAAAAAACCCGCTAACCTGCTAGGCCAAGAAGCGAACCCCTTTCCCAGCTTGGAACGAAGCCATAGAAGTTTTCTAAACACTCTTCTTTAAAATAAGGTTAAAATATGCTAAATACATTTTTTATGAAATTGGTACTTAAATATCGTGAGTCATAACTGCTATACTTCCAAAACCTTTTTAAAATAAATATTCCTATTTTTATTATGGCTAAAATAACTTAGTGATTATACAAAATTATGAGATACAGTTGTATTTTTTTTTTTAATTTATATTTAATATTATAAACAAAATAAAAATGTAGATCATTCATTGAATAACTTTTAATTTAAAACGCAAAAATATGCAGGTGTCTAGCGACCTGTATTATACTCAAGTGCTTCAAGCTTATTTGTACTCTACTAATAAAATAACAATTCTAGGTATTTTCAAAAACAACAAAATCTTAACGAGTCGTGATATTTTTGGACGACAGTAAGTTTTAATTAGATTGTCATGCATTTAAGACTCTAAAAAATGTTTCTCATTTGTTTTTTAATTTTACAAACATAAGTATTTGTGGACGACCTGGTTTTTGATAATAAATCTGAAAAAAACAACTGTTTATTCGAGTTAAAGAAATAGGAATTCAGGTTTGCTGAATATTAATTTCTTATCGATTCTATTGACGCAAACAAAAATTGGCAACAGTAAATGAAAAAAAAGCTTTTGATAAAATACCGTACTTGTTCTAATTTTTAACCTTGTAAAATCGCATCTATGGCCTAG